TTAACCTACATTGATTATAACCTATTTAAATTATTGCTAAAATAATTATAATACATAAATTAAAATATGCCATAATTATTTAAAATATAACAACTATACTTAAAACTACGGTCAAATAATCAACTAATTACTTAAAACTAGGGAAAAGTAATTATAACACATAAATTAAAACATGCCTAATTAAAATATAACAACTATTTACTTAAGTCTATGATTAAATAATTATAAAATATCTCATTAATTAATACATAACAAAATATAATTAAAATTAATTATTGAAAAATATTTTTTTGAGAGAAAATAAATCAAATATAACAAAAACAATAGCAAACACAAGATATATATATATATATATATATATATATATATATATATATATATATATAAAGGATTACTCCGGGGTAGCCAGCCGCCGTTGCAGAATTCTTTTTTTTGTTCGGATTTATTTTTTTAACAGTTTTGATAAAAAAAAAAAAAACTTACTGGTGCAGAGAGCGAGCTTCCCCGTCGTTGTTTGCCCCAATCCACCATTGTTTTAGCTCCCGGATCTTTGTAGATCTAAATTTGAGTGATGGGTTTTTGGGTTTGAAGTTAGAGAAGAAGAAAGGAAAAGAAGGAGGAAGAGAAGGAAGGAAGGGGAAGAAAATGAGGGAGAAGGGCAAAAAAGTCCAATCGACTGTAAATGAGTAATCTTTTCGACTGTAAAAAGTAATTTAGAATTAATTTTCACTAAAACTTATTTTCAAAAAAAAAAAAACAAAAATTTAAATCCTAGTATTTTTTTCCTAACCCAAAAAAGAAAGGGGGTGATTATTTTTCAAGCCACCAAGATTACTACTTGAAGCCACCACTTTTAAATTTGGACCATTTTACCCTTATTATTTTTTCAAATCAAATAACTGGACTAAAATAACTCAAATAATAAATTATTCATAAATTTAATGACCTAAAAACCAGATTAACTAATTACAAAATAAATCTAAAATTTAAAAAAAAAAAAATCGGCCGACCGGGCGGTCCACCCGTCCCGGTTTAACCGGGGACGCGCAAGGAACGCGTCCTCTTGTTCGCCCGAACGCGTTCATTGCGCGTCCTGAGTTAACTCTTTTTTTTAATTTTCATTTTTTTTTTTAATTTTTAAAATTTTAGATTTTTTTTTTTGTAATTAGTTAATCTAGTTTTTAGATCATTAAATTTATGAATGATTTATTATTTGAGTTACATTAAGTATCACCAATCTTTGTATTACAAAAAATAGTTAATCTATTTGCACATATTTATCACAATTTTTGTAGTACAATTATAATTTTTCACTATAAATGTATAATTATTATTTTAACTAAAAATTATCTTTAAAATAATAATTGAAGTAAAATTTATATTTTAATATCAATTCAATTAAATTAACTTAACGAATAATGTTAAATTTGTTTTCAAGTAAAAATTAATTACTTATTTATTTTTAAATAAATATAAAATCAAGAGTTTAATCACTAAAGTATAAATATTATTAAATGACAGGAACAAAATATTCCAAAAATTTTTTTGGTGGCTTTGACTACTAAAGTGGGGGCTTCAAAAATCCACCCCCAAAAGGGTAAAAGAAAAACCATCAAACCCTCTCACGACTCACGACTCACGACTCACGACTCACGACCTTCATCGTCAATCATCAAAAATCCAAAAAACCTCCAAATCCTTCGCCCTTGCCAACCTTTCCCACTGACTGCTCCACCTACATCACCATCCACTCCAAACAACCTCCAAATCCTTCACCCTTTTTGAGAATTTTGAAATTAATAGGTTGAACTTGCTACTTTAAATGACGGTGATGTATTGATTATGATTAGGATCCACCGGAAAGATTCCCATCTCTTTCAATTGTACCCAGAATCCATGTTCTTCTCTTTCATAGTGACGGCATCTTTTGTTAATTAAGCTACAGCAGATTTTTTTAATACACTAGGACTTTTTCTGGTTTGGTTTCGATTCTATTTTCCTTATTTGGTGGATTGAGGTAGAAATCTGGGCAGCAACAAGCTTGGCTGCCCATTTGGATATTCTGTATTTGCTTGCTTTGTAATTTGACAAATTCAATTTGAAATTGTGTGGTCGGATAAGAGAAGGGAAAAGCCGTATGGTTTGGTGCGTGAAAGACTATGGGATTCATATCAGTTTTTTTTTTTTTTTTTGCCATTTTTGGCCGGTGTAAGCTGAGGGCTTTTCGTCATTTTACGACTTTCCGGCATTGACCAATTATTTCACCCTATCAAAGGGGGAAATTGTAATATCACCAAAACTCGAGGTGTATTTAGTTAACGGGCAAAAATTCGAGGGTAAAATGTAGTTTGCCCAACATTAAAAAAACTATTCTTCCGCAACTACTACAAAAGACAAACTTTTTTTTTTGAAACGGTCAAAAGATAAACTTCAGAACTACAGAGTTCCAGACTTCCAGTTTAATTTTCTTTATATGAGAGAGGAGATAATCAGAAGATTGAGTTGATTACTTAGCTATCTCAAATTCACAGTATCCCTGGGCAAAGAAATCAACTTGCACCCTATTCCGTTCACAATGTATTTCTCTGTTACGTTACTTGCACTACGGCATAATGATGGAAATCAATTGTACAAGAAGTTAATACTTAAAGAAAAAGAAATGAAAAAAGTGTCGTTTTAGCCCAAACGTTTGTTTTGGTTATCCATTTAAGTTTGAACGTTGTTTTAGTTGTGATTTAATCCGAAAAATCCCTCAAAGCTCAAACTAATTGAAATTAGCCCCAAAATGATATTTCACAATTTATTTATTTTTTGTCCTCTAAATATATCTATAACAATTATTTTTATTTTTTTGTTTGAAATATCAACTTCAATTTTATTTTTTCCCCCTATATGTTACAAATACATACGAAATTATATTACAAATTCTTTTTGTTTGACACCTTTTTTTCCTATATGTTATAATATCTAAATATAAACAAAACTATGTTACAACTATAATTTTTTCTAGTTATTATTTTTTCCTTTATATTATTTAAAAACTTATATTTTTTTTATTTTTTTCTCGATCTGTTTTCGTATCTTTTCTTAATATTCCATACTACTACCTATAATTTTTTTTTCTTTGTGTTTCTATCACTTTCAATGTCACAATCACCAATCAATATTAACAAATTAATGTAACTTACTTTATACATGAGATTTGATAAACTCGTTAAAATTTGATTTAGTTTTAAAAGCAGGAGTCTGATGAATGATTGCTGAATCACATGGGAAAAAATAGTATGCAATAAAATATATTTTTTCAATTATATATGCATGTGTATATTTATAAAACAAAATAAAAACATTAAGAAAAGGTGACATAAATTTATATATATATAATAATTATTTCATAGAAAAATAAAAAATTAAAATTTGACATTTAATTTCATAGAAAATAAAAAAATATATTTTAACAATATAAAAAATTAAATAAAAAATATATAATAATTATTTCATAGAAAAATAAAAATTTTCAAAAAAAGTAAAAGTTGACAATTCAAATGAACATAAATTAAATTTATTTTTCTATGTTAAGAGGATATTTAGATGACAATTCATGAGTAAGTTGAGAAAAATCATTTCAGTGCATACTAACAAAAAAAAAAAAAAGGAAAGAAAGCAAAACAAGACAAAAAAAGAAAATAAAATATTTTTGTAATTTTTTATACCACAAGGGGCAACTTTTTAAGGAATTTCTAAACTATTAAGACTAAATTGACGACAAAACTCATAATTTTGGCTGAAATTGATAATTGGAACAAACGTGCAGACTAAATCAAAGACCAGATAAAGCGCTTAGATTAAAACGACATTTTTACCATTAAAAAAATAAGAATGAATGAGAGTTGGGACACACGTTTGCTACAGTAAAATTATTATTTTTTTTTATCAAAAGAGTATTTTTGTGTACGTTATTGCATCATAAATCTATGGGAACCACGTTACATGAACCACATCCATCTCAATAGTCAACGCATAATTGCATATAAGGAATTTAGGTACAGAGATAACTAGTTAAGTTTGCAAATAGCTAATGTAAAAATCATGGCTCATAAAACGTGATAGATTCGTAAGTTAAAGTAATTTTAAAGTTTAATACTGTACGAAACTTTTTAACTTCATTTGAAACAGGGAAAACTTCTAGTGTAAGATTTTTGGTTTGTGAAGGAAAAAGAAAAAAGGGGAAGAATGTGATGGGAACGTGTATTTGTATGTGCCTTGAATCTTAATTCCGAGTTGCTGTCTACGCTGGAGTAGTTTATATCTTCACTTATAAAAAAAGCTACATATATGTGGCTACTAAACCCAGTAGTTCGTAATGATATTGCCCACTTCAGTTGAGCTAAAAAAAAAAAAACCAGAGTTGGGGTCTCATTGGGTGTACTCACTGCATAAACTAGAAAGAATAAGAAAAAGGGGTTCCTTAATCTTTACTTTTCTCAAACATAAAGCTAACTATAATTGACATGCTTTTGACCCAAATTAATGATTATTAAGATTCTTAATTTACTTCATGATCCCCCATCTAAAGCACTCGGGGTTTGGTGGTGACAGAGAAATTTTTTCTGATTAGGCTTGTTTAAGAAGGACAAGTTAATTAGGAACCAGGCTTGTGTCTAAGTCGGTCTTGGGTTATCAAGTTGGTCCGTATGCAAGCACATATTCACTGTCTTTATATTTATTATTTTTTAGAAAACACGTGTGAACTAAAATATTAACGTAACAAGATCCACTTGGCCTTTATATTTTTGTCACAATTTTATGTGATCAAAGTTATTAAAATACAATTTTCAGTAATGTATTTTCAATCATAACAACTTTTGAATGTTTTTTTTTTTTTTTTGTCAAAATCGATATTCCTTTTATTGAAAAAGCAGAGAATATGCACAAAGAGTTAAGTAGAATTATTACAATTTGTCCTAAACGCTCTATCTAGCCACAACGGAGAATTAATTTCCTAACATTGTGCGCATCTATTAGATAGGGCTAATTTGGCAAGATGATGAACTTTTGAATGATTGAGTGGGTCATTTTTAGTCTACGGGGTTTAAGAATTTCAGTTTAGTGTCCTGAGGTAAGATATACATTCGAAACTTATTGCTCTGTACAGTACAGAGTGAAATACTCTTGACCTCGTTAAAATTAAAGCTAAAATTTAGAGGGAATATGAAAGAGGAAAAGGATCACAAGGCTTTTGAATGACTCTTTCCTGTTCCCCGTCTTACTCTGCAATTTGAAGCAGGGGAGTCAGTTATGAAAGCAACAACCAAGTAGTTAGTACAAAGATTCACAATGAAATCTGAGAAAGACAACCCTCCAGCCACCCTCCACCCAAACAGTCTGTTTATTCAAGAAAACCCCCATTTCACCGAATCCTCCAATAAACAAATTAATTCTCTGTATTTTTATTTTTTCTTTATCAATGTTGTTATATTCATCCCCTGTTTCTTTCTCTATATCTTCAACTCCTCTGTCTCTTTATCGTTTATATATTACAACTGCTGTGGCTGCTACTTATATCATCATCCTCACAAATACTACTCTGTTTTTTTTCTCATGCAGCCACCTCGCCGGAAATCTTCAGATTCTTTTACGATGAAGCACGGCAGCGGCGGTGGGCGGAAGAGCAACAACCTCCCTATATTCGTGGTGGTTTTCTCTGTTTTCCTGTTCGGATGCTTCATGTACAATGAAGACGTGAAATCCATTGCGGAGTTCCCATTTTCCAGGCCTAAAGCCGATCAAGAAATCCAAGAAGAAGATCGAACTCCCAAGGGAAACAACAACAATGTTGTCGGCAGTAATTTTAACGTAGATAATAACGACACCCCAGTTGTGAAAAATTCAAGGACAATTGTTGAGAAAGAGGTTGAAAGTTCTGGTGATGGTGAAGATAATGAGAAAACAGAGGAAATGTCATCTGACAGTATTACTAACCCAAAAGAAGAAGAGGAAAAGAAGATTGAGCAGCCAATTCAGGATGGTAGAAACGATAGTGATGATGATGATGACGATGATGAAGAAGAAGAGATTCAATTGCCTCCTGAAGATTGTGATTTGTTCAATGGAGAATGGGTTCTTGACAATGTGACTCATCCACTGTATAAAGAACCCGAATGTGAATTCCTCACAGCACAAGTGACTTGTCTCAGAAATGGAAGGCATGATTCATTGTTCCAGAATTGGAGATGGCAGCCCAGAGATTGTTCCCTGCCTCAGTAATTTACTACAGTTTCCATTTTTTTTCTTTTATTTTTATACTCTGTTGTGCTTCTGAATTGGGAAACTCACATTCTTTATTGTGCTTTTGTCCTGTTTTTTTATTCAGGTTTAGAGCAAAATTACTGCTTGAAAAGCTGAGGAACAAAAGGCTAATGTTCGTTGGAGACTCATTGAACCGAAATCAATGGGAATCAATGATTTGTTTGGTGCAATCAGTGGTTCCTCCGGGCAGAAAGAGCTTGAACAAAACTGGCTCATTATCTGTTTTTAGAATCGAGGTATGTCATCTCACATTCTAACTGGCCTTTGTTTCCCTTTGCAGTTTGAATTAGAGTGAATTATGACGATTACGTTTTGTATAATTGTCTTCAATCACGCTCATTATGCTTGCAAAAGTAAACTGGAAAGCATAAGTTAATGATGATGATTCGACTTTCCAATTTGTTCTGGGCATTTTTGGTCCTAGCAGGAAAAGTACACTTCCTGCTCATATTTTTTTATGCTTTTGCTTTTCCAATCAATGACGATAAATGTCACACCCAACATTTATAAAATGAAATCCATTATAATTTTTTAATTAGAAATGAGGTCAATAACATTGCTGAATCCGGGAATGATTCTTCAATAATACAAAGTTCACTAATTGGTGATTCTCCACCTAATTATGATAAGGTTTGGTGGGGTTGGACGACCAAACATAACAAAACACCAAATTAAACTTTGGGGTTTTTTTTTTTTTTTGGCAGGATTACAATGCCACGGTGGAGTTCTACTGGGCTCCATTTTTGGTAGAGTCGAATTCAGACGATCCAAACATGCACAGTATACTGAATAGAATCATCATGCCGGAGTCGATCGAGAAACATGGCCGGAATTGGAAGGACGTGGACTTCCTCATCTTCAACACTTACATTTGGTGGATGAACACTGCCAGCATGAAAGTCCTGTGAGTATATATGAGACAGTATATGGTTTCCCCTTGGGAACTCAAATTTGGATCTGTTTTATTCACACAGTTTACATTTGTTTTTCCCCACCCACAGACGAGGATCATTTGATGATGGTGCCACCGAATATGATGAGATTGAAAGGCCCGTAGCCTACGGCAGAGTTTTGAGTACGTGGTCCAACTGGGTCAACCACAACATCGATCCCAATCGAACCCAAGTCTTCTTTATGAGCATGTCTCCTCTTCATATCAAGTATGTCTCTTTTGTTTCCTTAATCCCCCATTCTTCGCTTCCAAGTAACTCCAATACCATACCGGGAGAAAAAAAAAATTATTTCAGGACCGACTCGATTAATTAATTTATTCATTATACGTGATGCTAAGAATCAGATAATATCATCCATACTCTCGTTTTCTCTAGCGAAATAACGAAATATCATAGAAAACTTAACAATTTTATGTTCTATAACTTTATGATATAATTAACAAATTTTTTTTCTGCCGATAACATGTGATTGGTATAATTCATCTCAACCAACTACCTAATATTCAAACAGCGCAGCTACACCAAAAAGAAATGTTACTCCCTCCATTCCAAAATAAGTGTCATTCTACACTTTGCACATAGTTTAAGAAACTCTTAAATAAGGTAATAAAATTACTTGAATATCTTCAACCAACCCCATTAAAAAAATATCTACCAATAATATTAATTCTTTCAAGGGTAATTTTAGAAATTTTGGACAAAAAGTGCATTAAAATGTGAGAACGACACTTATTTTGAAATTTTTTCATTTTACTAAAACGACACTTAATTCAGAACGGAGGAGTAACTAACATTGACTAATAATAAGAGTAAGTGTCAGTTGGTAATTAATAATTAACAACTTCGTATTTTGTACAAGTGTGACAGCTATAGGTAGATAAGTAGGTACTCCAGTTGTGACCCCAAAAATAGTAGTTTTAATTGTAACATGTACTATATTTTATTATATGTTCGAAGGAGCTTGGATTGGGAGAACCCAGACGGAATAAAATGCGCCAAGGAAACAACTCCGATCCTAAACACCTCCATGCCACTCAACGTCGGGACTGACCGGCGGCTGTTTGTGATCGCGGCAAACGTGACGAATTCAATGACCGTCCCGGTTTATTTCCTCAACATCACCAAGCTGTCGGAGTACCGGAAAGATGCCCACACTTCGGTACACACCATCCGGCAGGGCAAAATGTTGACGCCGGAACAACAAGCCGATCCCGCCAATTACGCCGACTGCATCCATTGGTGCCTTCCCGGTTTGCCCGATACTTGGAATGAGTTTCTGTACACACGAATTATTTCTCGCTCCAGCTAACACGTATTTTGTACGTAATGTGTATAGCTAGTAGTTAACTTCCGAGATTTTTTTTTTCTTTTTTAATTTTTTTGCCTTGTATACCCAAAAAAACAGAATTCATTTTTTGGTTTTTTTTTTCTCCACCTTGTATTTTAAGTTTTGTATTCAGCTGAGGTCAACCTCATGAGAATACTGTATTTTATTTTTATTTTCCCCCCTAGCCTGCCTTTGCGTCCCATTGGAGTTCCCTCGTTCTTTCTTTTTCCTTTGGTCAAAAAAAAAAAAAAGGGAAAAGAAAAAAGGACCGGAAAGCCATGTGAGTAAGGTGTGGCAGACTGGCAGTTTCACCTACAGGGGATGAAATACCTACTAAATTGGTTCAACTCAATGTAACCAATCTGTGAACATGATGATGACTGCTAGTTTTCTTACTATTTTTGTTCTCAATACCTCTTTGTAATTTTTGAATTTCGCAAAACAAACTTAATAAAAAATAGAATGATGACGGAGATTATTGTTATCAAGACGATATTGAAGGTTTAATACTTTATTGAAGCCCAAGTCATATTTCTAGTTCATGAATAGGACTTGAACATCGAATCCGATTTTAAAAGTTACAGAATAACTTAATTAACCTTCAATTCTAATCCCGATTTCCCAGATTGTCATCTCTTAATTCAAACCAACACAAAGTACATGCCACAATCCCTGAATCTGCCCAGTTTCACATACTTCCGCCAAATAATGTAGGAGTACCATTTTTGCTTAGCCCACCGTATGTCTCCTAAGGATGATGGTCTTTGTATCTATGACAAATTGACATCAATATATTTGTGGCACGTCTCTTGTCATTCCTTTAAGGCATTTTTTTGCTTCTTTTTTTCTTTCTACAATCAAGGAATCAAAAGGTCTAAAAAAAACTAGATTATGAGTTATGACTAACCGTGAAAACACCAATATAATATTGTGTTTTAACTAAAACCTTACTACAGCTGGTGACTTTTTTTTTAAAAAAAAAAAAAAAATCAAGAATAGAATTTTGTTGCTAATTCATTAGTCTCATTAGCTGCTACCAGTTCCAGATTTTTACTTTAAGGCTTTAACCAGGCATATTTACATTTTCATTTTTGTTTTACACAAATTCAAATTAAAAGTACCGTTTCGAATCATTTTTCTTTTTAACCAATGGAAAAAAAAAAAAAGTAAAAGCCGGAGGCCAAAAAAGGTTAATATTACGGACAACTAATGTCGTAACGAAATCAGGGAAACAGACCAATTTTATTTCTATTTTTGTTATGAAACAATCCATTTTGATTGTGACCTTATACAGACCGACAATTACCGGATGACGAATTTTTATGGTAAGTGGTAACCTTAACCGCGTTGATAAGTAGGCAGAGCTCATTTGACTTTTGATGATAATGGTTGCGATTTGGAAGACGAAACTTACTGAAAAAAATTGATGCTACGCATTTAGTCCATGATTAATTAGTAATTCTTTGTGTGACTTGATAAACAACTTAATTTCGTGTGGAAACCTAATAAACCGGTATGTACATTAGCAATTTGGCTCAAGAAACCGGTCGTCATGGCATGGCAACTTCCGTTTTCTCCACAGCCACACGCATGCTTGCGTTCAAACTTAAAAAGCCAACTTTTTCACCGGTCTTCTATTTCTTTTCGTTTTTTAATTGGTTTCCAGGAATAATCTAAATTAGCGGAAACATACTTCTATCGTCATGAAAATTAAAGGAACACTAGCTAGTGCTTCTTCAAAATGAAGGTAGCATTACAGCATGAGTAGTGATAAAAATTACAACCAAATTATAAATGAAAAATATTTCCACGTGTATATCATTCTTCTTACAGAATATCTAATCTAAAGATAGTGATTTAAATTTCACCCCAAATAAAAGAACGAAAGAGTAAAGAAACAATTGCTTTGCCGATGTTTTCTTTTTTCATTTAATAATTAATGTAACATGTAATAAAGGTAGAGGGAGGGGATGGGCTCGGTCGTGACTCTTTTGTTTTTTATTTTTTATTTTTTATTTTATTATAAAGAGATATCAAAAGAAGTTTTAATAAAACATTATATGGTTAGCTACTTTTCGTGTCTGTTTAAATCTATTTATTTTCTGTATTTACTTTTTTATATATAAACTTTACTCATGTTTTGTGGATTTTTCAGACTTCTCGGATTGCTCGTAATATTTCTATCGAATAACATAATCTTAACGGATTTAATAATTAGGAACCCATAACCTGATCTAGGACCTATAACTCAATTATAATATGAGACTCCTAGGTATACCTAGCAAAGTTTATCTAGTATGAGTCTCATGCGACTAAAAAATGAGCATATCCTAATATTTACAACAATGCCATTCAAGTGTATACGCGCATCCATTTAATTCCCCTTTTTGTGTAATTTTTTGGAATTTCAAATTCCATAACTGCTATTTCCTCATAATTTTCAGCCATTAATCATATCCATATTCTACCCCATTCATCATAATTCGTTTCAAACCAAAAAAAGAAAAAACTAAAAAATTAAATTTTCTCTGTGGCGATTTGGCCAGAAAACCTCTCGTCGGCTGGATTTTTGATGACAGAATCAAATTGTGCATGTCCAGTAGAACTTGTGAAATATACTCTGTTCAAGATGCGATTTAAGGTAATATATGAATAAAATTCATCAATTTTATGTGTTTTCTCCAGCGATCTAGTTATAAAAAAGGGGATTTTTTTTTTTAATACTGAATCATCCATATAGAGTGCAACGATAGTGGACCCTGAATCAGGTAGAAGCCGTTCAGAAAATGAAGATGAAAGAAGGTAATACTATTTATCTATTAAAAAATCGATACATTTTTTGATGGGTTTTGTAGATCTAAGGTATATGCATTAAATTAAAGATCTTTGTTCATCAATTTTTAAGATTTTTTCATCATATTTGTTGCGGTTGTGGAAAATATTAATAGATCTCGGCGTTATTAATTAGACCGTATTCAATATTCATCTTTGTAATAAGTAGATCTAAGGTTCATGCATTCGTTATTTATGGTTGTGTATTAACTAGTCGGATTTGTTCATCCATTAGTTGTTGGGTGGGAAGGGTTTCCAAAATTTTGCTAATCATCATTTACCTAACCATTATTAATCAATATTAACGGGTTATTCATCATAATAATTGTGTTATACGATTGTTATTCATTTTTTTATTTGTTGATATTCATTATTTTAGTTGTTGTTCATCAACTACATTGTACCTATTCATCAAATATTATTTGTTATTCATCATTTACTGCAACATGTATTTCCCTGCATTTTTTGGATGGGTTTGTAGATTTAAGGTATATACATTCGATTAAAGATCTTTGTTCATCAATTTTAAAGATTTCTCCATCATATTTGTTGTGGGTTTGGAAAATATTAATAGATTTGGGCGTTATTCATTAGTTCGTATTCAATATTTATCCTTGCAATATACGAATCTAAGGTTCCTGCATTCGTTTATATATGGTTGTGCACCAATTATTTTTATCAAGTAATATGTGTTTGACACGATTGTAAATATGTGTCATCAATCCTGTAAAATAGTGTTATTTATCCCGTCAATATATGTTATTAATTATTTGAATATGTGTTAATCATTCCGTATACATGTGTATTCATCATGCAGAAAATATATCATCCGTCCCCAGTGATTTTGTTATTTATCATGTATTATGGGTCCGTACACGACTATTATTTGTTAAATTAGATTTATGTAGTTTTAATGTTTACTAGGTGCTTTCCCTGGGGTTGCCCGACCCACTTACAACAATATATTTTAAAATTAAATATATAAATGGTAAAAGTATTTTTCAACTATAAAAAAAAAAGTGTTTTTCAACTTTAACTTAACTTGTATATGTGTTTAAATTTTGGAAATAATAAAGGAATCATTTATTTATATCATTAATATCTTATGTTATTAATATTAATTGATTGATTATAATTAAGGAGAAGAAAAGTTAACACAATTAAAGATTGTAGGAATTAAACTTTTTTTCACAAAACTACGTAGTTTTTGTTGGGCAGGAAACGGATGCATGAGAATGCGACACATCAGCCTTTTTTTTTAATTTTTTTTTCTCTTGGACTATTGTTTTGATAGAATATATAGATTCATTATTTTCGATATGATTATTCATCTTCAATACTATTGTTATTCATCATATACTTTGTGTTAACTTGATTTAATTTATGTAGATTTTTTTAATGAAATTGAGTTTCTATGATTATAATTATTCATCATTTAATATGTGTTTGTAAATGTTTGGTGTACATTATGTTACATGCTAGATGTTCACTTTGTTTGATCAGCGGCAAAGAAATGCTCAACAAAATGAACTTGGTCTGTCGGGAATCAAATATTTGACAGAATTGCATCGGCGAATCTTTCAAGACCTTATATGTTAAAAAAAATGACTAGTATTTTTTTTGTTCAATTTTAATATAGTATAATACATAATCAGAAGTTTGTTGGTTTAGTTGCTGACATTAACACATTGTAAATTATATTCTTTTATTTTTCTTGATCAAAGTTATTCGTTCTGTTGTGCGTTATTCATCCTCTAATGATATATTATTCATTCATTAAAGTATAGTTACTCATCTAGTAAAATTACATATATTCTTTATTTTAGTATTGTTATTCATCTTGAAAGGGGTCATTATTCATCAAGATTTGCACCATTATTCATCTTGTGAATATCATTATTCATTTCAAAAGTTAAATTTACTCATCCATAACTTTGACACTATAAGAGCACCATTATTCATCAACAATATTATCATTATTTGTCAATAATCATACCATTATTCATCCAAACAAACATCATTAGCTATTAAAATCTTTCATATTCAATTTTACCAAATTTGATGAATATTTTATATGTCATCAATTTCAAAATCAAAAATTGAATTTAGTATAATTTATATCATCGAATTTAAATAGATCTCAATAGCCAAAAAAAAAAAAGAGATGAAGATATAACAATAACTAATAAAAAAATCAAATAAAATAAATTGTATAAAAAGAACAAGTTAAGGCCAAAAAAAAGATTTGAAATTAAATGTGTGCTGAAAAAAAAAGGATTAGAATCATGTGTTTAATTAATCAAATATGCACGTAGAGTTTAAATGCCCGAGTGGAGACATGAAAATCAGAGGAAAATCTACATTTTTTTTTTGTCAAAATTAAAATACACGCACCTCCTAGATATACGGTGCAAGGTATACCTAGGAGCTTGATATAATTTGTCCTATGGCTATCTCCACACACACGCAAAAAAAAAATAAAAAAAATCCCAATTTAATCTGGCTACATTTATGATAAGAGGACTGACTCTAACAGTCAGAATAATTTCCATAAAGTAACGAAGCATGATGCATATTTCCTCGTTTATTTCTGCCCCGTTGTATCAATATGTGGATACTCATTCCTCAATTAGATCATCACTAACCATGTTATATGGACCCTTTGTCTTCTGAGACTTAAAAATTGGATTGATTTTATTAACTTATATGTTACTTTCATGCACATTAATTTTAAAGATTGACAGAAAATTGTTACCACAAAACTGGGAACGGGAAATTATTGAAATTGCGTGCATGATGCAAATTAGGAATTACCCATACTGGCTGATTCTAAGAATTCTATAAATATACCAGCTCCTCTCTTCATAGGTTCTGCACACCCACCAATTCTATTAGTCTTTGTTTAGTATTGAGAAAGTAGTAACAATGACTTTAGCAACCATATTTACGTTCGTGTTCTATCTATTAATCTTAGTAACCAATGGTGTTGTTTCGGTAGATTACAAATCAGCTCTTACCAAATCTTTGTTATACTATGAAGCTCAACGATCCGGAAGACTACCGGCCAACCAGCGTGTCCAATGGCGAGGCGATTCTGGCCTCTACGATGGCAGGGATTTCGAAGTAATACATCTTCCCTGATCCTTTCTTTTTTTGTTTTTATTTTTTATAATGTTATTCCATTAAAAGTTTCCTGATTCTTCTTCTTCAGAAAATTAAGATAGGAAATAAAATAAATTCAATCATATACAATTAGGTTGTGGTACTTTATCGTTTCTTCTCTTACCAAATATGGTGATATTCACCCATGCATGGACGTTCATGTTGTTAGTTTCTCCCGTCACACAATCCTATTTTGGCGACACGTAACTTTTTTTATTATTAATTTCTTGAAAGTTCAAAACAAAAATTTGAGCTATTTATTATCATTATCCTCTCCAGTATGATTTCTTTTCGGGTTGTGAAGTTAGTGTATATTTTAGTAAAAGCAAGTAATTAACGAAATTGCAAAAGATAACCTTTTTGCGGGACAAACTAGTCTGCTTATTTACAGAAAACATTAAAACCTAATAGAGAATTAAGTGGTATAGTAGTGATTGATTGAGACATGCGCAGGTTGATTTAGTGGGAGGATACTATGATGCCGGAGACAACGTCAAATTCGGATTTCCCATGGCATTTATGGTAACAATGCTGGGTTGGAGCGTGGTGGAATTCGAGTCACAATTGGAGGTCAATGGAGAGCTGGACAATGCTCTGGCGGCCATCAAATGGGGAACCGATTACTTGCTTAAATCTCATCCCCAACCTGACGTTCTGTACGGTGAAGTCGGAGATGGTAACTCCGACCATCAGTGTTGGCAGCGACCGGAAGACATGACGACTCCCAGAACTCCCTACAAGATTGACGCTCAGCATCCCGGAGCCGACCTCGCCGGAGAAACTGCCGCCGCTTTTGCTGCTGCTTCCATAGCTTTCAAAAATTCAAACCGTATGTATTCTAAACGACTTCTCGGTCACGCCAAACAGGTCAGGCTCTTTCTTAAATACCTCATTCCATGCACTAAATATGTACTAGTACATTTAGTACCTCATTCTTCGATAATAATTTTGGAACCAAGAAAGAGTAGTATTTTATTTAATAAACTTAAAAATTAGTTTCATCGTTACTGATCAAATCATCCTGAAATTGGCTGCAGTTGTTCGAATTTGCCCAGGCGCATCCTGGCATGTACCAGAACAGTATCGGAGTCGCTGGGGGATTCTATCCAAGCAGCGGATTTGAAGTAATACTCCATTTATTCTAAAATTATTGTTCAATTTAAAATTTTATTTTTAGTATAATTTTTGTTTTTTCGAACTTAGGGCGGCATACCCTATTGTCAAATGGTTACAACCCTGGGGCACTCTTTTAGTATAATTTTTTAAAAAAAATGAAAATTTAAACTGGACAATATTTTCAGGGGCGGACGGAGTAATAGAATTGATGATATTTGTCCTGAGTGCTCTATTTTCATGAGTCCATTTCAAAATAATTCGGAAATTGATTTAAAATGGGCTTATAATTGTGGGTGCAGGATGAACTATTATGGGCAGCAGCCTGGTTAGATCGAGCAACTCAAGACCCAACTTACTCCCAATATCTCAACCAAGCCTCAAATACAGGTGGCACAAGATCCATGTTCTCTTGGGATGACAAATTTGTTGGAGCCCAAGTCCTTGTTGCCAAGGTATTTGATTTCATAATGTTCACGAATTTAGCACCAAATGGTCATGAAAAAGTTCTCTTGTAGGAAAATAGGATATTCTGATAAAGTGAAGTTTATGGGTGCAGAATTTGCTGGAGGGAAGACTCAAGGATCAATATGGAAACTTAGGCCCATACAAGAACAACGCAGAACAATTCATATGCAATTGTGTCCAAAAGGGAAGCAGCAACGTTGGAAAGAGCGGTGGAGGACTTCTATGGTGGAATAGTTTTAATAACCTCCAATACGTAACAACTGCGACATTCGTCATCACAACTTATGCGGACATCTTGGCTAATACTAAAAACACTCTCAATTGCCCCGCGGGTGCCCTTACCCCAAATGATTTGATCGCATTCGCCCGTTCTCAGGTATATATTAGAGACAGTACATTATATTTGTGCGACTTTAAAATTATTTTTACCAATTGACGTTAATTGTTTGACGGGTTTGTGACTTAACCAATTTTCAGGTGGATTACATTTTAGGATCCAACCCGAAAAACTTGAGTTATATGGTTGGATATGGGACGAATTATCCACAAAGAGTACACCATCGAGGAGCATCCATCGTGTCGATTAAGAGAGATAGTACACCGGTGTCTTGCCAACAAGGGTTTTCAGAATGGTACTACAAGGATGCACCAAATCCAAATATCATAGAAGGTGCAATTGTTGGAGGACCTGACCCAAGTGACAACTATGACGACTCAAGAGGCAACTACCAACAAAATGAGGCTGCCACAGCCAATACTGCTCCTCTTGTTGGAGTTTTAGCTCGTATGGCTTAAATCTATATATACATACTTATGATTTAGCTAGATATTGCTAGGTTTAAGGGTAATGTAAGGGCTAAATTTATGTTTGTATCATAATTACTGCATGTGATGAAATAAAATTGGACGCTAGCTCTTCTACGTACGTGAATGCGCTTCATGGCCAGGTAAAGGGTCCTTTTCGCATTTATTGGTTATAAATGTAACTTCTATCATTAAAGTAAATGATAAAATCAATCTAAATCAATTATTCACAGTAGTACACAAGTTTAGGTACTAAATTTGAGGTTGAAAAATTATAAGTGCGAAACTGGTCAATCCCAAATTAATTGAGATCCTGTTTTAGCTCTCAGTAATCCAAACTGAAGCAAGTATATCCGATGTGATCATGTCGAGTTGAATTAGGGCATAAAGAAGTAAAAATGACTACGTACGTTAAGACATTATCCAATTCCAATAAGCTCTGTCTATCCTTATCTTCATAGAACAAACCCATTAAACTACTACCATTGTCAATGGAATTCTATTTAAGTTTGAATTACAAAAAGGCAACCTAAATAATGTCGGTTGAGATAAACCATGGGAACAATCCAACACAATAAAAGTTTTTTTTTTTTTTAAATGGCCCGTGATTTTCCCAAACCAACTTTTGACATCCAAAACAATTTTAGTGTAAAAAGACACAATTATTCCTCTTAATTATCTATCACGGCCTCGACATCCCTCCTCAAACCCAATGTCCCTCCTTTTCTTTATGCCAATGAATATATGTTCAATTTCATTCTAGGTAGTGTTGTTATGAGGAAAGCCCATGCAATTTTCTAGGATTAATCTCAACTAACGCGAAAATTGGGATTTATATATTATTCGTAACCAATTTAGCCTGAATCGGTAGGATTAATCTCAACTAACGTGAAAATTGGGATTTATATATTATTCGTAACCAATCTTAGAGAAAACCCATCCAATTTTATATGTGTATTGTTGCACAAAAGAAACAAAGAGAGCCTATTAATTTCGTGAAAACATCCTCAATTTTGCACAAGAAAAAAAATATATAGGCAAGAAAACTTATTTAACATCTCAATGTTCTTATTTGATTGTTTCAGTACCAAATTTATTGGCTTCAACTGGATTGAAACATGTAATACTAAGAGGGAAAAAAAATAGTTTTTCTCTTTTTTCTTGGAATGGAGAATAGAAATACATGGCTCTCTATGAAATAGGTGAGAACTTGGAAATGATCAATAAGACAATTTTCAAAAATTTTACTTTTTTGGTTTTCCCTTGCGGCGGCGGCCGCGAAACTCCGTGGGTTTGAGGAGCGGGCAAGAGGTGAAGAAGATGAACAAAAATGCTCCCTTTTTGTACGATTAAATGGAAAGTATTTGTAAACATGAAGATTAAAGAGTGACTTGGGATAACATTCGAGATGACACCTTTGCGTTACTGACAATTCTTCCTTGTTTTTTTCGTTTGGAAAAGAAACGAGAGACATGGTGTGAAGAAAACCACCAAATTTGATCGAGGATTTCTTTTTTTTAAAAATGGAATTTTCAATCTAGGATAAGAGTTAATGGGGAAAATAATTGGTCATGGGAATCGTACTGAAATTTAACTATTTTCCATTACAGCCAAAACATTCCCACAAACCAATCACAAAATAAAGTTTGAGCATTCTTATGGGAGATGGTAAAATCATATTTAAACATGAAAGAAATGTACTTTTTCTGATATATAATTATATATATGCAGAACTTTCCAAATAGGACAAAAGTTGACGGAGGAAAATTTTATAGTTGGAATTATAATCAAGTTTCGACTCTCTCTCTTTTCCCATTTCTCGAAATTTCAAACAATCCTTTTAATATAAAATAACTTTAACTTTGTTAACAAAATATTCCATTCATTCTCATACTTACAATTTAACGAGTGATTAATCAATATTTCCGTGGATGAGAGGATTGTGTTTGTTTCATTTTCTTGATTGTTTTTTTAAATTAAAATATTAATAACTGTCTCATCCCAACATACGTTTTTATATTTTAAATACGCCTTTTTACATTCCTAATACAAAAAACTACCTAAAAACACTCATTAAAAAAATGAAACAAACATAAGCTATACCAACAATACATATCAGATTGGGAATTGATCATAGAGTATGCCGCTTATGATATACCACAACAAAGTGTAAAAAATAAATATATTCGTTGAGAGAATTTTTAACTTTCGAAAACCATTTATCCGACTTGATTTCGAGTTAGTAAATTTCGGACACTAAATGTGTAATATACAATAAATAATTGTAAAAAACAAATTAAAATAAATATGGAATTTTTTAAACACGTAAGTTTCTTATGATCGTCACATGTCATGTGTCATGATTTTCAAATTCTACTATAGAAGAACGCTTCCTATGAGTACTTACTTTCATGCGCAGAAATTTTATAGATTCAGAAAAATTTTGATACCTTAAAACTGAAACGGGAGTTTAATAATTGCGTGTATAATTCTTCGACGAACCCACATACATACTAATTCTAGTATAAAAATATACCAAGTCAGTTGAATGTATGTTGTGCACCGAGCTCCTATTAATAAACTAGTCTTGGTTTAGTATTGAGAAAGAGAAAGTAGTAACAATGACTTTAGCAACCATCTTTACGTTCGTGTTCTATCTCTTAATCCTAGTAACCAATGTTGTTGTTTCGGTGGATTACAAGTCAGCTCTTACCAAATCTTTGTTGTACTATGAAGCTCAACGATCCGGAAGACTACCGGCCAACCAGCGTGTCCAATGGCGAGGCGACTCCGGCCTCAACGACGGCAAAGACTCCGGTGTAATTCACCGTATACATTGTGTCCATTTTATTAAATCCGGAACTGATCATTTTGACGTCATTCCCTGAAAACAAATGAATCTCATTGCTTTGGTTACTCCCTCATCTCCTAATTTTCTTTTTCGAATTTTAGGAAAAGGATGTGATATAAACATGCATTTAAGAAGAATTTCAATAGGGTGGGGATACCTTTACTGTTTTCTTACTAAAATAGTCAATGATTTACAAAGTGTTCAAGTCATCCTTGCATGCATATTCTTAAATTTCACGTCCATAGTTTCTCCCCAGGCAAATTATCTTCACATAGTAATTATAATTATTTAATGAAACACGCAGGTGGATTTAGTAGGAGGATACTATGATGCGGGTGACAACGTTAAATTTGGATTTCCAATGGCATTTACGATAACAATGCTTAGTTGGGGGGTGGTGGATTTCGGGGAACATTTAGGAGTCACCGGAGAACGGGGAAATGCCCTGGCGGCTATCAAATGGGGAACCGACTACTTGATAAAAGCTCATCCCCAACCCGATGTTCTGTACGGTCAAGTCGGAGAGGGTAACGCCGATCATCAGTGCTGGCAACGACCGGAAGACATGACCACGCCCCGAACTTCCTACCGGATTGATGATCAGCATCCAGGAGCTGATCTCGCCGGAGAGACTGCGGCGGCTTTCGCTGCTGCTTCCATGGCTTTCAGGAATTCAGACCCCACGTATTCTTCCCGACTCCTCGATAACGGCAAACAGGTCCAAGACTCTCTAACATTAAATTATATCGTCCCGAAATTATTGTCTAGTTTGTAATCACCAATTAAAATCATAATGTCGGTAAACTTGGTTGCAGGTGTTCAATTTTGCCCGGACGCATCCAGGCCGTTACCAGGACAGTATAACAGATGCTGGCCAATTCTATCCAAGCAGTGGATACGAAGTATTTATAGCATTGATGAATATATCACCAGTGTTCTTTCCTTTTGTTTTTTTTTTTTTTTTTTGAGTGCAGTCAAAATTCGCATCAAAATGTAATTGTTTAATAAATGGGCCTTGTTCGCAGGATGAACTATTGTGGGCTGCAGCCTGGTTAGAAAAAGCTAGTGGAGACCAAACTTACACCCAATATCTCAACCAAGCCTCAAACATAGGTGGCACCAGATCAATGTTCTCCTGGGATGACAAATTTGTTGGAGCCCAAACCCTCGTCGCAAAGGTTTTTTTTTTTTTTTTTTGGTGGTTGGGAATAATATGACTATGAAAAAAACTATCGTGATTTTGTATAGTGATGATTTAGATGTCATACCTTTGTTAATATTATAGTAAATTTAAAACGTTTAACAAATGTAAATGAATCTTACACTTTTCCCTCCTTTTTTTTTTTAACGTCTTCATTGACTAAAAAACTAATGATAATAATTGATAAAGCAGAGTTTGGTGGAGGGGAGATCAAGCGATGGAAACCTAGGGCAATACAAGAACAATGCGGAGCAATTCATTTGCAATTGTGTCCAAAAGGGCAGCAAAAACATTGGCAGGACTGGAAGAGGACTTCTATGGTGGAATGGTTTTAATAACCTCCAATACACCACAGCCGCAGTGTACATCATTACAACTTATGCAGATAGTCTTTTCAAAACCAAAAACACTCTCAATTGCACCTCGGGTTCCGTTACTCCAGACTCTTTACTAGCATTCGCCAAATCTCAGGTAATAATCTCAATTTTCAATTGATAGTAAAGTTCCTGCATGATTGCCGATGACCAAAAACTATATAAATGTATTTTTTTTTCAGGTGGATTACATTTTAGGATCGAACCCGAGAAGTTTAAGTTACATGGTTGGATACGGGACGAATTATCCGCAAAGAGTACACCATCGAGGAGCATCCATCGTGTCGATTAAGAGGGATAGTACGCCGGTGTCTTGCCAACAAGGGTTTTCAGATTGGTTCAACCGGGATGCACCAAATCCAAACGTCATAGAAGGTGCAATTGTTGGAGGACCTGACCAAAGCGACAACTATGACGACTCAAGAGGCAACTATCAACAAAATGAACCTGCCACCGCCAATACCGCTCCTCTTGTTGGACCTTTAGCATATTTTTCCGCTTGAATATATACATTTATAATATACATTCTGAGTTCGATTTATAAGGCACATGTACACTTTAAAATTAATTTAATTTGCGCCTTATAAATCGAACATAAGAGAATATAGTTTTCAAATGTAAGGCCTAAGTACTAATTATGTTATATTATTACGTACTAATGCCGACTATTTATACATGTGACGATGTGAAATTGGACTCTCTTATACTTAAACTGTTTGTATACGTACGTGAATTCACGTTTGAAGTGTATACGAATGGTAGAGGCATAAAACATTAAGTACTGGAAACTATTGCAGCCATATCCTACCCGACCCTGCATTTTCTATTTATGGGGACACCCAGCAGTCGTTTGGACAAGATTTGATCTGATCCAGTAGTACTTCACGGAATTTTTTTTACCCAAATAAGATGCAAGAATTTGTGATGAACTGATGATGTAGTAGTACTGGGCTTCTTCCATCAATTTTACGGTTGGTAAGAAAGTAAAAAACCTTAATTTCAATCCCTATGATGACATCATTGGATTCTGTATATGTATGGGTATAGCAGATTATTTATTTATTTACTTTCTTGTCCTGAAATGATGGAGGATTTTGAATTTTCATTTTCAGTACAAATTCTACCAATAACGAACTGCTCAAGATCAAATCTGTTACTCCCTTCTCTCTGAAATTAATAATTGTCTAATATAGATTTTTTTATTTTTAGTTTACTTGGTATTAAAAGTGAAAATACAAACTGAACGATCATTTTTAGACAGAGAGAGTAATAATTATCACACAGTATGCTTCTATAATATTCATGTAAATTTCTTGGTTGTCAGTAGCACTGGACCAAAATAATCCCATCCCTTTCTCTTCTGCTTGTTGCAGCTGCTACTATTATAGAGGCAACAGTATTTTTTCTGTCTCGCCACCTACTGTACATCCACCCACCTTTTCAGAGAAGATAAGCATAAAATTAAAGAGATTGGTACTTCTTCACAAAAAGCAATCACTACATGCTCTTTAATTCTGTTAATTGATAAATTTGCCACAATAGTTTTCAAAATAATTTGCTTGATGAGAAAAATAAGTTGCAGAAATAATTAATGCCCAATTGGAGGGTTATTTAAGTGAGCCTCAACTTGCCATAGCTTTTGTGATGGATCAATGTTCAAACTCTCTGGACCTGGAAGAGGTTGATATTTGATCTATCACCATCCATGGAGGTTCAAATATCTGCTACGTACATTTCCTTTCAATCAATAAAAGAAGCAGCACACACCGTCCCTGCCGCTCTACTTTCTCAATATTATTTAACATTAGTACATATTCCTAGTCTTTTAAGAACATTGAGTTTTGTGAAAAATGAAGTTTTACTTTAGTCACAATGCAGCTCGGTAATTTTGTTAGTTGATTACTTTAAAAAAAAAAAATCCATTTCACTGAATTAAAGAAAAGAACCAACAAGTTTAGTTTTATTTTTTGAGATGGAGGGATAATTTATGTACAATACTATGAGAAAAAAAAAGAAAAAAGGAAGATAGAAATGCAACTTTTCGTGGGAAACCATAATATACATTGACAATAACTAATATCTACTTAATTAATTGAGGGAAATGCGTCAATCACTAGCAAAGAATAGATGGATCTAGTGCAATGTATCTTTCTTTAAAGGGCATATACAGCTGGTAGAATGTCGAATTTCAAAGCTTCATTGTCTTCTTATTTATGAAGGTTATTGACTTCATTGGTTCCCTATCTATCTTTTTCGTCGTATTTACTTTTTCATCCTGTTTCTTGAAATTTTTTTCCCCCAGCGGTTCACATAATACTTCCAAACGTGTAATTATTTGTTTGCTTTCCCCACTGTTTGTTGCCATTCTGTAATTGAAGTCATGCTTGGTTAGGTATTTGATGAAGATGAACACTCAAAATCTATTCGCAGATTCGATGCTTATGTTACACTCCATCTATCATAACTATATATATAATTCATTGTTGCATTTGATTAGCGCACTGTAATATTTTTATTTGTTTTTGGGGATGAAAAGAATGTATAAATTAAATTGTACATTATTTTCATTGTGCATTTGCTATAGGTGTATCGTACTCCCTCTATATATCCTCGTGGAATAAGCATCTTGTTCATTTTACTATTTTGATTCAAATAATAAACAAAACTCTTATTTTTGACATAAAAGTAGTCATCATTATGCCAGTTAAAGGGGGAATACTATATGTTTAACAAAATACTACTCTCTTTGTACCATAATTATTGTCCAGTTTCGATTTTTATTTTTAATCAAATTGTACTAAAAGTGAAATCTCAAACTGGACAATAATTTTGGGACAGAGGGAATACAGTTTAGGACTGCAAAATATAGGTTTCCAAACTTCTACTTTCACAATAACATCAACAGCAAGTGCATATTTGCAAAGGAGTTTTTATCATATAACTGAAATTGTATGCAGTTTTAACCCAAAAAAAAAAAAAAAAGAAAGAAAGAAATTGTATGCAGTACATACAAGTCGTATTTGGTGTGTTGTTTTATATAGCAACCTAAAAGGTAAAAACTTTCAAACTTGAAGCCCGAATTCGTAAGTGACGAGTTCCATGAATGTGAAATGATTGCCTCCCCAGAAGATTGAATTATCTACAATAGGTTACTACTGCTAGCATCTTATTTACTTATGATAACAAGAAAAGAAAATTAAAGCTGAAGTTTCTTTTTCTTTTCATACATTAATTTTATCAACATTAAAGCTAGATAGTATACATTTAATAATGACAAATTTTAAGCATTTCCAACACACACTATACTACCTGCAAAAGTTTGATTGCATGATGTGATAAAAAAAAAAAAATGTTGTTGAGTCGAATGGTAGTAACACATTTGAGCGGTAAAGATCAAATCATGATGTTGAAACCACAAAACTAAACAATCAATGATAATGAAGTATCACCGCAGGTTCAAATTAATCGCCTGCCATGAATCCAGCATGAATGATACAAATATTACAAATCAATATCAAGATAGAACAAACAAACTAACTAAATCTCTTTAAAAAAAAAAAAGAAAAAAGTTACCCAGAAACCCACTAAATTAGATCATTAATAATATCAAACACATGAAAATCAAAATCAATCAACTTAATTTGTAGCAAAATATATATGTTGGGAATTAGTTCAAACTTCAAATTCTTATTAAATGGAGATGGCAGGATTTGGAATGGCGTATTCAAGAAACTGAGGATCTTTTTCCAGTACGGAAATTTGGTCTTCATCAGAAGCCAACCAGAGCTCCAATCCTTTCCCACTGGTAGCTTCCATGAACACAAACTGTTGCTTGGATCGATAACCGATCATATCCCCCATATGGGCAAACCAACTGGGTTTTCCCCACCCGAAATCAACATCATAAAGACCCATATTGTTAGCACTCGTAAACCTGTAGATCTTAATGTTCTCATTCGTGTAAACACTCTCCAACAACTCATTCAAGGCGGTGAACGCCTCGTCGGAGTCCAGCTCAGCCATGCTTTCTTTGTTCAAACTCGAAAACGCTTCCCTCAACATTTCCACCAAATCAGGCAACTCGATCTTAGTACCGTTTGACGTGTCCATCTCGTAGAACGCAAAGGCCAGCCAGATGATGTTTCCAAAAGCGTTGTCCGGCAACGGCGGCTCCATTCTTTGTCGCAGGTTGACCGGATGAGTCAGCATTAGCGTTGAGAAACCCGGGTCGGATGACTTTGCGGTTTTGGAGTAGGCTTCCGTCATCCTTTCGGCTACAAAAGCAGCCAGGGCTTCCACTCGGGTCGGGTTCGGGACATTTTCGCTTGTGGCTTTGGCCCGGAGAACGTTGACCGCGTTGGCATCGAACAAGTACCTTCTCATGTGAGATTTAGTGCCTTGGAAGAAGAAGTTGTCGAAGTTTCTTATGAAATCATTCGACAAAGGATCCCTTGGAGGGAAAAGGGATGACGCGATCGCGAAATCGGGTTCGACGATGGTTTCTCCGCGCGTGAGTTTAGCCCAGTTGTTGAGGAAAACACACGAGGCTAATGCATCCACAACTTTATGAAACAAGCATGCACCGACAACAAAGCCGCCACATTCGAATCGGGTGATTTTTACGGCAACATGAGGAATCGGGTCTTTTTCGAGGCCGTTAGCTTTGCATGGGAGGAAATCGTTTAAGGCTTGAATATCAGGATGTTTGAGGAATTCGGACAGCGTGGAATTAACCTTAGCTTCCACGAACAAACCGCCTTCATCGTTGCAGTCAATGGTGGCAGGGTCCTTGAATCTGCCGGCTAAAGGGTAGTAGATCGAAAGGGCTTTGGAGAAGGATTCTTTGAGTTGATGAATCGGGGATTCATCCGCGGAAAGTTTGTCGGGGAATTTGGCGCTGTCGTAGAAAAGGATGAAGGGCATGTAGGAAGAAGGTGAGAATTGGTCGAGAAGGGAGACTTTGTATGTTTCCGGGTGGGGAAGAGTTGGTGTTGAAGGCTTGACGATTTCCTGGGAAATAATTTTGACTTCCATTCTTGAAGAATTTACTCAATTTTAGTGGGAATAGGAAAGCTTTACCAAAATGGCTCTTTACCCTTGTGTGTGTGTGTATGTGTGTGTGTTTCTAGCTAGAATTGGCTTTGCATTTATAAGATTTTGAGATGAAGCTTAACCCACAATCCAAATGAGCTCCACATATTGGTCTTTTCGGATTTTTTTTTTCCCATCCACGTTATGTGTTAATGGTCTACTACCATATATGATACACTGTCCTTTTCTTTATAAACAAATAATAAAAGATGCAAAAAAAAAATTGTTGAAGTATTTATCCCATATTGGTGTCTGGAAACACTTTGTATCAGTATATAAGTATCATGGGCTACTCCCCTCATTGCCAATTGGTTTTGAGGTGGAATTCCATGAGCTTCTATATGGTATCAGAGCCCACGATCTGTGGACCTGTGATAACTATGGACCCGCATGTGCGGGCTTGGATCCGTGTGCCTTGGACTTGTGTCAATCGCTTCCGTGCACATGGATGGGCTTGTTACTGATCCAATAGTATATTCGGAGTATGTACCCGTGTGTACGGGCTTGTTGACTGACCCAGCAGTATATCTGGTGAATTATGTTGTGTTGTGCAACCCCAATGGGCCAAATACCCCATTGGGCTTGAGGGAGGGTGTTGGGACAAAAGAATCCCACATCGGTGTCGTGAAGGATCTGTCACCTGTTTATAAGTGCCAAAGGCCACCCCACTCATTGCCAATTGGTTTTGAGATGGGAGCCCAAGGTGACTTTGACATGGTATCAGAGCGGACTCGGCCTGTGGTGATTTTAAGCCCACGATGTTATTCCGTGGCCCAATTTAAGTCCGCGACGTTATTCTGCGGCCCGTGATGTTATTCCACGGTTTATTTCCTGATCCTGATGATTTAGTCCAAGCCCGTCGGGCTTGAGGGGGAGTGTTGAAGTATTTATCCCACATTGGTGTCTGGAAACACTTTGTATCAGTATATAAGCATCATGGGCTACTCCCCTCATTGCCAATTGGTTTTGAAGTGGAACCCCATGAGTTTCTATAAAAATTACATATAATTTTAATAGGGAATGAAGATAAGTTTGTTTGTCAAAAAAAAAAAGAAAAGGAAAAGGAAGATAAGTTTTAATTATATACCATTATGATTCATTCTCTGTATATTTTTCTTATAATTTATTCTTACAACAATCATTACTCATAATAAATAAATCAAACAATATTTAATTTACTATATACTATAAGTTAACCCTAGAAATTAGTTCAATTGATTGTTCTGTTCGGTATGTTCATAATAAGTGATCATATTGATATACTTAATGCTCATTTAATTGGTAGAGAGCAGAGTAATTAAGAAATACCCATATTGGTCTTAAATGCTTGTTTGTTGAGGGTGTCAGGGTCAAGGCCATAGTATTTACTGCTTTTCTCACAGCGATGTCAGGGTTTTTTTTTTCTTTTTATGTAGGATTTTACCTTTTGATGGTATGATTGGATCGGAGAGGCATTGCCTTCAGTACATCCTTCTGAAGGTTCACAGGGAGGCGCAAGGGGTTGAGTACTGTAAGGCTTTTGACTGGCCTTTTTTACACTGGAGCTGAGCAAACCACCAATATTTTGGCAATAAATGTCAAACAAAAGTTATACGTACATATTCATTGTTTGCATGCATGTACAACTAGATGTTGGATGCAATGTTACAATCACATAAAAAAAGAAAAAAGTTTCATATTTCATTAAATGTTACGATCATACATTAATTAAAAATACTTGTTTTTAAAAAGTAAAAATTTTCATTTATCGTAAGAATTAATCCGGCTCGAAAGGATTAAAATACTAGTTTCCACTTTCCAGGAATATTATTTATTATTTCCACAATTTTCCCTAGTTCTCTTCATTCTTATCCTTCGTGTTTTTGGGTTTTCTTCCAAATGGGATGTTTATGTGCAATGTAATAATTAAAACTCATCATTGAAAACTCTAACTGTTATGCAGAAAAAGCTGGTGCCATCGTGTTTCACTGGACCAAAAACGCTGATAGATGAGATCGTTTTACTATAATTGGACAAACTGCACTAATAAATAATAGTGACCAAAGTTCAACCGTTACCGCCGTAACAATGCAACTAGATCCGGTATGAGCAGTCGTACGTGATGAAAGGAAATATATTTGTCCCAACAATTACGATCAAAATTTGGGTGGTTGTTGAGAACGTTAATGCATTCTTATCCCCTAAAATGCAGCAATTAAAACCTTAAAAAGGAGGGGGCCAGTTTTTGCTTAAGCGTTCGCTATCGCATTCTAGTAGCAACTGCTACTGCTGCTTTGGATAAATCTACACACACAACCTTTTACATACATTTTTTATTCTTTGGATGCAATTTTTCTTCTTCTCTTGTATTTTGAAGATAATCTTTTGATATCATACGCTCATGTGTCAACTAAATTGTTCAATCTAGTTGGAATTCTATTGTAACAAAATAGTCCGACACTGAGTTTTAAGATTTGTATTTTTCTTAAATTCAAATATCAAAAATTACATTGGAGTCAGGGGAGTAATCTTTATTCACGTAAAAATTAGAGCATCCTATTCTTTGCATTGTGTACCACCATTTATCTATAATATTATACTAAGAGAGAAACCAGAGAGAGGGAATCAAATTCCTCCTCCCGTTGACACATAGGACAAAATCCTATGTGTCATTTTCCTATTGGTGGGCATAAAAAATATTTACAACAATTGCAATAGAGATCCTTTGAATATTAGTTAAAAATTAAAAAATAGAACGGGTTAATGGACGGGACAAATCAAGTTCAGTAATTTTGCGAAGAGTTAATCAATATTAATACATTGTAATTATTTCTATTGCCGTAACATATGCATTGAAATTGTAGTCAACTAAAAAAAAATCAATAACGATCCCCTTAAATTAAAAAAAAACATAAATAACATAATAACAATTCAATCATCATAAATTACGGGATCAATTTAAGGAGAATGAAAATTGTCTTTAGAACATAAATACTGATAACCAAATCAATCAAGAATTATGCCCTAAATTAATTAGGAATCATCGGAATCTTATTCAAACTTCCAACATAAATCATATCTTTCTTTTTTTATTTTTCCCTTTTTCTGTTTAGGTGTTGAGAAGACCTCTTCGTGATCGGATAAGTATTAATCAGGCTCAAGAGACCTGTATAAAAATACCACACTTATTTCACTTATCTACCCATTCTCATATTGCACTCTTCTCCCCCCTCCCCCCTCCCCTTCTCCCCACAAAAAAAAAAAATCCGAAAAATATTATTACAGGTTTAAATCTTTATTATTCTGGTGGAACAAGCGCTGAAAGTGATGATCGCCGAAAAATCATTGATTGTTATTGTGTTCGTGAAAAAAAAAATAGCATTAATGCCAGAAAAACAAGCCACGTTTCTTTTCACAAAAAATGCAGCATGAGTTATGTATTGTAATCCATAGCTTCTGGTAATGGGATGAATTCCAAGATTGCTACCAAATATTATTATTTGAAAGGTTAAAAATAGCAAGAAACTTACAGTAGTATTTTTCTTGATATTGAGTTTTTTTTTAATGTAATGTGTTGTTTTTCTCCATAATATCCAAAGGCATAATATTTGTGATTTAGGTAAGATTTTGATACAATACCTTATACAATTGATGAAAAATATAATAAATCTACAACCATAATGGTGTAGTCTGGAGAATTTGTTCATCAAATTTTTAATGTTATTTAACAATTTTTGAATTTTTGGCTTATATACAATTAGAAGTGATCAATGTTATATCTATAAATTTAGACTACATCATTTTAACAGTAAACATATTCCAAGAATCAAACAAATTCTCTCCCTGTCCACCCAAAAAAAATGAAAAATAAAAACTAACTCCTTTAATGATTAATTCAGCAAGGCATGTTTATTCGAGGGGCAAAAAAAAAAAAAAATTCATAACAGCAAAAAACGTGGCATTTTCTTTTTCTTTTTCTCTTTGATACAGAATTCCCATATGACTTTTTTTTTAAATACATATCAATAATATTTTTTATATATATAGATCATCAAATTAATCATATAAAAAATTTTTGGAAATTTTCTTTGTTTTTTAATATAAAATTTAGTTCCTATTTTTCATGTCACAAATATCCTTTATTGGCAAGTAACTAACATTTTTGCTAACCTTAATCGTATGTTGTATGTTTGAATCGCGTCTTAAATATACAACATCACAACTATTGATTATATAAAGATTTAAAATAAATTTCAAATAAAAAACATAAAACATCTACTTGATCAATTCTCTCATCATTATTCTAACCCTCTTTTGTTTCAAAACTCTTTAAATTGGAAAAAGAATAGTGGTTTATTTTTTTCACTAACCTAAAGTAAGGAACTATCTATTATGCTATAGTGCAATGTAGGACAAATTCTATGTGGCAAGTTTTTTAAAAAAGCTAACAATTAATTTTTAAAATTTATGCTTTCACGGCTAAAAAATCCACATAATACCAAAACTATACAAATTGCAACAATTTATCTATAGTATGTTATAATAAGAGAGAAATTAGAGAGATGTTTTGAAAAAAAAAAAAAAAGTTACGCCACATAAGATAAAATTCTACGCGGCAATTTCTTAAAATTTAGAGAAAAAAGTTTCAACATTTGGCTAATGACCCCTAATAAAATCAGTAATAACATATTAACGCATTCATCATAATTATTCAAATCAATTAATATTAAATATATCCATAATTATTAATCTCACTCCCAAAAATCACGGTAATAATTGATAACATAATCCCATATTTTCGGTGCACTTAATTGGGTAAGTTTTGACACTTAATTATACTCCAATCCCTCCCTAAAATAATTTCCACAATTACTACTGGATTGATTTAGATCATAAGTTCAAAATGGCCAGACAATAATTCAATTATAGAAACTAATCAAATTTAATGTACGAGAATTATGTAACATCAATGCGACGAATTTATTTTGGAGGAAAAATAGGCTTTCAATTCTAAAAAATAAACAATTTCTCCCCAAAATAATCCCCACGTAATTGATTGGAATACGATATTAACATTTTTAATTTAATTATAATGGTCAAAAAGAGATGCATTCCATTTACGTTACTATAGTCCAATCAGTTATCAATTATCATTTTTAATTTAACCATAATGGCCAAAAAGTTTATTAAAAATTAATCAATTTTTACCTACAGTTATGAAATCAAATCTCAGTATTTAAAGAATCTAAAATTGTTTCAAAATTCAAAATTTGAAATTAACCTAAATCATTAATAATTATCTTACACAAGAGGTTGATTACTATGTACCTATATATTGAGACATTGTTATATCAAATTGAAAATTCTAGCACAAACTCACATTTTCTTACCTATTGTAATAAGTTTTGCTTCTTTTTTTTTTCTTACTCATGTGACCAGATTAAATATGATTGAAAATGATATTGGCTTTAGTTGTCGTTTTCTTATTACAGATATAAGACATATAAGATTCTATATACACTTCCAAGAAATATAAGATTTAAGAGGGCAGTAAGATTATATCTGAGCAACCGAGTATTGACGAAAGTAAATTACAATGGAGTCAAATCTAATACTCATTAGTGATTCATTTCATGTGCATTTGTTAGGTTGCAAAACTAATTATCATTATTAAATGAAACTCTTCCAAATTAGAATCTATTTTTGTTATTCCTAATTTTTACACAGTAAATGGGTAAAACGAATCACTAACCCAAAAAAATAATAAAAGTATATTTTAAATTTAAGCTAAATAATTATAATAAATAATAATAAAAAATGTTAGGCTATACATCCACAATTATATGAACCAACTTTAACATTAGTTATTACTATTATAAATTGTGTTACAATTAAATTTAAATTAGAACATCATCTCGAGATAGAAAGAATATATATATTGTTTAACTTAATCTTTCACCCTCTTTTATGTCGACTCATCCTAAGTTGTATCATGCATGACAATTATTTCTTCTTCACATGCATAAATTGAAAGAAAATTTTGTTACTTTTAAAATTTGACGATTTTTATAAATTTTTTTTTCAATTTGAATATTTATAAAATAATTCATAAATATATTTATGTTTGATGCGCGGGGTTTAACATCTAGTTCAGTATTATATAAGTTTCTCTCTTTTTCCCACCTCATAAATATGAAAGGAAAGAGTAAAAAACAACAATCCGCAAAATCCTTTAACTACTTGTTTGGAGTTCCCAATTTGGAGAGAAAAACGAAACCTAGCACCCCATTATTTGATACCAATCAATCTGGATATAATATTTTCCATTTTCTATCTCACCATTTACATTCTAAAAATATCATTTTTACATTATTGATACAGATTTCAAGAGATTTTTCTACATTTTGGAGTAGAACTTTTTACATTCACTATTGGTTTGGACGAAATCTATTTTGGTTGATTGGTAGTCTTATCCACTTTAGACTTGTCCTTGCAGGTTTTTACCTCTCTTACAGAATAGCTTTCCCACCAAGTCCAACAACATTGTAACTTTATTATGTCCACTGTAATGGTCTATCTCAATCTTATACCTTTTGAATAACTTATCCCCTAACCCAGTCACCTCCTCAAATTAATCATAATGATCAGCGGCTCTGATATCAGTATTATAGATCATAAAGTCGCGCATAATCTTTTGAAGTAACGTGTGGTTCATTGCATTGCTTTTCAACTTTCAGGTTCGACAATTCTTTAAACTTCTACTTTCAAATTCTTTCAACGTCATATCGTACAAACATAGTAACCATGTAATAGACACGATAGTCTATTAAACATAGTAAACAAAATTCTTTTCACTCGTCTCACCATTTCTCTCATCCAACTGTAGGTTAGATAAAATTTTTATAATGTGGTGATAACACGATTTGGTCAGAAATTTTCATTCACAAAATGTATTAGTTTAGATTTTTAGTCTTTGTCCTCTTTTATTGTATCAAAAAAAAATTTAAAAAATTGAAAACATTCAAGAACAGAAATAAAAAGTAGTAATTCCTTATCAAATTTAGGAATAAATTGAAAAATCTTCATTCATCTAGGGAGAGAGACCATATGAAAAAAGCATTTCACGGCTCCATCGCATAAATAAACGATACATAAACAGACTATTTTCTTATTTTGCAACGCATAAAATACATTAAATGCATCTTCTAGAATCATAAAGAGATTATCGAGCATAAATGCATTTGCACAAGTCATCCTGTATTCAGTATTCTTGTTCATATGGTTTATCCAAACAATGCAGACAACAATATACATATCCCCCTTTACGGAAGCTCAAATGTACTCAATGCCCGGTTCGTGATGATACAATAAGTGATGTAACTCCGAAGCTCAAAGTTAATAAACGAAATATACCAAATACCCTTTTTAGATAGGCACGGCACCATTCTCTACATAAATGAGCCTTCAAATACGAGGCGGTATAGGTTATCTCCACAGTCTATACTACTGACTTCACCCTCCCTACAGTCTACCCTATACATGGCAAGCTCTTCAAAACTGTAACTTGCAACTTAGAGACTAATTTTCCGTAACTATACTCTTTGAAACTAACTATTACCTGGGAAGCGAGGCAACATAATATCTGTTAATGTCACTAATTGCGGTAACATGAGTCCTGGGAAACAACATATGCAACAACGGCATTGACGAGGGTGCATTCAAATGCTTTAGTTTTTCAAGCGCTCTCTTAACTTCTGTTGCAGAAGGTACAGAATACCACTGGAGATACCATGAAAGATACATTGAGCGCTTCAACCCCCGGGAATCTCTTTTTGGCCAGGTTCCCAGCAACAAATATTCATGGGTATCATGATTCAAGTCTGCAGAGAAGGTCAATATTTCTTCAACCCTTTTCCGCATCATTACAAGAAAAGTTGATTGCAGGATACCCTCACTAGGAAGCGTGAATCTTCCAGCGAGAAGAGCTTCACTGTACGCAACAGCTACCTGCACAAAGGGGTGAGAGGAACGAAAAAGAGGAGGTTATAATGGTCCACAATGTCCAAGACAAATCGCATTTCAGGAGTGGTGATGTGAAGGAAAAGCACAACTCAACATGGAGAAAATTAATGTTATTAAATTTATGATATATAAGAGTAATGGAAAACCCAAGAAGGCTGACATAGTCCGGCCCATGTTTCACAATATGATTCAGAATTCTACTTGTTGCTATACAAGTACTTCATTTTGTTGACAACCTCATCAATATATTTTTTTACCCGACTATAATCAAGCTTTTTGCATGAGAAAGACTATATTTAGGGAAACATTACAACGCCTAAACGGGATTCTATTAGAACATAAGTCCACAAAGAAACTAATTAACTCTAAATGACGAATATGATTTTTTTATCCTTCCATCGAACTGTCAAATCTCTTTATGTCACAAGAAAAAGAGGTTCGGAGAGGTTGCTCTAAGGATGAAAAAGGACATGGTTTCCGACCACTTGCACAAGCAGATGGGAATAGATGGAAGGCCAAAAGAAGCAGGTTACAGCATATAGGCAGAGCTCAACATATGCTCTATTCAGAGGGTTTTGTTTTGACGAGATTTTCTTTCAATTTTGTACTCGTGAGGCACTTAGTGGTCTTTTTGTTTGATTTACCAAAGCAAATGGATCATAAATCTAAATTAGTCCAGTGACAACTTTGAACACATATTGTTCGTCAAGGTTAGAACTTTTTAAAGGTGAGAAGAATATCTTACACATTTTTACAATATTTTATTCAGTTACTCAACAAAATGCTGCCTATTGACGTGGCAAAAGCAAAATTCTGAAATGGGTGTACAATCATGCGAGCTTCCTATAAAGGTGAGACAAACAGAATTCAGGTTGCAACATCTTTTTAAAATTCTCCCATGCACAACAATAATCAAAGTTAACATAAAGGTCACCATAAGAGCATTTCCCGCGGGGGGGGTGTATTGCGTAGAAAAGCGACAACAGTGTCATTTGTTTTTCTGAAAACTGCTCTCGCGAAAACAATGAAGGATTATCATCGCCATTTAGTTCCATCACCAAGTAAATTTCTAACATCCAGGGGGGAAGAACCGAGGTACCTTTAAACTCCAAAGAGAAAGCGAGTCATTGAAGCTAAAATTAGCACTTGTAGCTTCATGAACCATGGATCCAATAGTTGCGTATAAAGACAAATAAACCTACAACATCAAATGCATAGTTTAAGATCTTTCGTCTTTTGTGACATAAAGTTGTTACTTTGATATTTTAAAAAAAACCGAAATTTTTGTTTTCCAATTTTTGATTCAAATGTTTCAACAAAATTCCAATATTATACAATCCGCAGATACTGTATTCGATAACAAACTCACTGTTCTATGATCTCTGCAGCCTCAATAATTAAATTCTTCTGATGACCAGCAATTCTGTCACTGTTTCTAATTTTTTGTTCTTGAACTCGGTGTTCTACCTTCTAACATGCCAAAAATAAAAGAGTACCCAAAACCTGTTCCACTTGAAAACATGCATTTTTCGTTCCTGAACTCAGTGTTCTACCTTCTAACATGCCAAAAATAAAAGAGTACCAAAACCTGTTCCACTTGAAAACATGCATGTGCTGCATCATAGCTTACGCGTCCCCTCCATCGAGGCTGCCAGCGATTTTTATGATGCATTAATTTATTGATCTACTGTGTCTTGGCTTCCACCTCACCACTCTCATTTATGTTATTCTCATTTTCTGTCTTGATTGCCCAACACTCCAATCCATAAAGTATCATTACTCTTACAGGTGTTTCAAATTCTTTTCCTTTTAATTCAATTGTACATTAACATCTACCAGACATATTTCTCATTTTCAGTTTTCAGTCCAGCCATACAGGTAAACCCAAAATAAAATTCAGCACACACATACTTCAAGAGTAACATGTACCTGGAGAAGAGCTGGTCTGTCCTTACTCACACACTCAAACAGTACTTGAAGGCAAAATTCCTGAAAGTCAATATCGGATCTGCAAACAAATTTGTCAAGCAATCATTAAGGCAAAGAGGAAGTGTTAATTCTATAATTCCACCAGTCAAAAATGGAATATTTAATCCCATAATTCCACGTGCATGCAAGTGTTAACCATCCCTGAGATAAACAGCTGAAAAGTTGGCTGTTTTTGCATTCCTCTGTTGATTAATGATACTTCAAATAGATAAAAAGTTAATTTCAGGGATTTTAGGGATTGTTACAACTCAGGATCTCTGGATCGCTAGGTGTTGTCTATTCTGTCCACAATAAAATGCATGTTAAGCCGCAAGCAATCTAGCGAATAGACTATTTAAGCCCTTTACTTTTGGTACATGTAAGGATACAACAGATACCTCTTCACAGTCATATTTGGTAAGTACATAAATCATTTGTGATGTAACATTATGGTCTGTTTATTATGCTGGCTGCCCAACATGCCAGACTGCTCACCATTTAATAAACCCGATTCTTTATTACTTCTGAAAGCCACATTCAGTAAGTTCAAGTAAACTACATTTTGTCCTTTTGGTAGTAACAAACTGCAGAGGTTCGGCAGTATATAACTGAAGGCGGTATCTTTGATTTATTTCCTCAGAAACCTTGATGGAATACGTGGACCAGTTAAAAGGTTAGATAACGAGGAGAATAACAGGGAACTTAAAAACAAACAAAAAAATAATGAGTGAGAAAACTGCATAAGTAACTAACCCATTGCTCCAGGAAGGATCAGAGCACAGTTGCGCAAAGGCAACCAAGCTAGGATCAGATGAGAAAGTACTGACCAACTGATCTAAAGTAACTGCACCAAGGCGTTCTGTTCTACTAGTCGAAGTTCTTAAACATGTCAAACCAAAAACCTATTCAAATGACATTGCATTTAGCATTAAAATCAAGGCAATGAAAAGAAAACAAAAATTGAGAACTTCATTGGAAAACTCACCTTGTGCATCGCACGTGACAAAAGAGACTGACACCCTTTAGGATCATCTACATATGAACAGGCTCCAACTTTTCTCTTTATATAGAGAACACCAGAATTGAATGGATCATTTTTGTCCCCTGAAGGCCACCAAGGTTTTTCTGTACAAGAGACAAAATTAGTAAACTTCTTACAGCAGAGACATTCAGACAGCAGCCAAAAACCATTATACCCTCAGGAATGAGCTTGATGACATGGGGCCAGTATCGTGGACCACAAACGCGAACTGCCTTCAGCTGCAGCACATAAATTATTTGTTTAGTGTCATAAACCAGGGCATCGGACACAATGAAGGATGAAAGTTGACAAGGTATGGGGATCCAAGCCAATAGCCCAGACCAGCCGGTGTTGACACCATGAACTCAAAGGAAATGAGAAAATGGTCAGAAAACTTACCAAAGCACGCTCGGGGAGAATGCAAGGAGTAACCTCAAAGAAGCTTGTTTCAGCATAGTTTTCAGTTTCACTAATGGTAACTTCAAGAGGAGCATAAACAGGCATACCGCTGTCAACATCAACAGTTTGAATCCACCGACCTTCCGTTGCAAGAACATACAAATGCCTGAATGCCTGTCAAAAAAAATCTTTAAATACAAAAGAAAAATCCAAGAAACATTTGGTAATGATGTGAATAAATTCATTGATAAGATAAATTCGTTTGATAATATACAGCATAAAATCCTTTCAGAGTTCTTATTTTACTGCCAGTTTTGCATCTGAGAATAACTTCACCTCGGAATAACTTCAAACAAAGCCATTTACCATATAGAAAATCTCACAGCGCCCAAATACAATCCGACAGCCAAAAACATTACCTGAAGATGGCATCGGTTGTCATTTGGTCCACTAGGCAGGCGTGGATATAGAGTAATTAACAAAGCAGCAATTGAGCTATTGCTGGTTGAAAAAGTCCTCATTCCGCCTCCAAGGAACAAGAAACCAATGCCCAAGCTAACCTGAGTAAAAATGAATTAATATTCACAACATCTAATAAAGACGAAGGGAAAGTAAATACATGAATTTCATCAAGTTCATTTCCAAAGTCTGGATCCAAAAGGTTCTCGAAGTCCCCCATCTATGTAGGAATGGTAAAAGAAAAACAAAAAAAATCTTTTTGAACTATAATGTGATTCTATATCATCACCACCAAGTTTAGGAAGTTATTCCATAGATGTAAGAGTAAATGATATCCAGGAATCAGATAACTACTTACTGCCATCTGACAACCAAAATTTGCCTGCTCCTCGTTTAGGTTTCTGCTCCGAAGGAATTTCAACAATCTCAAAATTTGAAGATTTCCAGATCCAGACATAACCTGCTCTTAAATGGATACAGCTAAGAAGCTGGAGGTTTACAAAATCAAGAAGGAAAATACCTTTAATGAGAGAAAGGCACTAACCACACATAAAGACAGAACAATGAGATGAAGGCACGTTTCCAGGGTGCCACGATCAACGTACTTTGACAATCCTCTGGGGAAAGAATGTCCCGTTGAAAGAGAAACAGGCTTTATCTGGAAAAATAAGCGTGAAATTTGAAATGCATGATGGTAAGAATTTGATCATCAGTAGAAAGGACAACAAACCTCGTTGAGAAAATAGACAGCACAGGTATAAAGCAACTCTTGTGCATTTCCATCCCGGGTACCAGCAAATCTCAGCCCTATGAAGACCAATCCGCATGGCATAAAATTAGTTAGAGGACAAACTATAACTCTAAAGTTCCACACACATTATGGTGCTTTCAAGATAACTCTTAGTAAAGAAAACAAACTCTGTAACCCCACATATAAAAGGTAATTGGTCAACCCTTCTTTACATTGATAGAAACCATATGCCTATCAGAACAACCACGTGTAATTATATCCGCCAAATTGCATTCATGCACAAAAGCTATGTATTCAGCGCTAGACATTGGACTTACAAGGAAACAAGTTTGTGAGAGAATCAGTTAAGCCCAAAGTTGTACTACGCGTCAGAATCTTTCTATATGCCCATACAAAGGGACTTCAAAATTGAGATACTTGCTTTCAGTAACTAATGAAAGACTCAAAACATATCAAAAGAAAGGTAAAACAACTGCATGTCTATCGACAAATTCTAACTGCTCAGCTAAAACCATACAGGAGTAAAAGCTGAAACAACAGGAAGTTGACAAATAAATTGATTAATATAATCTTTTTTCCAATCTTAATCTAAATTGCACAAGATCTGCGGACCTAACGATCCTGTAGGTCTTATTATTTAAGTGAGAAAAACTCTTAGACTCCATTAAGTTGTAGCTCACTCTAATACACAGAGCTTTCAACAAAAGCCTCAATTTAAGACTCTCTTGGGAAGATCATTTACCAAGTGTAATGCATGATCCGACCACAATATTCACGAAAGCCTGAACAAAAGCCACAGCATCCACCTCATCGTCCTCATCCATCTCATCTCCAAGATGACTCAAGTAATTTTGGACAACTCCAGGAATCTGGGACTGAATCCATTCTTCAGAAGGATAAACTCTGAAACACAACTACCATTACAAAGCAACAAAGACACAAAACCAACCGTCCCATAATCAGTACCACAAAGCAGCACTACCTGCTCCAAAGTATCAAATTCCTCGCAATGACTCGAAGCATTATAAAATCAGGTCTGATATACTGCAAATCGAACCGGGATTGTGGAATAGAGAGCTGAGACAATATCAACTTTGATTCTGTCTGTAAGATAAACTGACTAAATAAATACTTGCTCAAAAGAATCACAAAGAAAATTTGTCATTCGTATAGAACAAAACAGATCCTTAATGGAGATCCAGAAACTACCTTCATAAACATTAAAGCCAAAGCAACTGCAGCTCCAGGTGCAGTAACATCAACATTGATGGAAGCCCCATCCATTAGCTTATTAATACAAGGAAGAAAACAACATAGTGAATAAAGAGCACGACGAAGCAGACAATCAGAAGCAAAACTACTGAAACACTCCCACTTCCCAAAATAGTAGTCGTGTTTCCAAAATTTTAATTAGTTCGAAGGAGGTTTCGGATGGAGGATTTAAGATGCCTCAACATAAGCTGTGGTATTAGCATTGAAGAAGCAATGACGCTAACCTGCCCAGCAGAGCGCTGGTATTCATCACCCGGCTGTGTAAGATGGAATCTCTCCTGCAGAAGAATCAAAGAGAGTGCAAAATTAAAATAAAATAAAATAAAAAGAAAATTTTTTTCCAGCACCCCAAGGAAATAATAGGGCAAAAAGGATGTACATTTTTATGGTCTTTGCCTCCAATGTATTGGAATAATCGATTGACCATCGTTTCCATGAAGCCAAGAGCATCTTCACCGCGACCTTCATTAACGATGTACGAATTAGCTTTACCCACGTGCCTCATCAAATTCATAAAACTATAAAACTGACCGCCACAGTATTATACCCAAGGCAACGAGGCCCAGTGAGAATCCTGCAGAAACAGCATAACCCTCCCTTTCAAGCACATTGTCACCTCCACTTCTTCGCCCGATTTCCCCCTGAAAGTTAGTGGAACCCAATACCGAAGACATCAATGCACTGAAGTTTTTTACTTTATCATTGCGGGTACCGATACAAAATCAAAGAAAAAAAGGAAGTTCTTGATTATTGACTACAATATCAATAAGCTCTCAACAATCCTCAAGGTTAATACTGTCATTTATACAGGCTGTTTATTCAGCTTACAAGAAGTTTATAAAAAACACAAAGACCTATAATATTTCAATCAATTGAAGCTAGCTAATAACTATCCACAATCAATCCCAAGAATATATGACTATAATAAAGTCATTCAAATCAACTTCTAAAGGATGTAAACTGGGAATGTAGATTAAATAACAGATAAAATTTGGCAAAAAACAAATGCATCTAGTTTATTATTCATTAGCCCCAATCAACTGTATCGAAACAATGGCCCATTTTCCATGAGAATCTAAATAGCCACAAAGATAAGAAATCAGTCAAGAAAGGACCATAAACTGTTAAACGATGCACCAATTTCTTTTACCAGCAGGGCGCCATGAAATCAAAGTGAACCCACAATACCACCACAGTATTTTAGATGTAGGAAAACAGAATACTCCAATCATTGAATTTCAAGATGAAGACCAAAGTGAACAAAAATTCATCAAGCTAGCAATTGTTATTTGACTCAAACCAGAGGAAGAACCAGCTGAGCATAGAGGCCTGGTTTTAGGATTGACACAGTTCAATGGGGGAACAATTTGGATCGTAATATTATTTTTTCAAATTTGTCCTCCAAAAGTAGCTCAAAATTTCGGTGAATCCATGTTTTTGCCATTTTATATTTTTGCACGTACAGCAATTTAGACCAGGTTATTTGATTTCCTGCCATTATGGTCAGATCATACCCAGGCAGATGGATGGTGCCCGATTGGACCAATCGAGCCATTAACAACCCTGATGCTATCTCAGTCAAAGTCTCAAAGATTTGTCACGTACTGGCGGAATACACTAGCATGCATAACAAGTATCTGCACCAGCAAAACAGAAGAAATCATGATACAAGGATACAGGAAGTACCAGAAGGATTTGCATTGTTTGGGGCTGCGCTGAACCTTCATAAAGTAACCCAATAGACAGAAGTGCTGCTGACTGGGAAAAATGAAAAATGAAAAATACCAAGTGAAAATCAGGATACTTTTACGATAAGAGCAGAACAAGTAAATCCAGTAGATCAACTAAGAATCTGTAGACTGAGAGAAACAGTATTCACACAGATGCATACTCCAAAATCATTCCTCCTAACAATTGGTGATTCACGTATTAAATAAATAAGAAAACATAAGTACATTAAATTGATTTACAAAATTTGAGATTTAATGAGGGCAAATAAAGAAGAGTTAAAAACAGCAAATTAAGCATATATTTCACTACAAAGTTTAATAAAATACCAGCAAACATAGCATTGAAAGTACAGTATTAAATAGCAACCTGACAATAAAGAGAACGTACCTGCAAAAGGGTTGGTAATTCTATTTCTGGAAAAGAAGACGGTTGGCGTGCCGGTATGTGAACATAAAGAGACTGCTTAAAAGAATTCAAAACACAACAATCATTATTAGCAGCAAGGGCATAATACAGTATTCAGAAAAACATGAGAGTGGCCCATATAAGGGGAAGAAAGAAAAAAAAAACGATATTCCAGCAGAAACAAGCAAGTTTATGGGAAACGAATTCCATACAAAAAAGAATACATTCAAATTCTGAGCGAAATATTCTCATAGCATAACATATGGACACCATTTCAAGCCCCCCCCAACCCCCAAAAAAAAAACTAATCAGGATTGTCAAGTGCAAGAAAATTTCAGAATTTAACAGCCAACAAGCACTAGTAAATGATAGTCAAGAAGCAATCTCAAGAACACATGCCACAAAGGAGACAGCTCTGTGTCAATGAAGCAAAAGGAATCTTCCACACAAATTGATACCTATCTTGTTATCCATATACCACCATGAACATTACATTCAAGACATCATCCAAAATTCCAGAAGCATCTACGCAAACAATGATCAGAAGTGGGTGGGAGAATTGGAAAAGTTTTTTTATTAGACATTACTTTCAGGAGTAAAAACATGATTTCTGACACATTCAATCTGACTTTTAAATATTAAACTTTGAAGTTCAAATCATTTTTTTGTATTCAAAAACTATGCTATTTTTGACATTGTATTTAAATATATGTAAAATTTTGGTAAAGCTTGAAAAGAAGACTACTTCCAGCAAGCTGGCTTTCCAAAATTGAAGCTCAAGTATGTATCCTGTAACAAATTTACATAATTTCAACAGTAAAGAATGTGACCAACAAAGAATGGGAGGGAGGAAGAGAGACAACTAGTTATTGTACCTTCGAAATCGCTGGCTGCATCGTTCCCCTGTATGATGCAGCAAGGCCAAGCATTAATCCTACAGTCGTGCTTTCATGTTCCTTCAACGGAGATTCATCAAATTGTAGACAATTAGATTTGAGAGAGACCAGTGCTAATTGAGAAACAGAGACATTTAGAGTACAGCAAAAGCAAACACAAATGTTGAAGGAGAAGACACAAGTGGCAACCAAAGAACGAACATCAACATCAACATACCCAATATACCGAAGAATATGTTCCCAAAAAATTAGAGTAAACGGAAACGAGTGAGGACACAATGCAATCAACAGTTGCTTTCTAGCTTAGGATGAGCAGTTAAATCATACAGCCAAAACTTAACAGTGATTTGATGACAATTTTTACGTGCGTAACCAGCTTGTATATCAACTCAGCCAACAATAAATTCCTAATAAAAATTTATCTGTGGAAATTTTGGTACTTGAACCAACCATTTATATCACCATTCTCCAAGCCTAGCGACTATAAGAATTCAATTTCCTCCGGAAGTACAAAAGCACATAATTTCTTTCCGGGAGATAATGCATAATTACAAAACAAATCTGCAGATCTACAGATTTGTGCATGCTTAAAATTAACATATAATCAATATCAATGCTGGAGTTTGTTGAAAGTTCAAGCATCCAGCGATGCTCCAAAATGTTTAGAGAAACTAAAACATATTGGTAACACTTTAGCAATAACGCTCCAAAGGCAAGCAAAAATGCTGCTTCTTTTCCAGATATTCCAGATATAGGGTGGTATCAGTTAGGAGATCAGGAAGTAAACTTTTCAGTAGGAACCTAAACAGCACATACTACATTCACTTTAAACTCGAATATAGCCAAAATGTATTTATAGCACAGCATTTCTTGTTTCAACCTCCAAGCAGGAATCCATGTCTTATCCTCAGAAATAATTGCCCACCATCAAATGGTAAGCTAATGATTGACACAAGTGGTAAATGATAAGAATAATTTGACAATTTTTACCTGGGAATAATACTTGAATATATCTGTTATTGATAAAACATGAAGATATCCATGTAAACCCAAGGCAAGGAGAAGGCCAGCATGGACAACATTTGGTTCATCAGGCTTGTTATACATTATCCATGTCCTGGACATCTTTCCCTGCATGAAAACCAAACAACATGATTCAGCAACAGAAAATGTAGTATGGGATAAGAAATCTAACCAGTTGACAGATTAAAAAAATGAAAAGGAACCTGAAGGGGAGCAAGTTTCAATCCAGCAGCAACAGCATTGTGAAACTCAGGCCAACTTTTAACTTCTTGTACATTTCTGATATTTGGATCTAAGTTTACCTGCCAACAGAATGAATCCGTGCTACATCACGAAACAAACAGGAAACATCTCGGCAGAAAATGAAAAACTTAATGGTTAACCAAAATGAGAAATAAGAGGATTGGTGAGCCAAAAGAATGCTCAACAAAGGACTGAAAAGGACATTCTAAATTCAGGCAGATATTTACAAGACAAAGGAAACTGTGACAAGCATCCGCACAAGGGCATATCATCCAACGTTATCTCTTACGGGTGGCAAATGGGTAGATTACGTCACTCTGTGAGTGGGGACTGGGGATTACGTCACTCTTTGCCAGGTTTAAAATTAATATAGAAAAAGAAATAATGACTACAGTGCCACATCAGCCAAACTGCCAGCCAGACGACCTGTGAGTCAACAACCTTTAATCCACAACTCAACCCCACACAAACATGCCCGTCAATAAGTTTGCCAGACCCTTAACTCATCAGACCAGGGACTCTACTAACTCAAGTAGTAAAGATGGTAGGTAGATTAGGCTGGCATTGTAGGTTACTGGTCAAATTAGCCATCCCTATCTCTGATTATTTTTGCAGATCTCAACATGTTCCCTAATGTCCAAGGCAGCCATATTTAAAAGCAAATTAATCTAACCACTGCATTTTGTTGAGCAGGCAACCGACCGGCTAAAACAAGCTTTGGGACTGCTAGGGCCTGCACAAGTTTTAAACTACATAAATACAACAAAGGTATACAGGTCTCAAAACAAATATAAGGAATCGGGACAATGGGAACAGTGTAATACGAGAAACACGTAATAATCACCTCCGTCAAAAGAGTATGCGTGGTAGCAAGTGTAAATGCACCACGGCCAAATGGAAGTGATGTGGTCCTTTGAGCAAGCTGCCATAGTTGTGCCTATAAACATGCAGCAGAGTTAATAACTGTCCAGGCATCTAAAGAAATAGAACGACATATCAACCGAGTTAATAACCGTAAAGGTATTCCAAGTCCCAAGAAGATGAAAATCAGGCAGCACGCACATTACTTGTGTCTCTACAAGTGGATTATCATGCATACCTAAGCCACAAAATAAGACGATGCAATCTGCAATATTCTAGGTAAAACAATTATATAACAGAAATAGGATATTCAGTTCTGATCAGGAACAGCAAGAAGAAGATTAAACATTCTGCACCACCTATTTTCATGACAGTGTTGCAGAATAGATATAATAATGATAACAACAACAATATGATACTACATAAGCATCTCAAAAACAAACGGTTGTGTCTCAATATGGAGATAAAAAGACACCAAAACTGGAGTCAATAATTACTTCATGAACCACAAAGAAAAAGGAGCTCTAGTAATCAAGGAAAGAGGAAAACATGATTTTGAAAACCACGATCATTCCTTGTCATCCTAACGCACGAAATTTACTTCACTGTAGTGACCTACAGTGGAAGATTCAACCTCCTGTAAACATAGAGCTCAGTAATCAAGGCACAGATGAACACAAGCATATAATATTGTTAATTGTTGTTCGCATCCATACCACAAACAACAAGAATAGTGGAAATCCAAGAGTAAAAGAGACAGAATGAAGAGGTACTTGATATGTCATACACAATCAGTAGTTCATCGCAGATAAGCTTTAACTTTTGGATTGAATACCAGAAAACGAAAGCTAAAATATCTACAAAAGCTGCTATCAATTATCATGCTGTATAAGAACCACATAGTCAACAATAACAACAAATAAAAAATTTAAATTTCTGGGAGGTAGTGGGGATTCCAAATACCTGTTGGAGATCTTGATCATTTGCCGTAGGGCTAGCAGGCGTTTGAATTGGTATTGCTCTAGCAGAAGACAGAAGATGCCTAACCTACAAATTGTGAGACTGCTTTAACACGCAACATTAAATCAAATTGCCCACGAAAATAATTTATGTTCTCCGTAGGAACTGAATCAATGTAAGTTCGACAATAGTAACCAAAATAAAATATCTACAACATTAGAAATACAGAAAAGGGCACCCATGTAGAAAGGTGCATGAAGACGACAATATTAAATCATTATGAATTTTTTTTCACGTAAATATACATGGACAATTAAATCCCCTTTTACTATAAATAATGAGGAAAAGTTGAGCCATAGAAATCCCAAAACAAGTCGTGGGCCACCAAACACACTCATGCCAGAGCATTACCTCTGTTGTTTTGATTGTTTCTCCATCAAGAGACACCTAATAAATGGAATCTGAACCAACCTAGACAAGCGGATGACTACAGATGATGGAAAAAGGAAAAAGAAAAAAGAAAGAAAAGAAAACAGTTATGTCACAACTACTATTGTCGCATATAGACACGAACAGACAATGCCCAGACTCCCAACTATGTATTCCCCAAGGAAAACAAGTAAAGGAAGCAAAGACCTAAAGATTAACAGTTTGACATAATTCCACCCATCAAAAGTTAATGACGTGTAATTGAACTTATTTTCCATTGCAACAGCATAACCACATCGAAGAAAATCAAGCACCAGACAAAATGTTAAAGACATATTATTCCTTCCAAAAATTAGGCCATGGAGCAGCTAGTAGAAATCAAAGATAAGAAAACAGCTACGACACTGGGGAAATAGAAGTGGGTGGCTTATTTAACAATATGATTCACGAATAAAGTGCTTACACGAATTCGGCATAACTGAGAACACCAACTAACCTCATTTAAACGTAGATCGCGACCATATCGTAACTGTGTGCTACTATTGAAAAGATGCTCCATTCCATCTACAACGGCTCCATCAACAGAGTCAGCATCTTCGAGCTTAGAAGTCTCTAATTCATTAGTGTCTGAAACTGAAGAAGGGATAGACACTGGATGCAAGTGAGACATGTAAGGGGCAGAAAGAGTGATCAAGCTTCCACTAGTATGACGATCACTTTCCATGGGTTTACTTGAATTCCCTGGACGAGGCCATGCCAAATCTTCACGACCTAGGAGAACGTATGCTGTCGGAGGCCAATCTCTAGGAGGGGAATCACGGCATTTCGCTAGAGCCTAAACATCCGAGATAATGACACTATGAAACCACAATTTAAATCAAAAACCAAAAGAAAGTACAAACCCACACAATACATGTATCAAGATGTGATGGAAAGGCATCAGTAAGAACAGTACAGCAACTGTAACCACCATAATATTGGGTAAAGGTTAGTTCTTGGCCACCATTCAAAAACCGAAAACTATGTGCATCATCAGCGAATCACAAGTAGATAAAATCATTCAACAAATTGTCGAGGAAATTATAGTCATAAATGTTAGACAAAGACTTACGTGGCGAAGAGGAAGAGAAACACCAGCAGGCAGCAAATCTAGCTGCTGCAAACCAAACCCTTCACCAACCATTGCCAGAACAACTAACTCCTCTTGGGTGGAATATGATCCAGATGCTATATTGCAGGTAACACCAGATGAGAGCATTTTTCCGACTTTTTCTGCACCACATAACAAGCTGTAGAAAGAAACTATCTTCCTCGCCCAAGCAATAGCTGAACTTCCGTCCTTGAGTATTAGTAGAGGAAGGTCATTGACATAATCAGAACTAAATCCATGTCGCAAACACCTTTCCAGCCATTTAAATAGATTAGGAGGGGTTTTGTTGGACTGTAGTGACTGGAACATCCTAAAGTCCTTATAAATGATTGGAAAGTCCCTAATATAATGATCCAAGTAGCTTTCTTCACGTAAGAAATCGGCAATGTCACGTAAAAGAACAACAAGAAGGCTAAGATCCCTACAATAAAATTCATGTAAAAGGTTATCAGGCTAATGAAACGACAAGTTTATGAAGTTCCACCCGAAGATTCAAGACAATTCAGAGTATAATGAACTATGACAATAGGCCAAGTCCTTCTTTCCAAAAAGAAACAAAAAAGAAGCAACTTTAGACCAAGTCTAGAACCTCCATTTGATTTCAGCGAACAAAATGTATGGGCCAGGAAACTAACAGTAAAAAGACACCACAAAACACATGCAATTACTAATCTGGAAAATCATTCAGATTGCAAGATTAATGTACAAAAGCCGATAAACCTTAATTCCAAAGTCTTCTCTCTCTCTTATTGCACCAAAGCGTTGAACTACCCAAGTACCAAACTTTTTTTAACTAAAACTGATTTCTCAGTATCCTAAATGAAAATTTCTGATATAATCAAAACCAAAACCAAAACTAAAACTATATGGTGCAAATGTGAAACGTAAAGAGTGAAAATGTTAAGCGTTGACATGTTGAACAAACACTTGTAAAAATGATAGAACATCAGACCCCACTTTTGCAATAATTCTACAAAAGGTAGAATGAAACAAGGGAATTCAGTTTGTAATAATATTTTGATTGGTTTTGTCTTGACATATTGCGTAAGAAAATCAGATCAGTTATTTCTCGAATTCTCGATTCCATCATGAATGCCTAAGCTCTACGGATGTCAGATTTCATATCTAGTAGTGGTACATTCTCCAATAATCAAAAGGCCAACTGAACTCCATATTGAATTATTGATGCACCACAAATATTTTAGTGCTAGCAGTCACAAAGAAACTGACATGAGGCAAAATAAAGGGAAAGTTGTAATTGACATGCATAACTTAAGAAGCAATGTACTTTAATGAGAACAAAATAAGGAAGTACCGTTTGCGGAGGATATCAAGTTTCAGACATTCATATACTGCATGAAGTGAATCCATAATCTCCCTCAGTAAAACAGGGACGGATGAGCTTTCATAATCTTTTCCTCCTACAAAAGACCCAGATAAGTCTGATTCCAGTTGGTTGCCTGACGTCAGAGGCAATATTCCAGCAAGGAGACTCTTGTTAGAGTAGAGTTTATTGTATCTACTGTTGACAAGAAAATCCCAAGGGGACTGTGAATCTTCAAATGAGCAACTCTGAGAGGCAGTAGAGCTTGTGCAAAGGGCCCTAATTACATGACAAAATGACTCCCATTCCAAATCAGCATCAGAATCAGCTATTGCAGGAGCAGAATAATTATTGTCGCCCCACAATAAATTAAGAAAGTGATTGTAGAAGCTAGAACTAAGAGCCTCAGACATTGCTGTGAGGCAATCGTTGACAAGAGATGATGAAGGATCACACCGAAGCATACATCTGTAAATCTAGAGAGACAGTAGGATCAGGAACAAAAACATCAGCTATAGTCATAATAGTACTGCAGTTTAAAAAAGAAAAGAAAGACCTGTAAACAATTAACCGCAATAAAATGTTAATGCTCAATGAATAAATCCAACTGCCTTCAATTCCTCAACACCACAAGTATAAGTTTTATAAACACAGTAAAAGGTCGATATTACAAGTTGCAGACAAGTCGCTAACAACAAATTTAAAAGCAATCCACATCAGCAATAGAGATCAAGGGTCCGGACATTTGGACACGAAATATTAGATTCGACGATGTAAATAAAAATGGAATCTCTCAAACTGGTGCAAATGACTTCTCAATGTTCAACATGCGTAAATGAGACACACAGAATACCTGTCTACTATTCAGTACAATGTTTATGCGCCCTTCGACGGCATCAGCCAGTTCAGTGGCTTTTACTTCATGAAGAATTGATGAATCCGAAGCCTTTGCTGTATGCAGAAGCTGATCTTTACCCAAAAACTGAGGCAAGACATATTTACAAAGGCATTGCTTCCCAGACTGCAAGAACATAAATAGAGAAGCTTAGCAACATTAATAGGCATGCTCATGTATGCAGACCATCAATAACACCGACTACGGGATTCATTATGCAGAAAATTAACAGAGGTTGCAGAAAACAGCATGCTCGTCTGCCAAAACCCCATAAGCTCCTTAATACTTGCAAAGAGGATTAAACGGGGATGGGTTTGTCTGATCAGTGGGATCAAGTTCAGAGAGTCTATAATTGCGTTACACATTGAACTGAATCTCTTTTTTCCTTTTGAAGGGATCAACTTGACATGTTAACATAACATAGATGGTAGTTTTAGGGAAAACTTGGAAATTAGTAGCATTACACAGCTTAGATCATAGTAACAACCTCTCAGGTCACAGTAACAACACTCTTAACTGTGAATCGCATACAAGCTGGACTCAACATGAAAATAGAGCCCAAAATGACAAATGTATACAAAGCCATATTTTCTGAGAATGCAACATTCACAGGTAAGGAGTCCAATCTAAGAACTTACATAAAGGAAAAGGTTGTTTTCTGAAGTTAACGCGATGATGTCGACAAAAGGGCAGGTCCCAATCTTCACTCTGGATAGAACACCAAAATGCAATTTTAAAATGACTAACCAAAAGAGAAGAACAACAGTAAGGATGGAGACATACCTCGGGCGAGTCACAGTAACCGGCTCAGCAGCAACAGCAGATATGCTCCAGCTCATATCAGGTTTAATGTCAATGATTATCTCATTATCTATTTCTAAAGTATGAAGACGGACTGCTACCAATTTCTTTTGCTCATGCAGAAGGAAACAAATTATTTGAACAGCATCATCATCGGTTGCCAGAAATACCTGATACAATATTTCCAGTCAGGGGCTTAAAGTACATGAGAAAGAAACAAAGATTTTCATAAGTAGAATAGAGTGCACGATGAAAATCACAGAGTCTAGATGGCGATCATGTCCAAATGACAAAGAAAATCAGCTGTGGAAAGGTATGGGATGTGGTACATGATACATTAATAAAAACAAAATTAATTAAATCATGAACAAGAGATTCCCCCATGGCGTGAAATAAGCACTCAGCAATTGTGGTTGTGGTTGCAGTGACCAAGTATTACCCACAGGCAAGGAATTTAATTTACATGAAGACGTCCATTATCAAGTCTTACATTTAAAAAACACTTGAGGATCAGCAAAGAAAGCCTGTGGCAGGCAAAACTAATCTTTCCAAGGGATATGAGTCCTTAGATTGTGATAAAGGCTAAGTTGTGATGTGGGTCTTCAGAAACTCAAAAGTAAGGCGGCAGCAGCAAGACAAAGGCCCTCATGCTGGAATCGACGAGATAATAGTTCTAGATATATAATTCACGAATAAAGATCTTGGTTTCTTAAATAATCCAAAAGACGATCAACTTCGACCAACTACATCACGGACAGGCGGACGCCATAATTTACTAAAACTAAACCAAATAGCTAAGACCTAATATGCCATCTTCAAAAGGACACAGAGAGTTTTGCCTATGGTTACTTTGCAGGTTGTTACAAGGATGATATGTTGCTTAAACATGAACAGAAACTACTTATCACCTGAATGATATAGCTCTTGATTCACACGAGTTAAAGAAACACCAGAACTTTCAGTTTCAAAGTAAACATTACAAATTTGTGGCAAATGAAAAGGGCAAATGAAAAACAGGCAAAATAAACCAGGAAATAATAAACATAAGCAAATTAACAACCCATAAAAACAAAAAATATTAAGCAATTGAAGTTACACTTAAAATCTTTTAAGAGCATAAACAATCAGGAAAAAAAAAAGTGATATTCTGATACCGCTCTATTCTTACATTCGCAACAAGGTTAGCGAGGTCTTCAGTAAATCAAATAACTATTCATTAAATTATACATCAAGGCGCACCGCCTTGCAAAAAGAAGAAACAGAACACAACAAAGAACATATACAACATATGGAAGAAAAACTAGGATTCCAGTCTAAGAAGAAGCAAATATAAAGCAATAAGTCGAGCACCTTACTAGCAGCTGTAGGTGAGCCCTTCCCCTGCCATATCCTTCGAAAGGAAATCCGTTTCATTAGCACATCAGTGGGAACAGCATCAAATAATCCAGAATTTACGTCTTCGAGGTTAGAGTTGACAGCTTCGGCAACCCACACAGAATGCTGCATCTTCCCTGCATACAAAGAAATGGAATTTCCAGTACTTTCATCCTAGCTAGTTTATAACAATCATATGGTGCAACCACGAGTAGAAAACTAAAGAAGGAACCTTTGTTATGCGACACCATCAGAGGAACAAGGTCACTTGTCCAAATGGTCTGTTCATCGAACTCTCTTATGACATTTAACTTTCCTCTTTCCTCCATATGAGTTGGCTGGAAAATCAACAATAATAATTAAACAAAAAAGAGAGGCATCAAACAGATATATGGCTTTTCTAATTAAATGGGAACAGCTAGAGTGGAGGAATTTTAATACCCCAGTATTAATAGAACTAAGGTACTGAAAACCAAAAAAACAATGGAAAACTGTTCAACATGCCTGAGGTTCTTCCAGAGGATCCTTCAAGATTAAATGCGAGCATAAGAAAGTTCCATCTGCCTTAAGAAGAAAATCATATCCGCGACGTGGAGAAAAATTATTCAAAGTACTGCAACCAACTCCCCTTTTCAAGCGACCTATATCACGAGCGCTGGAAGATGCACCATGAGGCGGAAATGGAATGTGTAGTGATGAATTTCTTTCAGGTGCCCCTTGGAGAAGTAAACCAAAGGGAAGAGGCCAAATTGATGTTATGCTATGTGAAAGAGGAACAGACACCACTTCACCTGTGCAAAAGAACATCAAATTTCCATATGAACAGAGGTCTTCGTGTAAGAAAACGAGTGTGTAATCTAAACAGATTTCACAGCATCATGACATAAACTCTATCGACAAAGGTTTTACGTAAGCATGAAAAAGAAGAGATTAGCAAACATCATACAATTCGTGGACAGCCATTTCATCTTTATTTTGGTTTAAAAATCTTAAAAGCTGTATTGAAAATGTAACAGGTGTAAAATGGTGTATTGAGAATAAAATATAACAATTTAAAACGAGAATTGTACCTCAGGATTTTAAATTTGAGTGAAAAACAAAAACATTTTGGTTTTAAACATTATAGAACAGCAACAACAATAACAAGCCTTTATCCAACGATGTGGAGACATGGCTTTAAAACTGTGGCAAGGAAAATATTTTCTACAAGAACTAAAGTACGGCAGGTGTGAAAGTGAACTACACAAATACTAAAATAATGAACAACAAAATGCAAAATCTATTAACCTGAAGTATTATAAATGGTTAAACTGTCACTTAAAAGAACGCAAAGAAGAGCCTCTGACTTATCACCCAGCCGGCACCAGCATGCCTGGAATCCACAACAAAACGATATTATTTGAACAACAGTACAGGAAGAGAATTCTAAACAAAACTGAGCTCAAAAAAATCAGAGGTACAAAACTATAAAATACCCAAGGACTAGTAGGTTACATGGAATTGAAATGAGGCAGATACGGTCTTCTTTTGCTTAAACATTTAGTTTGAAAGATAACCACATTATGCCTTTCCATACCGATTTCATTTTCTTGCTTCTCGTAGCCCATAATACAAGATAACCAATTTTTTATGTCTGACCAACAAAAAAAAAAATCAGAGTATCACACATCAAAATTAGATTCTGAGTTCTTATCAATGCTGCCCAAACAAAAGAGGACCTTCACTCCCTTTACCCCCAGCAGATGAACTCCTCACTAATACAGGAAGCATAGATGAAACCATAATTAAAACATTTGCCACAATCCTTGAAACTATACTGAAATCAACTATCCAAAATTTGCAATTCTTTCAAATGGACACTATCTGGAGTATCAATCTAAATCAGATAAAACAAGAAGAAACTATACATTCTCGCAATCAACAGTTCGATGAATAGAGACAAAATAAAGGAACGCAAAAATGAATAAACAAACAAGTTCAGTCACCTTCAAAACTTTGGATGGTAACGTAAACCTCTTGTACACGCGGGCACCAATGCTCCATATTATCCTGTAATTGCGACGCAATAGTAAAACATTTGAGGCGTATACAGAAAATCCTGATTTTCTAAGACCAAAAAGTAAGCGAAAGTACGAAATTATGCAATGCAGCAGTGAGAGTATAGCCCTAGTTCAAGAAGCTTCTAATTAGTCATGAATTCGTATACAAAGTTCAGTATGATCAAAAAATTACCGATTTCCCCGAATGAAGAGTTCATGGTCGCTCCTGTGGGAAGACGACGGCGCTTCCACAAGGTCATCAGCTTCATCTCTCTGCCTGGCAAGTTCCGGGTCGAAGAGGAAGTACAAGTAGTCGTCCTCAAAATCTTCGGAAGGTTTGCCGTCGAGAGCTTCGGCAACCAAGCCAAAAGGTTTGAACTCGCCGAGGACGGTGAGTTCTCGAACTCCAACCTGCATTTCTCTTGGTTCCAGTCGGCCGTCGCAGAAAGGGTGGCGACTGGCGAGGCAAAAGTTTCTTAGCTCTCCCGCTCTTTTTCTTCGGTTTTTCAAGTTGAGGGTGAGTTTGATACCCGCACCGTCAAAAAAAAAACCCGTCTTCATAGCAAACGACAAAATGACACATATGGCCTTATACCTGTAGCCCTAGTTCGATTTAGTCCCTCCCTAATTTCCTCGACAAGGTGTTACTTTTTACAGTACACTAAATTACTCACTGATAGTTCATTTGGACATTTATGTCCCCGACTCTTCCTTCTTCCTCATTTCCTCCTTCCACTTCTCTTTTCTTCTTCTTCTTCTTTTTTTTCAACTTTAAAGTCAGATCTAGCACAATTTTACGTCTAAAAAACTGGCGGAACAAGACAGACAAGCACAATAAGGCTTGTCCTCAATTTCGATAAGATTTTTTCTACCAAAAAACCTTTAAAAAAATAAATATAAAAAAAAAATTCTGCCAAGATGGCCGACGGTCGGCCGGCCACCCTATGAAATTTGGTCGAGTGTGAACTAGTCCTGTCGGGAGGAGTGGTCAGATAGGAATTGGCCACCCTCCTCTCCTTGAAGGATGGCTGGTCCAAACAGGCGGTCATAATTTTTTTGTACCTTCTACACATCTTTTTTTGTATAACTGGCGTGACAACAGTATTTTAGGATGGGTTTGCGATTTAAGGTTCAAGGTATAGGGTTTAGGGTAATGCATACCAATGTAGGATAGCATACTGGAATCGACTACATGCATCTAGTCAGAAGTTGAATAACATTTATTTAAATTTCAAATGTGTCATCACAAATTCCTTAAAACATGTCAAATTAGAAAGAAATCCAATAAGTACCACATAACATTCTAATTAAATACATATCACTCTCTCTGCCTCAAACGGAATTCATTTTGAAATTGAAATAAAAAGGCCGCATGATCCTTTGCACTCTCTGGATCAAGTTCGCGGAGTGTTGCCCCTGTGTCTACATGAAGAGTGGACAATCGTTTGACCCATGTCCCCAAAAAAAAAAAATTCCACAATTAATAATATATTGTAGAAACATTTCAAGAAATAGTAACACATATTAGTACCCTTGTAATGGCATAAAGACTTACATAAAATGTGTTTCCAACACTAATAAATATATATATAACTACACTATTACAATAATACAAATATAGATTAAAATAAATTCAATTAAATTAATTATACCTAATAATTTTGTCCATTTAACCTACATTAATTATTATATATAAATATTCATTAAAATAAAGATTCAAATATAAATTAAAACAAATTCAATGAAATTAATTATACATATTAAATTTCTCCCGTTAACCTACATTAATTATTATTTATAATTATTCCATTAAAATAAAGATTCATATCTAAACTATAATAAATTCGATTAATTTAATTATAACTATTAAATTTTTCCCTTTAACACACATTAATTATTATCTATATGATTTAAATATAAATTAATATAAGTATAATTAAATTAATTACAACTAATAACACAATATACACTAATTATATTAAATAAAAATAAATTTAGCTAGATGAATCGAACAATAACACAAAATATAAAACTAAAATAATTATAACCAAAAAAGAAATAACATATGGAGTATTTTCTACCTCTATTATTTGATGAACTTAATTTCGATATTTTCTCGGATTTGATTTACGAGTACAATTAAATTTTCATCCTGGTGTCTCGTATATTTTTGAGCACTTGTACTTTCCATTTGGTAAGCAAATGATTGATGTTATCATATGGTAAGCCAACTTGTAGTTTTGTTGTGAAGGGGGCTAATATTCGTTTTGTATGTTAAAAATTTCTTGTTAGTGAACTTTTTGCCTTTGCCACGAGAAAACATAATAATTGTAATAATAATAATAATAATAATAATAATGAATCCCTTCGACAATCTATCACCTGTTTTCAGAAGTTTCTTAATAGGCTGAAGAAGTTGAATATTCTTTTTAACTTTCTCATATTGTTGGCCTGAATGGGTTTAGTCCAGCCGATCGAGCGTCGCAAGATGACCAATTGAAATATAATTCCTACATTTTTTAAGAAAAAGAAAAAGACCAAATGAAGTAGCTATTCGTCTTCCAAGCATTAAACAATATGTCAAAGACATACAACTCAAAAGTCTAGAAGTCTTGGTCCAGAAAAAGAAGATGTCCAGAACCAGAAGTTTTAATAATTATAAAGTGGTAATTATAGATATAGTAAGTCTGTCTAAAACAGAATTTTAAAATTCAATAAGTCTATAACCGTGGATCACAAAGTTAATTAACTACTGAAATTTCTCAATCTAAAACAAATCCTCACAAGAGCAGTTGACCAAAGTCCAAAATGAATACCACCACCGCGCTGTACTCCGTGGAGTATTTGTTTTTCTTTTTTTTTTTTACTAAAGCGAGTATTTGTTTTTACCCCAGCGGTGACAGCACAGTCTACGCATGTGTCACCGACCCACCGTCTTCTGGTCCACTAAAAATGTGCAGTGGTCTTGTGACCTACAATACAATAATAAAATATGTCATTCTTTCTGATCTTAATTATAAAAAGAAGATACAAATAAACATTAATTATGTCTTATTATTAGACCGAAGGGAGTACTAATCATAATTAGTTTATGAATTTTATCATACAAATGGGGAAAAAAAATGCTGAATTGGGATATGTTTGCTAAGGCAAACATGTTTCATTAGTTTTGATTTTTCGTCGAACCTGGTGAGTTCCATTTCGGGTGAATTATAACATCATTGGTGAGATGAGATACTTGCATCTAAATAAATAAATAAATAAATAAATCATATATACCATTTTTATTTTTAAAAAAAATAATTCGCATTGGATTTTTCAATTTAAGGAAAGCATCTTGATGTTATCGTCAGCGTATCAAAGTTGGGACCATGGAATACATAAAGAAATACTTTGGAGGCCAAGTTAGAAACTTGTCTAATGTTATGGATTATGTCACACCCAATTGAACTTACTTATTTTGGTTCAACGACAATTATTGATTATGCATGACTCCCTATTTAAATGAATCCATTACGACCTAGTCTCTCCATTTTAAAATGTAAGTCGTTTTAAGTTTTGAGAAATATTTCAAAATGTAAATCGTTTTAGGATTTCAAGGCCAATTAAAGATCACCTTCCAAATTTTACTCCTAATAAATGATACTAACCCCTTTTCATATAATTTTATTTATAATTCTAAAATAATTAATGAAGGGCAAAATAAACATTTAATACATAAATTAATCATTAAATGATTGTCTCATTAGTTTACGTGTAGAGGTTAAAAAGATTTATATTTTGAAATTGAGGGAGTAGGCTTTAGGACACTGAAACTGAAAATGTATCCGGCTAGTGTTTCTATGTTATAATAAATGTATAATTGGGGGTGAAAACCGAAAAGGACAGGTAGGTACAGATACATCCCTCAATTTTTTAGTAAGTTTATAATTGGGGGTGAAAATTGAAAAGAATTTAATTTAACCATAAATTAAATCAATATTAGATATGGTTCATACTTAAGTCCGGAATCACACAATGTTGATAGCTGTTTTTGTCAATTTCAACATGTACCAGATCTTTTTAATTGGCTCCATTACCAAATTACAAAGTTTAAAGTTACACCACCCCTCGCGGCATGTTACTAAATACAAAATGTAAAGATTTATGACCTTGTAAAATCAATAAATTGATTAAAAAAAACCATACAAAACATATATAGTATTTTCTTATGTATTTATGATAAGATATTTTGATTCGTTTTAAATTTCATTTAGTATGTTTTTTAATTTAAAATTAATTTTAAAAATATAATATTGAATTTATTTTGTTTTCTCAAATATTATAAAATATATTTAAAATTTATTCAATTAAAAAATATATTAAATGACACTTAGGATAAATTAAAATATTGTATAATATGGACATGAAAGATTCTTTGTGAATTCAGGTCAAAATTTGAGAACAATTTAGGAAAATGGAAATATATATATATATATATATATGATTATTAATAAAAGTAAGAAAGAAAAAAGTCAACTCAACCTCAGATGCAATAAAAGTGTTTAATTAATATGGCTGACCAGGAAAGCGCCAGTTGTATACTTTTGAGTACCAATTCTTGGAACCTGGAGGCTGACAAAGAGAGAAAAGCAAAGCCAGCATCTACGGCGAAGGCCAGGCTAGAGACTCCAAAGACCAACGGACGAGAGACTAAAAGGCCAAAAGAGAAAAAAAAAAAAAAAAGGACTAGAAACACAGACCCGTTCATTCCCAGCTAAACGGCAGGTGGGTAAGACTAGTTTTTCTTACTTTTTGCAGTTTTTAATTTTATTACTCCATACCCTTTGCTTGGGAAAGGCATAGAAATAGAAAAAACGTGTTTGACCGTTGACGAGGAGTCAGTCATTAAACGCCACCCCAAGCTATATCAAACCCAATGACCAAATTTGTGAACATTAATCTCTCTCAAGTCTCAAGTATATGACAATTCTCAATCGCACCTAAACTGCGTGATCAAATCCTCGTAAAGCACTTCATAACCAATTAATTTTTTGTTGACTTTTATAATTATTTACTAGATGCTTAGATTGGGCAGATGTCCGGGCGCCCCCTCTACTTTAATTTTGTGTTAATAAATAAATGAATTGTTGATTTGGAAAAAATAAAATAGTTACACATTTGTTTTTTTTTTCCTTTTTTTAGCCAGAAATAAAAATAAAAATAAAAAAATCATCTGCAAAAGGAGAAAAAATATTGAAAAGTACAACGATACAGAAATCATATAAAAGAATGTTGAGTAATGAAGGGGATAAGTTTATGGGCAAATTTAAATGCTATCTTAATTTAATTGATAAATGATAGGAGTTAAAATTGTGTAGTTATTTTTGTAAAGTAACTTTTGTTTCTCTGGATAAGAAGTTTTTTTTCTCTTTTAAAAAGGGATGACACGTGGCAGAATGGTTAATGCAATATGGTGCATTTGGAGCCAAAATTTTTTAATAAAAAATTGCCACATCAATATTCTGCTTTTAATAGGGTAATAATAATAATAATAATAATAATAAAGGGGATAATAAGATTCACGACCACAAAAGGCGCGTGAGTCAGAGAAGTCATAGCTTTGACAGCGTCACCAGTTGTAAAAACCCCAGAAGGCAAGCCACCAAAGTAGTATATAAACGCAAAAACAATCCACGCAAATTTTCATACATTTTGATCGAAACAGAGCTAAAAAAAAAGAAGCCGAAGCGGCAAGGCCGGCAGCAACAGGAGTTGAAAAAAAGAGCAACACGATGTCTTCCGCCGTAGCAATAGCCGCGAATTCGCCGGTTTTCACGTTATCACCTAGGCCCAGAATATCGCCGATCTTCTGTAAACCATCCACGTCACTGTCTCCGTCGCCTTTGTCTCCTTCTCCGTCGTCATCGCCTCTGTCTCCGTTCACCACTCTCAGACTTCAGAAACAAGCAAGTCTCCTTTCTAACTTCAGTAATAGTCTTAGATACGAAAGTAACTGTCAGGATCGGAATGATCCGATCGAGTGTTCCACGTCATCGCCGTCGACGTCGACGGCTACGTTGTTGAAGAGGAAGCGGCCGGCGAGAATTAACGTTCCCATTTCTCCCGTTGCATTTACTGATTCTGGAAATCAAAGTCCCCAAGATTGTGAGAGCCTAAATGATGTGGATGATGTAGGGGAGGGATATGCTGTCTATTGTAAAAGAGGGAAAAAGCGTGGTGCCATGGAGGATAGACATGCTGCCATTGTTGGCCTCTTGGGAGACTCAAAGAAGGTAAGCATCATCGAGTTGTTTTTTAGAATGTCAATTTTCCCGTTCTTTAAGTGTTTTGTATGAAAAACCATGCGTTTTATGAGTGTGTTGGACTGGGTTATAAAATGAAACCTTTCGATTGTAAATTATATTGCAATTAATTTGTTATGTAGCAGGATTGTTATCTGAGTTCTGTATAGCAAACTTTCGCATGAACAAAAATGAACATCGAGTTTGTAAATACAATATAGTGATCGGATCAATTTTCCGGAAAATATGCTGTTAACTTGAGGAAACTTGGGCAAATGCTACTTGTTTGTAAGAAATCACGAGGTTATGATTTTCTGGTTGGACCAACATTAGCGTCTCTTTACAATTTCTTTTTTCCAGTTGAAGTTGCTGATTCAATATATTACAATGTTATGAAAAGTTTTAGTGGTAGTCACAGTTACTGTAAAATTTTCGCATTGAGGTGGAATATAATGATACCATTTGTTATTTCAGGCTATTTTCAGTGTGTTTGATGGACATGGAGGAGCAAAAGCTGCAGAATTTGCAGCTAGGAATTTGAATGACAACATTGTAAATAAACTGAGCAACAGAAATGATGCTAGCATTGTAGAAGCAGTTGAAGAGGGATATCTTACAACAGATGCGGAGTGTATGAAGGAAGTAATTAACGGAGGGGCTTGCTCTGTCACTGCATTGATACACGAAGGCAATCTTGTGATATCAAATGCGGGTGATTGTCGGGCAGTTATAAGCCGCAGTGGAGTTGCTGAGGCATTAACAGTTGATCACAGGCCCTCGAGACAGGATGAAAAGGATAGGATTGAGGCCATGGTAGGTACTGCTTTGCGCTTTTTATTTCTTTTGTATAGTTTATGTGCACAAATTGGTGGAAGTATAGAGGGTAACTATTCCAGTATATTGTGCTAATGGAATTTATTCTGTACTTTTGTAGGGTGGCTATGTGGATTGTTGCCATGGTGTTTGGAGAATACAAGGATCTCTAGCTGTCTCGAGAGCCATTGGAGACTCTCATCTTAAGCAGTGGGTGATAGCAAAACCAGATACTAAAATATCAAAGATTGAAGCAGACAGCGAATTTCTAATCTTGGCCACTGATGGTCTCTGGGATAAGGTACATAAATCATCAAAATGTTCCATCTAGTACTTCCTTTTTCAATGGCCGATAGTAGATTTGGTATATAGTGGTGCTGAAATTTCTTTCTTTATGGATTTTAGGTTAGTAATCAAGAAGCAGTAGATGTAGTCCGCCGTCTATGCTTAAATGTAGACGAGTCAGATCGATCCACTGCATGCAGAAAGCTTGTTGAATTGTCAATAGAGAGAGGTTCTACAGATGATATTAGTGTGATGGTGATTCAATTAGGTCACTTTATCCCATTAACAATCATTCAAGATGCAGAAGTTGTTTGAGCGATGGATGTACTGGAGACTGGAGTGCTGGATCTGAATGTCGATCTATTATGCTTCTCCTTCAATCATTCATAGCGAAGCAGAAGAGTAGATTCTGTTTAAGGTGCTTACAGTGAACAGACAACAATGTCTGCAGCAGTTTGACGCTCTTATATTAGATACAACAGCATTCCTTTCTGTAGATTATCCTTTTGACATCAAGGATAGTTGGTGACAAAAGGGGTATTCAATTGTAAATACAAAATAACTGACTTCCCTAATGTAGCGCATCAGCTAAAGAAATACTCTATTAGAGTAACATAGCACCCTGCGGTCTCCCTCCATGGCAAGCAGATAGATATGCTTACAGTAATGGTAAATTTCAACTTTTCGTTCCTTGTTTCTTCTGCCTACTGTGTATGTTTACACTTTCAGTGTTGCAAATATTGAGGGTGTTTCCCCTTAAAATGAAGATGAGTCGGAATAATTCTTCAGTTCCCCTTTAGATGAATCGAGAATTCCTGGCTCCACTTTTTCTTTTTTCCTTCCAAAAAGACAAACATACTCGATTCTATTAAAGTTTGAAAGCATTGCAGTGGATCATTGAAGAAAAAGACACTCGACAGACAATTGTTCACGAGGAAAAAGACAATGTACGTGATCATTGACAGACTAGTGAAAATTATTCATTTATAAAGGCCATGTAGTTGAATTCATTGCCAATCAGGCTACGCTAGCATTTAGAATTTAGACCTTGATCCAAGAGGAATTTGTATTTTTTGTGCCATACATTAGAGAGTAGAAGGCTGCTGTCATAGAAAAGTGATGAAAATTGTGTAAAAATATGAATCGCGCAATCCAGATTTTTTTTTAAAAAAAGCTAATAATGAAAATGAAATTGTCAGAAGTGGGATTTGAACCCACGCCCTCTCACGAGGACCAGAACTTGAGTCTGGCGCCTTAGACCACTCGGCCATCCTGACTTACGCTTATGAAACTGAATGTAAATTATTAGACACCCACTTTTGGTCCCCAATGTTTAGGGGATAATTCAGGTCAGTCACCATAAATTTTTTTCCAACGAAATTACTCACCATAAAATGTTATCCCATCAATTAAGGTCTTTTTAACATAAGTTATGAAAACTTAACGGTAGCTACGCTTAATCTGTTAACTATCTAATATTTTATTATTTTTTGACTAATTGGGGCCACTATTTTAGTCAAATTTGAATTATTCTAAAAATTAAAAAAATAAAAAGAATAAGAATAAGAAGTGTTGAGAACATGCTTGAACCTTTTTAGCATCATCATTAATAATTGATCATCACAAGACAAACCCATGACACATAATAAGGCAATAATTGGTTCAGCTGCTTCAGCATCATCAGAAACTTGAAGAGTGGGATTAAAAAGACTCAAAATATGCAAAATAATTTTCCCCTTTAAACAATCATTGTCCAAATTTCTTTTGGCAAATGAGTTCCTTCCACATATATATATATATATATATATATATTATGATTAATTTTAATTATGTATAGGCAACATCACCTTATAATTTGGGGAAAAAAGGATCTGGTTATGATTTTTTTGTCCAAAACAAAAATAAATAAACAAAAATTTATTATCAATACCAAACTATTAATTATGCAGGGTAGTGAAAAGGTTGGCCTGGGCGGAGTCTATTCCTATTCTTCATCAATGGCGGCCACAAAAAACAAGCCTTTATCATAATCATGATAACTTGTTTGAGTTTTTCTTATCCAACAATACTACTATTGGTACTAATATTAGTCAGATTAATCCCCAAAAACTAACAATCTTATCATCCCATATTTTTAGCAAACCCAGTTTCCATATCAACCACCAAATAGCATATGGGCTAATAATCAATCCAGAATTCGATTTCTTGATACCAACTAGAAGAATCTTGGTTCACAAAAATAGAAGTAATAATGCAACTCCTTATACCTTTGTTCATCATCAGATCTGAGATCTTGGAGTTTTAATGAGGGTGCGATGGTTAAGAAACGTGGTTGCAGATTTTACACCGACGATGGAGTAATTTGGCGGCAGAGCAAGGTTGGTGGAATTATTTTTTTGCCAAACATTGGTGGAGAGAGGCGATAAGTGCTGTAGAGGTGGAAGAAGTCCGTGGAATTTCTGGGAGAAATTATTTTCCTATCATTGAACGGAATAAGAAGAAAGAAAATTGAAATAAAATAAAATAAATAACATGGTCAAAGTTCGTGGGGCCCGCGATCTGTAAAAAATGGTTAAAATAACGCAAGGTTAACGTTTTAGGAAGAATTTCTGTTAAGTTTCTACAAAATCTGTTAAAAAGACCTAAATTGATGGGATAACATTTTACGGTGAGTAATTTCATTGAAAAAAAATTTATGGTGACTGACCTGGACTACCCCTAAACATTGAGGACCAAAAGTGGGTTTTGCCCATTTTATTATCCATAAATAAATTATGCAAAAAGGCAACGAACGGAATCCCAAAAAATACATCCATTGGATAAATTAGCCCCAAATGGATTTTGCAACCATCTATTCTATTATGGCAAAATGCTGTAGAGTGAAAGAAACAAACAGGATTTCGCGCTTCAGTGTGCCGAATTTCAAAGTGAAAGCATGAATGTGGTAACATTCCCTTTCTAACAAAATGGATAGCTTCAGACTTATTGGCTATAGCCACTGGAAAACCTTTCACCATTTTCCTTTAAGAAATCAATCGAATTTTAGTTTCAGACTTTGGTTCTAAGGTAACATTGTTATGGTTTTGCTACGGACTTCAGCTCAACGGTTTATTGTGGAGTGGAGTATTGGATTAATTCTTGTCTCCCGAGGGAAAGAAATAACCTTAATCCTATGCAACTTAGCTTACAAAGAAAGTGCTGCATTACTTTTCAGTTGTGCAAATGGGCATTCACTTTTTGTGATTCCAAAGTCAAAGGCAGCCACTGGAACTTAACCTAACAATCGGATTTTTAGTAATTTTGATGTTTTTTGGTTCCGACGTGAAAACGGTTCTGGTGTAGCTTGGACTGCGGCGACATTGTTGTAATTCCTCTTCCTTAGTGAAGAGTGCTAGGTGTTGTTTACCGTGGACTTTGATTTCAACCCTCTGATTTGAGAAGAGAAAGAAATTAAAGCTATAGTGTCCCTTTTTTTGATTCTGAATTCAAAGTTTTACGTACCCGGATAGTTTCAAGTTTCAACCCTGTCATACAGGATAGGCGACGTTTACTTATTTACTTTGCAGTTGAAGTACATTGTTGGCATTTCATGTTTCCATTCCTTCCACGATTCTATCGATTGGTCAACAATAAAAAAGAAGAAGATTTTCATTTATACACAGTTTCACAATTTGCATCGGTATTTAGTTGCGATCCCACAGTTTCACTAGCCAAAGTTTATGTTGAATGTACAAAAAGGAACGAAAATTTTCCGTTAAGTCTGAGCCGAAAGACCAAACATAAGATCCGACAACACTGAAGCTGGGTCGCAGCTAGAATGTTGCTATAGTCCACTTCACATAAACGAAGTAACTTCAGTAGTAGGTCTGACTGATGAATCGATGAATTATATCATTTGATAGCTGATAATTGAGATGTTCCTATTCTGAGTAAGTCGATACTCAATTATTACTCTTAATAAGATGAAACAGTAGATGCCAAAATTTGTAAAACTGCTTTTGGTCTCATAGTCATGCTACTTGGCTCCAAAATCTAAAGTCGAAGGACGCTTTGTTGCATTTTATTTTATTTTTTTCACTGATACATAAGCCATAAAATGTTAACTTGAATTCAGTATGTTTCAAGCTACAAGTCTGAACAGTAAAAAACCAAACATATTTGCGGACTCAGTCTGTGAATTGAGGAGTAGGGGTTGTCATTTGACGGCCTACAAGAGAGAAATAGGTTCCGTTGATACCCTTAGCCAGTAACGAAAAATGTGTTCCTCTCTCACTTACTTTACCATGGTCCAAAACGACAATGTCATCACAGTTTTGTATCGAACTCAGCCTGTGTGCCACAATTACACTGGTCCGGCCTATCATCACACGATTAAGTGCATCTTGTACCACATTTTCTGATTGACTGTCAAGTGCACTGGTAGCTTCGTCCAGCAGCAATACTGATGGATTTTTCAGCACTGCTCGAGCTATGGCAATCCGTTGCTTTTGGCCTCCGGACAGTTGCGATCCCTTATCACCACAGTATGTGTCATAACCATCCTTTAATCCTGTGATAAAATCATGAGCATTTGCTGCCTTTGCTGCTTCAATTACCTCGGACTCGACGACATCTAATGACGCCCCATATGTTATGTTTTGGCGTATGGTACCACCAAACAACACGGGCTCTTGGCTCACTAGAGCAATGTGTTGTCTTAATGATCTTAAATGATATGACCTTATGTCTCTACCATCTACTTTTAAAATCCCCTTTAAAGGATCATGATACCTCTCAATCAAGCTGATTATTGTAGATTTTCCTGACCCGCTTTGTCCTACTATTGCGGTTGATCTTGCAGCCTCGATTTCAAGTGAAAATTCTCGGAAGATCATGACATTTGGTCTAGATGGGTATGCAAAATCAATACCAAGTAGTTCTATTTGACCTGTTATCTTATTGGCTTTATAGGCATGTGGATCTTCAGGTTCAATCTTGGAGCATCGGTCTAGGACAGCAAAAACTGAGCTAACTGCATCAGACCCTTTGGCTATATCATTTGTCATTGTTCCGGCTTCAGCAATAACACGACCAACGCTCACTAGAAGGATGAAAACTTGGAAAAAAGCTTCTATTTTAAGAGAACCAGCCGCTATAAGCTTGCCTCCATACCAACAAGCAAGAGGCCAAATCAGTAAAAGGACACAATTGGACGTGCCAAGACCGATTCCAGCAAGCCATGATAGTCGGACACTTTCTTGATGTGCTTCATCTTGGACTTTTCTGAGCATTTGTAGCATGCGATACTGGGAGTTGAATGCAGTGATGGTTCGGATATTCGAGACAGCTTCTGCAGCAATCCTACTGCTTTCATTTTGGAATTTGATGGCTTTTCGAGACATAGTTTTTAAGAGCCTATACTTCGAGTAATAGCAACCGATAGAAAGAGGTTGAATTGCTATCATCGCCGATGCAAATTTCCAGGAAATGATCATACTCATTGTGCAGGAAATGGTCACTGCTGAAAGAGCTTGGACAAGAAGTGACATTCGATCCCCAACTAATGACCTTACCTATTGTAAAATCACGATTAACATTAATCGGATAAATTGAGAGATTCACTTTTTGTTAATTTTCATGATTAGTTTAACGAAACATGACTTTTATAGTGGGACGGAAATTATATGAAAGAAAAACAAACTTACCACATTAGCATCTTTAGCCAGGCTTGAACAAATAGCGCCAGTTGAATTTTCTTCAGCGTCAAACCACCCGATTTCAAATGTGAGTACTTTTGAAAGCATTCTTTCTCTAACTCTTTGTGTCAAGGACTCCCCCATAGCTGCAAAGTTGTAATGCTGGCATATGTTTATCAAGAAAGAAAACAAGGCAAACCCCACGAGATACATACAATATATTTCAATCTTCCTCCTAATCTCTATTTGACCTGATGAAAAAAATGCCCCTATTGCTCCTCCCAATACAATAGCAAATAAGGGTTGGACCGCGCCAAACAACATGGCACTTATACAACCTGCTAGTGCTTGTCTCCATTCCGGCGAATTCTCAGCAAGCAGGCTTCTAAATGATGGAACTACGGTTGAAGTTTTGTCACTCGAGATGCGTTCAATATCATTTACTTCATGATTTGGAACAGAGTTACTTGAATTAGACCTGCCAAAAGGTATTTCTCCTCTTCGAGTGCCTAAACTGTCTGGAATGATTGATGGAACTGTAGCCGAAGTTGCGGTATCAGATTGCTGCAAGCGAATAAGGGATCTGTATAAGCTGTTTTCGTGCTCAATAAGCTCATCGTGTGAACCAAACTCCACAACCTGTCCATTTTGGACCATAGCAACGTAGTCGGCGTTTCGGATGGTAGAAAGACGATGGGCTATGATGATTGTGGTAACCCCATTGGTTATATTGTCCAAAGCTTCCTGAACAACTCTCTCTGATTCAGTGTCGAGTGCACTTGTTGCCTCATCTAGAAGGAGAATTTTTGGTGCCTTAATGATAGCTCTTGCAATAGCTATTCTCTGCTTCTGTCCTCCAGACATTTGAATACCTCTTTCTCCCACCTAAAATTAACTCTTATAAATTGTTCAAATCAGTGTCTTCAAAATCTAGCTAAACATATCTCAACATTTTTTCTAGAACAATATGCATGAATTGACACTGCAACTAACATACCTGAGTTTCATAACCCTGTGATAGTTGAGAAATGAAGTCATGAGCATTAGCAGCTTTCGCAGCCTCCATAACATCCTCAAATGATGCATCTTCTTTTCCAAAAAGTATGTTATCTTTAATGGTAGTTGCGAAAAGGGCAGGCTCTTGATTTACTAGCCCTATCTCGGACCTTAACCATTTCAGCTTCAGCTTATCAATGCTCACTCCGTCAAGCAGAATATGGCCTCCAACTGGGTCATAAAACCTTTGCAATAAAGCCACAACTGTTGATTTTCCACTGCCACTTTCTCCGATCAAAGCAACAGTCTTTCCAGCTGGGATTTTAAGGTTGAAGTCCTTTAATATTAGGCTTTCTGGTCTTGATGGATACGCAAATTCCACATGCTTAAATTCAATCTCCCCGGAAATATTTTGTAGGATTTCTCCTTCCATGTCCTCTGAGTCAATCTTGGGCACTCTTTCCAGCATTTTGTCAATTCTTTTTGCCGCTTCACAAGCTTCCGAGTAGTATCTTAGATGTGGTAAAGCAGACCCCAACGACCTGTTCAATATGATCATTAACCAATAAACAATAAAAAGGCAACGACAACACAAAAGAATATGCGCGGCTGAATGAAATAGCGACTAGTGCTAAGAAGAAAAATGAACTACTCCTTCCGTCCTGAAATTATGTCCAGTTTGGATTTTCATTTTTAGTTCAAAAGTATACTAAAAGTGAAATTCTAAATTGGAGAATAATTTTGGGACGGAGAGAGTAGTACTTAGTACTTACGCTCCTCCGGTTTTGAGGGCAAGACCAATGGCAAAAATAGTTCCTCCTTTGGCACCATGGTACACGACCAGTTTGCTGCCGTAATAGGCCGTCAAAGACCAAAGTGCAAAAGACAATCCGGCACTACCGACAGCGAAACCTTTCACTAGACCTTGCCGAAGTCCTAGCTGAACTGTTCTTTTGAGTGCAGAGGAGAATCTTGCACATGTTTCATTTTCCCCGACGAAAGAGTAAACCGTCCGGACGGAGGAAATGGCTTGTTCCGCGATTTCATCCGCCTTGCTATACTCTTTCCTGATCTTTCTGGCAATACCCATAAGCACTTTACCATAAACCAAGCCTGGTACTACCAGCAATATTGCAAACGGGAATACCACTATAGCTAGCCTCCATAGCATAACAAACGATACGATATATGCTCCGACAAAGTTTGATACGTTCATCAAGAACACCGGTAGCTGTAAGAAAAAAATTTACATGGTGTAAATCGTTTACGGGGGCGATGATGCTTGGATTGTTAATTTAGCTTACCCTTTCACTGATGAAGTCTTGAATTACAAGACTATCATTGGAAACGCTGGTAATGACCTCTGCAGTGCTTGTAACTTGTAAATCAAAGAAGCCAGCTTCTTGCCTGAGCACTGCCTTCAAATATGTTGTCCTTAATGTAGCCGCCTGCCTTTCTGCTGTTCTCGTCCAGCAATACCCCTCTGAACCATTACAGGTGAGATGACTTGCTAAGATTAATATGGATGTAAAACTGATCGATCAGTAAAAAAAAATGTTGATTACAAAGTTACCAAGAAAGGTTGCTAGCCATTGCCCAAATGCGACGTAACACATAATCAAGGCCTGCTGCAAGGCAAATGATTCAGTTCAGTACTGAAGACTTTAAACCAAAATCCAAAAAGATTTGAAGAAATGAAATAGGAAGAAATACTGACATGTTTGATGCTTTGATTGAAACTGTGGATTGACATGGTATTGTGATTACCAAACGTGTTCAATATTTTGCTACTGACGAGAAGCAGAACGGGCATTGAGAAGCCATCGCAGATGGCTCCGAAGAAGCCGATTGTCATCAACACAATGTCGAATCCATCTGCGTGCATGAAAATTGCGGGGATTGATGATCCTTTCTTCATTGGCGTCATGGTGAAGCTTTTGATTTGGTTGTGTTACTTCCATTCATCTCTTCTTGCTTTTAAGCATTTGAACTGGATGTGGGTGTTTTCCTGTTTCTATGGTTTATTAGTAATTTTCAAATTCCCATTGATTAGCCAATCGTGCTTCCTAATTCATCTTTTCTTTTTTGCTTTTTTGGTGCACTGATTAGTGATTAATGATTATGCATATACGTACTTTCCTTAATGCGATGCTGATCCGGACATTGGGGCCAGTCCATAACCATAATTTCTTTGTTGTAAAGATTAGTCATTGTGACAAAAAGGCTATGGTACTACACTTTATTTGTGATAAAAAAAATGTGTTCTCACCATTTCAGTAGTATTAAAATGTTTAGTTCGGAAATGCACTTCTGAAATGGTGTAGAGGGATAAACTAGTAGGTAAATTTATTGTTCTTGTCTTCTAAGTTTACGAGTTAAACAGTATTATCCCTTTGGCCTGTCTTTTTTTTTTGAAAATGTCCCTTTGGCCTGTCAAAGCTACATAAAGTGTGGGTGATTTACATTTTCGAGAATGAATGATGTGTATTTATGTATTTTGTTGTGGTAATTCAAAACGGTTGGTTAATTTGGGATATCATTTGTCCATAGAATGGCTTATATAACCGGAAAATGTAATTTGCAACTGACTCATATGATTCCAGTCTAATTATTTTGTAGAAGTTGGGTTGTCGGATAGGTATCTGGTGCTTTTTTCTTTTCTTTTTTTTTCTTTTGAAAATGCCTTATATTAAAAGGAAATGCTTAAAGATTTAAACCTGAAGCTAGAGAAGCCTAGGCCATTTATATCACAGTACTAGTGATGTGTCGCGCAATGCGCGATCCTGGCCCAATATATCTGTAGATCTTATAAATATTTGTATTTAGAAAAAAAAAAATTTGTATTTGGTCCGATATATTTTAGAAATTTTTGAAGAATTTAGAAATGTTTTATAAGTGTGATCATAGAAATATTTGTATTTGGCATAAAAATAAATTGTATTTGGTCTGGTACATTTTAGAAATGTTTGAAGATTTTAGAAATATTTTATAAGTGTTACTTCTTAAATATAAATAAACTTGATCAAATATATGTCTTGAAGTAAATGGTAGACAATATATGAAAACATGCCAATAAGTTTAAATATTAGTAAGATAATTTATTGATGTTCTCCATTGGTTGTGCCAAATCAATACTTAGTTTTGGAGATTTATAATAACTTTGAAGTAAGCTTCCTCCCAACGGTATACGCTTAATTGTTGGAACTATTTCTTCCAAAAGTTTATAGGTAGTAAAATATCAAAAATATGATTTTGAAACTGGTTAATTGTTGAAACTAGTCGATCACAAATATGAGAATGAAAATAATGTAAATTTGCATATGTTTCAAGTTATAGCAAAAAAGAACTCACCTCACCATGGCAAATAAAGAAAAAAAAAAGAAATTAAAAGATAGCCCATTAAAATTTGAGAAATTTATTTGTATAAAAACACAAATAAACGTAAAAATATCATCTCTTTCCTCTCCGCCTCAAATTCATAAAAGGCTTCCCTATAAATTAATTAGAAGAAGCGACATGAACTATTTATATGATGAAAAATTAAAAAAAGTCCCAAAAACAAATCTAAAAAAGAAAAAACACAATTCATAACTGACCATATACGGAAAAAAAAAATCGAAACTCCATAATTAAAAAAAGAAAAGCACTCTAATTCAATAAAATATAAAAAAAAAAAAATTGAAAAAACCACATTTTGTAACAAAAACCCAATTAATAAATTCAATCCAAACATAACTAAAATCATACAAAAATTCTAGGCTAACTAACCATATAAGAAATCATATTTATTACCTGACAACGGCTACGGTAGCTGTAACGGATGGACGCATAAAAATAATAGTAATAACACTATTCTTGAACGGGAAAAACAAAAAATAATAAAAGCCAAACAAATGATCTGTGGAAATAATCATTTAAATTTTAATACCTGTAATTGCACCATCACAACGGCCGAAGGAAGATCAATGAGAATTTTTCTTTCCTTTGTGTTTATATAGAGAGGTAAAGAGAATATTTTTTGAAGTCGAAATTTTATCCGATTAAGATGTAGTTGATCATCACTAATGAAAAGATTGAACATGCTAATTCGAATGGAGTATATTTCACCACATATTCTTAATTGATGATTGATGAGGAATTTATTTATTTTTTTAATTGTGGAGAAGGGAGTGATCAGGGAGTCCATAGAGATGGGGACGATGATTTGGGTTTTTTATGAACCCATGGTTTTTTTTTTTTTGCGAAAATAGGAGGTGGAGGTGTATTTGGACTGTATTTACCTTTTTAAAAATTTATTTTAAAAATATGATGTGAAAATGCCACATGCCAAATGGTGGTGCTTTCTCTTAAGTGTAGTTTTTGTTTCTATAGTAAGACTAGTGATGTCTGGTCGCGCAATGCGCGACCCTGGCCCAGTCTATCTGTAGATCTTAGAAATATTTATATTTGAAAAAAATAAAATTTTATATTTGGAGCGATATATTTTAGAAATAGTTTATAAGTGTAATCATAGAAATATTTGTATTTCGCAAAAAAAAAAAAATTATATTTCGCCATGTATGTTTTAGAAATGTTTTATAAGTGTTACTTATTAAATATAAATAGCTTAATCGAATATATGTGTTGAAGTAAATGTTAGATAAAATATAAAAGTATTCTAATAAATTTAAATATTAGTAAGATGATTTATTGATGTTCTCCATTGGTCGTGCCAAATCAATACTTAGTTTTGGAGATTTTTAATAGCTTTGTAATAAGCTTCATCCGAAGGGTATACGCTTAAAACAAAATTGACACTTTATAACAAAAAACCTAATTGATCAATTCAATTTAAAAAACCACTCTAGTTGAATGAAACATAAAGAAAAAATTAAAAAAAAAAAGCGTGTCACGTAAAGTGCAAAGAGAGATTTAGTAATTTAGTTATGGTTAGATAAAAGGGCAATTTAATATTTTCTACATGCCACGTGGCAATCATATGAGTTGTTTGAAAGGGAGGTTTTTGTTTCTAATATAGTAGGATATGAAGTGTTATTTAGTGCTAATTGTGATCACCGCTGCTTCAATTCAGAGTAATTAAGCACCTGATTATCACAGGAAATGCTAATCTAGTAATCTGTGTTGCAATTGCCCAACTTGTTTCAGGGCCCATATGCCCAAAGAAATAAAATTGGGCCTTATTTTCCGCTCTTTATTTTTGGATCTTTGGGTAAGCTACAAGTAGGCCCAAGTCTTGCAGATTTTACAAATTTTATATCTGTCTCTATTTTCTTATTGCTCGTTCTTTGGTATCAACGTGACAACATGACATTAGCTAGGGTTGTCATTTATCAATTTTTTATTTTTGGAAAAAAAATATATAAAAGGACGTACCTATTATTATTATGGTAAGGTACTTGAACTAGTACAACTGCTAACTTTAATCGGTTCACATAATTCAAAAAAAGCTATTAATAAATGAATTAATAACACGATTATCTATGGTGATTCAAACGGAATTTGTATCCAGGTAGGAGGCTATAGACAGTCTCGGAGGTCAATTTGCAGCTCAGGAGGCAAGTAACAGATGCGCCCATGCGTGGGGTCTCTTCCCTAATAATAGTATCCATTTTCTTAATAGATCCCATAAATGTAATAGTTTATTATACACATAATAGTATATATATATATATATATATATATATATATATATATTAAAAAAACAGAATTTGTAGTTTTCCATTCACTGTAATTTTGGAATGGATACTTTATTTATTTTCTTTGTGGTTTATATAAGTAGTTTTGGTAATGACATAAGTATTATTTTATTTTTTGTTGGTAAACTTAAATTATTTATAAATAGGCCAAAAGTGCTAGCCTTCAAAATAAGACTCTGTGGGAAATAGAAACATTCTCGCACACATTTCACCTAAAAAGAAACAAATTAGAAACACTCGCACGAAAAAAAAATAAAATAAAATCAAGCTACATGCGGCCACACAAGGAAAAATGAATTTTGCAGCTATTTTATAAGATTTCATCGCATCAATATTGTTTGCCTTTGTTGGTTATTACTTATTAACATGGGATAATTTTTTCAGGAACATAATTATATTGATGATTTAAGGCCCATGCTCATATCCTTGTAAAAAGGTAATAAAAGTTACGAAGAGAAACCTGACAAGCCAACACTAGATTGGATCGGCAATTTATATTTAATCACACAAAAAAAAAATGCACCACAAAAATGATTCACATTATAATTCATAAATTGTAACGAAAATAATATATTAAAACTTGTAATATATATATATATATATATTGTATAACTTGTGTCATTTAATTACTCTTTTTGATTCTTAATGAGTGCATTCTCAACGATAATAAAAGTAATCAAAAAAGTTGACAACTTGGAAGCATTGCTTTAAAAACATAATAAAATGACTCTTTAATGCGGAGTAGATTATTTGAAGGATTAAAAAATCAGGTAAGCTCTCCGAAAAAAATGCTTATTATTTAGTGATTGATGAATCTAGTTTGCAGGAAGACTGAACTTGGAGGAATGACTGGGACTGGAAGGGACCTGAGAAAATAAGAACTTTTATATGGCTGGCCATGCACGGGAGACTTCTTACGAATGATCTATACAAGAAAAGAGGAGTAATTAAGAGTTTTTTATCCAAATAATTTTTAATGAAAGAACTTGGACAAAAATATATATCTCGGAGTGATGTGGACAAATCTAGTTATCTTGCATTTGCCAAATCCGAATCTATCCATTTTGTACTAGATTTGGATTTGGCAAATCCGAATCTCCTTGTAATACAACTATGTGATAAATAAATTCTATTGGGTAGATTCGGATTTGTCAAATCTAAATGTAGTACAAAATGGATAAATTCGGATTTGACAAATCCGAGACAACTAGTTTTATCCACCAAAAAATTAAAATATATATATTTTTTGTCCACATTTTTTTTAGAAATTTTTTTGACGAAACACCCGAGTAATTAAGGCAGAAGATTGCAACAGATGCAATGCAGCTTTTTAGAGTCAAATCTCCATAGTCTCAAAGATTGTCAAGTAGCAAGAGGGATTTGGGATGGATTAATTCCAACTTACCAACAGCAACTCTTCTTCAACCATCAACAACGGGAGTGGATCAATTCTAATTTGGCAACAGACGACCGCAAATGGAAAACATTTTTGGGGTTACAGGTTGGTCCATATGGAAATGACATAATGAATCATTTTTTAATGAAACTGAAATTGACCCCTATTCGGCAACCAGGATCATCAGACACATAGCAGATGGAGTGTTGCGAAATCAGTCAATGTTGAAATGGTACATTTCAAAAAGGTAAAAGAGGAGAGAGAGCAGGATGAAAACCTCCACCATTCACTTGGATTAAAGTCAATTGTGATGCAACGGTATGTAGAGAGAACAGTGGAGCAACAGTGGGAGGTATCTTTAGAGATGAATACAGGAAAACTTAGAAAACTTTCTACAATAACTTGGGAGTTAGTTATGTGGAGAATGCGGAGGTAGAGCCATACACATTAGTCTGGAGATTGCCAAGCAATAAGGTATTCTAGACTAATAGTCGAATCAGATTCTCAAGGCCAAGAGGTCATTAATTTGGTGGAAAACTTAAATGAGAATTTGTAACTAGATCCTGCATTGAGAAAGTACAGAGCAATTTAAATCTCGACTAGGAGATGCAATTTTTGCACATATTTGGAAAAGACAACTTGAGCGCCGATGATTTAACAAAAAAAGGACTCAGTAAAACTTCGGGCGTATATTCTTTTGATATAGCCTCAAGTAGTATGATACTACTAGTACAACAAAATGTGTTAAATAGTAAAGGTAGTATTGTATAAGACGTCCTACTTATGTTCATAAAAAAAAAAGCACAATTTCAATTAAGATTAACAATTTTGATCATAGCAGTTTTTTTACATTATGGAAATTATGTAGTATTGTGATAGATCAAATAATTCGGTTATGTTTGTTTCTTTTTTCTAATGATTTTTTTTAGAATAATATAATAATATATGTATATTCATAATTCGGTTATGTTTGTTTCTTTTCTAATAATTTCTTTTAGAATAATATAATAGTACATGTATATTCTAATATATTCTTTTATATTTTTAATAAAAAATATACTAAAAAAATACATACTAAAAAACGATCCAAACAAAAATTAGAATTAGCGATGACGCTAGGATCTTTATCTGTATGTTTTGGCATCATTTTTTAATAAATAAAATATCATCAATAAAATGATAAGTTTGATATCCTGACGAAGGATAGCTAAGCTAAGCTAAGCTAGTAATTTTCAACCATGTTACATCGTACTCGTATATTAATGACTGTTTTTCGTTAGAGAACAAATTGAGACCACCACTAAAACACAGACACCAAATTTATTCCACCCTCCTCCGCCCAGATTTGAGATCTCCATTTTTTTATATAGTTTTCCGAAATTAAAGAAGGAAAATATCACAAATTCCATTTTTCTCCAAACAGTGACAACTTGATTAATAAGGATTAAAATATTATATATATTTAGTTGCAAAGAGCGAAGAAAAATATAAAGACGGCTTTCGCACACATTCACAATTTTCTTCAGAAGAATGCCCTCTTCCCCCTCCTCCACAGTCCATCTTTCTAGATCTCCTTTCGTTACTACGCTTTCTCTCTCTGAAGCTCACACACATATATCCGTGCATCCGGCGAGGGCTCGAGGGTTTCTTCGCTGTCCTTAGATCTCGCAGCGTTTGAGTGATCTCAACGCTGTTGTTTGTCAACTCACCGTTCGCGATTCGTTTACTTCTCTCACAGATCCGGAGTTTTGTTGTCGGAGTTCCGATTTGGCCACCATGGCGGCCGCAAGCGCTCCGATCACTATGAAGGAGTCCCTAACGGTACCCTAGATTTTCCACCTTCGTTTTTAATCATCGGCTTAGTTTGCAATTTGGAATCAATTGTGATCCAATCGATTACACTTCGCTTCAATTTTTGATCTCATGTTACTGCATTGCTCACACTCGAATGCTTAAATACTGGCTTTGTGATTATTTTAGCCGAATGGAAATATACTTGATTTGGTTCATTACTTTTTTTCACACACTGAGTTAACTGGTTAAATTGGTAACTTAGATCTGTGTTTTTTTAGTTTGTGGGCAGATCTAGTTTGAGTTCTCGATAGTGTTGTCTTTTTATTGTTGCATAATAAAGTCGTGTAAGAATTTTGCCTTTTTGCCTGGAAGATTGGTTGTTTACAATTCGTGATTCTGAATTGCAGCTGACCAGCATAGGGATCAATCCTCAGTTTATCACCTTTACAAACGTGACCATGGAATCTGATAAATACATCTGTGTACGAGAGACTTCTCCCCAAAACAGCGTCGTAATTATCGATATGAGTATGCCAAATCAACCTCTGAGGAGGCCAATTACCGCAGATTCAGCACTTATGAACCCCAATACCAGAATACTAGCTCTAAAAGGTACGTGTTTAAGTATTTCCACCGACACTGGCTGATTAGTCTCTTTTATTTGCCTGGTTGATGATGAAGGCAGTTTCTAGTTGTGAATGCTTTATGGCCTTAAATTTCCTAATAATTTCTATCTCCGAGCTTTGCTATTATCCGTTTCTGTTTCTAGTTGCCGTATGCCTTTTTTCCTCTCTTTGCTTCTTGATATTGCTTAATTCTGATGAATATCCTCGTTCCGATTCTGTTCCACTTGGCTCTTCACAATGATTCTTCTTTATAGTGCTAAATTCAAATGATAAGCCTTTTCTGTACATGTGAAGTAATTCTGTTAGGCGATTTTACTTTTATTTAGTGCTCACTGTTCCCAGCCCTATAAGGATTGATAGTCCATGTCATTTACACTGTATATGGCCTATATTTCAGCCATCTCATCTCTCTGCACTTTGTCTTTGGGTTTGACTGTTTATTCTGGGATTGTGTCTTGATTCTGTATGAATGATGTGATATCATGTTGAAGCTTTAACTGACTCTAAAATTTCCTTGTGTTTAGCTCAACTTCCTGGAACTAATCAAGATCACCTACAAATATTTAACATTGAGGCTAAAGCCAAGATGAAGTCTTATCAAATGCCCGAGCAGGTAAACTACTTTATGATCTATTGCCAGTGGTCCTTTGTCAACAGTATATGCAGCACTTCTATATTTCGTCACTAGCTTTAATAGTTTGCTTTGCATCTGCTGTTGGTTTGATGTCGATTCTCATATTCTTTTGGTTTCTTGTTTCCTTCCATGTAGGTTGTCTTTTGGAAGTGGATTACACCAAAGATGTTGGGTTTGGTAACACAAGCATCTGTATATCATTGGTCTATTGAGGGTACAATACACATTTTCCCTTTTTGTATGTACATACTAGGGGAACCATTTGATGTTTCACTACTGAAATTAATATATTTGCACTTCTTTCCAGGTGACTCGGAACCTGTGAAGATGTTCGATAGAACCGCTAATCTATCAAACAACCAAATTATTAACTATCGTTGTGATCCCTCGGAAAAATGGTTGGTTTTGATTGGAATAGCTCCTGGTTCTCCTGAGGTAAGTGAAATGTTGGCGAAAAATTCTCACATTATTGTTGCTTGTTGTGAATAATTGCTTTTCCTGGAGCAATGTTGTTCCGAACCTGTAGTATCTGAGCTTCGTATCATGCAATTATGCTTAGTTGCATTATAATATATCATGCAATAATTAATAACTTAATTGTTCAGATGTTTAAATATTAATTTCTTGAGAATATTGGTTTACAGGTTAGCAGGGTTGATTTGTTGGAGATATTAGCTATAGACACATTATAAATTATCAGATCATATCTATCTTCTATATATATAATAGATAAGGTGACTTTTTTCTGTGGGATGTCACGAAAGTGTGGGTTCTGGGTACGTTAAATTTTCATACCATTGTTATTGTATACGGATTTTAACTCATTTGTTCTGTTTCCTCGGCATGGAAGCAGAGGCCTCAACTTGTCAAAGGAAGCATGCAGCTCTTTTCAGTAGATCAGCAGCGTAGTCAAGCTCTTGAAGCTCATGCGGCATCTTTTGCCTCGTTCAGAGTATGTATACTTGTTCCATCTGGTTTCCTTGGTTTTTAGCTGCTGAGATAGTGGCTCATCAAAGTTTCATTGTATAATGAGCAGGTGGTAGGTAATGACAAGGACTCTATCTTGATATCGTTTGCAACAAAAACTTCAAATGCAGGGCAGATTGTCTCTAAACTTCATGTTATTGAGCTTGGGGCCCAACCAGGTCTGCTCTCCCTCTCTTTCTCTCTATAAGCATGCACACATATTCGCTGACTAAAATATTCAGGAGATTGTTCTTTGCTATAAAATTTTGCCTTATTTCCTTTTTTGGTGGTTTGACACATGTTGCTTGCAGGCAAGCCGTCATTCACAAAGAAACAAGCAGATCTTTTCTTTCCCCCAGATTTTGCAGATGATTTCCCAGTAGCAATGCAGGTGAATGTTACCTTGCTAATCTGCTTTACCTCTATTTTATTTTATTGGATCTTCCATTTTTTTTGGTTTCTTTTAGTGTTTTCATACTGACCATTTTGCTGTCATGCTCGAGCTTCACAGATTTCCCAGAAATACAGTTTGATATATGTGATCACGAAGCTTGGACTCCTCTTTGTTTATGATCTGGAAACAGCCACCGCTGTATATAGGAATAGGATTAGTCCAGATCCTATATTTTTGACCTCGGAAGCTACTTCTGTGGGCGGCTTCTATGCCATCAACAGGAGAGGCCAAGTGTTGCTTGCCACTGTGAATGAGGCAACCATTGTGCCTTTTGTTAGTGGCCAAGTATGTTGTAACCATCCTTTTATGTTCCCTTTTAGGTTTTGAATATCTCTTCCTCTCTGATTTAGATTATTGAGTTTTTGTTAATTTGTAAATCTGATTCTCTTTCCAGCTGAATAACCTGGAGCTAGCTGTCAATCTAGCTAAAAGAGGGAATCTTCCTGGAGCCGAGAATCTGGTAAGTGTTTTCCTCACTTCCTGCCATTGTTTGTTGACTTTGACAGGCGCTGTTTATGATGGAACTGCTGCTTGACTTCGCTTGTTTCTTTTTTCCTCGTTCTCTCTCCTCTGTAAACCAAGTTGAGTGAAAGCTGAAAAGAGTATTGGATTTCTTTATAATGTTGTGACTTTTGTTTCTTTTGGGTCTCAGGTTGTCCAACGTTTCCAAGAGCTGTTTGCTCAGACAAAGTACAAGGAGGCTGCCGAGCTTGCCGCTGAATCTCCTCAGGGGATCCTCCGTACTCCTGACACTGTTGCTAAATTTCAGGTATTTTCCCTTTAAGAAGATAAATTTATTTGTTAATGTCAGTCTGCAATCTCTTTAAACAATGTGAAGTTTGAGGCTGTATTAAGCTTGCCATTTGTTGTATTTATTTCAGAGTGTACCTGTTCAAGCTGGTCAAACCCCGCCACTACTACAGTATTTTGGAACATTGTTAACCCGAGGGAAATTGAATGCATTTGAGTCTTTAGAATTATCTCGTTTAGTTGTGAACCAAAACAAAAAGAACCTCCTGGAGAACTGGTTAGCTGAGGATAAGCTGGAGTGTAGTGAAGAGCTTGGTGACCTTGTCAAGGTAATTTTAATCTGTGTTTGCAGCTACTGTTTTTGATTGGTTAATATTTTTGGATCACTCTGGTCTTTGATGATGCTAATCGTTCATTTTTCTTGTTTTCTTGTAATAGACTGTGGATAATGATCTGGCTCTTAAAATATATATCAAAGCGAGGGCTACACCAAAAGTCGTTGCTGCTTTTGCTGAGCGCAGGGAATTTGATAAAATCTTGATATATTCCAAGCAGGTCTGCATCATACACATTATGCTTTTTATGATTCTATTATGTTCTTCATGCTAACTGCTGCTATCTCTTATTGCTTTTCTTGCTTTTCTTTTTATTAAGTTGTCATGTTTTTGGTATGAGTATCATCTGTTTATGATCTCTATTTGATTTATTACTTGTTGTACTGAAACAGGTCGGCTATACTCCTGATTATCTCTTCCTGCTGCAAACAATTCTTCGTTCAGACCCTCAGGTATGCCAAAGACACATGTTGTGTGTGAATATGCATATTTGCTAGTGCTTGGGAAGCCGCATGTGGCCTTGTAATACTCACATGACGATTTAATATCTTTTTTACTCTGCTAGGGAGCTGTCAACTTTGCTCTCATGATGTCCCAAATGGAGGGAGGCTGCCCCGTTGACTACAATACCATTACTGATCTCTTTCTTCAGGTTTAGACTTTTTCTTCTGGTCATGTGTTAGGTTCTCTGTTGGTAGTGAACAAGTTAACCTTTTTTTCCTTTCTATATTAGTTTGCATGATTATCTTGTTTATAACTCGTATCATTTTGCTTCAGAGAAACATGATCCGGGAGGCAACCGCATTTTTGTTGGATGTTCTGAAGCCTAATTTACCAGAGCAGGCTTATCTTCAGACTAAGGTTCCTTTATTAAACAATCTTTAAAGTTATTGTTGTTATCATGTTCTGGGTCTTCTGTCTTAATCTGAGTTTTCAACTATGTAGGTACTGGAAATCAATCTTGTCACTTTCCCCAATGTGGCCGATGCAATCTTAGCTAATGGCATGTTTAGCCATTATGACCGACCTCGCATTGCTCAACTTTGTGAAAAAGCTGGCCTTTACATTCGAGCCCTTCAGGTTTGTTTCTTTTGTCTTTTTCCCATTTCTTGATTTGTCTCTTTTTCTCTTTTACATTCAAACCCTTCAGGTTTGTTTTGTCTTTGCGAATCTGATTAGCATTCATTTATTTTTGCAGCACTACACCGAGTTGCCAGATATCAAGCGTGTAATTGTGAACACTCATGCAATCGAGCCACAGGTTTGAACTTTTTGAGCTGTGATTGTCTTTTCACCAACCCAACCTTTTGAACGCCAATAAATGGTTCTTTCCTTTTGGATTTTCAGCAACTTGTAGAGTTTTTTGGTACCCTTTCGAAGGAGTGGGCTCTGGAGTGTATGAAGGACCTTCTTTTAGTTAACTTAAGGGGCAATCTTCAGATTATTGTTCAGGTATATTTTCGTTTTCCTTTGCCCTTTACCTTGCAACAGAGTAGCATTCGTAGTGCACAACATGTTGAGGTGAAGGTTGATTTTTGGGATAGTTGAATCGAAATTGCAAAGCAGTTATCCTATGTTTATCTCGGTTTGTTATGTTGGATTCTGTTAGGAATTTGCTTGTTGAGGAGAATCAATTTTGTATGTTTTCAATAGATATAAGATGCAACAATGGGTGGATTCTGTTAGGATTGTTTATTTTGCAGGATTTTTTCAGCCTCCTAACCTGAACTTTTGAGCCTGTAGGTTGCTAAAGAATATTGTGAGCAATTGGGTGTTGAAGCTTGCATAAAGCTCTTTGAGCAGTTCAAGTCCTATGAAGGGTTATATTTCTTTTTGGGATCATATTTGAGCTCGAGGTAACATAAAGTGTAATAGTAACTCTTTCGTTGGAGGGCATTAATTCTTCTTATTAGTTGACTCACTAATTTTTTTACTTTCACAGTGAGGACCCTGATATCCATTTCAAGTACATCGAAGCAGCTGCTAAGACTGGTCAAATTAAGGAGGTTGAACGAGTCACTAGGGAATCTAACTTCTATGACCCGGAAAAGACTAAGAATTTCTTGATGGAGGCCAAGCTTCCTGATGCTCGGCCACTGATTAATGTTTGCGATCGTTTTGGTTTTGTTCCTGACCTGACCCACTACTTGTACACCAGTAACATGCTGCGGTACATTGAGGGATATGTCCAAAAGGTAGTGCCTTATCTCCTATGTTTAGTTTTTGCAAGTATGGTATCTAGATTAAACCTAATTCCTTAATATTTTTGTTTAGGTAAATCCTGGAAATGCTCCTTTAGTTGTTGGACAGCTGCTTGATGATGAATGCCCTGAAGATTTCATTAAAGGCCTCATTTTATCTGTTCGTTCACTTCTTCCAGTAGAGCCTCTTGTGGAGGAGTGTGAAAAAAGGTGTTGTTTTGCTGGCGATTCAATAATTTTGGTTGGAAGTTTTTTTTTCCCCCCCGCTTGAATGTACTAATTTGATTGCAATTAACAGGAACCGGCTTCGATTGCTTACCCAATTTTTGGAGCACCTTGTGAGTGAAGGAAGCCAAGATGTGCATGTACATAATGCTCTGGGAAAGATCATAATAGATAGTAACAATAACCCAGAGCACTTCCTGACTACCAACCCTTACTATGATTCACGTGTTGTTGGAAAATACTGTGAGAAGCGTGATCCTACTCTTGCTGTTGTGGCCTACAGGAGAGGGCAATGTGACGATGAATTAATAAATGTCACGAACAAGAACTCTCTGTTTAAGCTGCAGGCCAGGTTAGTTAGTTGTTTGTAGTTAATACTTATTCCAGTTAGTTTGCTGCTATTTAAACCTGACCTATGTTTTTATGTGTTCTTTTTAGGTATGTGGTTGAGAGGATGGATGGTGATCTGTGGGAAAAGGTTTTGACCCCGGAGAACGAATTTAGAAGGCAGCTTATTGATCAAGTTGTGTCTACTGCTTTGCCTGAAAGCAAGAGCCCTGAACAAGTTTCTGCAGCTGTTAAGGCTTTTATGACTGCGGATCTTCCACATGAACTTATTGAGCTCCTTGAAAAGATCGTACTCCAAAATTCTGCTTTCAGTGGAAACTTTAATCTGCAGAATTTACTGATTTTAACAGCTATTAAAGCAGATCCTTCAAGAGTTATGGATTACATTAACAGACTGGATAACTTTGATGGACCTGCTGTTGGGGAAGTAGCTGTTGAAGCATCGCTTTATGAAGAAGCCTTTGCAATTTTTAAGAAATTCAATTTGAATGTTCAAGCTGTAAATGTGTTATTGGATAATATCCGAGACATTAACCGGGCAGTAGAGTTTGCCTTCCGTGTAGAGGAAGATACTGTATGGAGTCAGGTCGCTAAGGCTCAGCTCAGGGAAGGATTAGTTAGTGATGCAATTGAGTCTTTCATCAGGGCAGATGATGCAACTGAGTTTTTGGAGGTTATACGTGCTGCCGAGGATGCTGATGTGTACCATGATTTGGTGAAGTACTTGTTGATGGTTAGGCAAAAGGCCAAGGAGCCCAAGGTGGACAGTGAGCTTATTTATGCGTATGCTAAAATTGACCGACTTGGTGACATTGAGGAGTTCATTCTCATGCCAAATGTTGCTAATCTGCCCAATGTGGGTGACCGCTTGTATGATGAGGCTTTATACGAGGCTGCAAAGATAATTTATGCTTTCATATCTAACTGGGCTAAGTTGGCAGTCACACTTGTAAAGTTGAAGCAATTTCAAGGTGCTGTTGATGCAGCAAGGAAGGCCAATAGTTCAAAGACATGGAAAGAAGTTTGCTTTGCATGTGTTGATGCAGAGGAATTCCGCTTAGCTCAGATTTGTGGGCTTAATATTATTGTCCAGGTACTCTTACTTGTGTGGGCCACAAATAACTTTGCTGCATCTCTGTATAGCTTGTATTTGGTTACCAATTAATTTTCTGTGGTGATTGAGTATATTCTATTAACTTTATTTTTTAAATCTATTATTTAATGAATTTTAGGTTGATGATCTGGAAGAGGTCAGTGAGTATTACCAGAACAGGGGATGCTTCAATGAATTAATTTCCCTTATGGAAAGTGGCTTGGGATTGGAACGTGCACATATGGGCATATTTACTGAACTGGGAGTCCTGTATGCCAGATATCGCTATGAGAAGCTGATGGAGCATATCAAATTGTTCTCCACACGGCTCAACATTCCTAAACTCATCAGAGCTTGTGATGAGCAACAGCACTGGAAAGAACTCACTTACTTGTATATTCAATATGATGAATTTGATAATGCAGCCACCACTGTCATGAACCATTCTCCAGATGCTTGGGATCATATGCAGTTCAAAGATATTGTTGTCAAAGTTGCAAACGTGGAGTTATACTACAAGGCGGTGCACTTCTATTTACAAGAGCATCCTGATTTAATTAATGATCTTCTGAATGTCCTTGCACTTCGTGTTGATCACACAAGAGTGGTGGATATAATGAGAAAGGTACGTCTTCTAGCATCAATTTAATCTGTGTGACCTCTATTTTAACCCTTGGGACATGAGTAGTTCACTGAAAACTTTTTTGTTGGGTATCAGGCTGGCCATCTTCGTCTTGTGAAGCCGTACATGGTTGCAGTTCAGAGCAATAATGTGTCCGCTGTTAATGAGGCTCTCAATGAGATATATGTTGAAGAGGAAGACTATGACAGATTGCGTGAATCAATCGATTTGCATGATAACTTTGATCAAATAGGCCTTGCCCAGAAGGTTCGTACTTTTAATTTAAATTACTCGTTCCCTTTAGGTCATGATCGTAATTACCAATTTATTTTTTTATGCAGATTGAGAAACATGAGTTGCTTGAAATGAGACGTGTTGCTGCTTACATATACAAGAAAGCTGGACGATGGAAGCAATCAATTGCCCTGTCAAAGAAAGACAATCTTTACAAAGATGCAATGGAGACAGCTTCCCAGTCTGGTGACCGTGAGCTTGCCGAGGAGCTGCTCGTCTATTTCATCGAACAGGTAGATAGGCACTTACCAGTTTAAATCTTATATTTGGAGCTGAAATTGTGGTGACCACTAATTAGTTGCTGTTCGAAATTTTCTGGATGTCTTAAGAGTTCGCGCATACGGAAGTTAATTTTCAGTGTTCGTTAATTGCCTGAAACTTGCATTTTGATGGGGATTGCAGTGCTTGCCACTAGTTGAACTTTGCTTGATAATATATGTACATTTTAAGTTTTTTGGGCTGAATTTGGGGACAGCCTGTAGTTTATGCTATTGAAGCTGTTAATCTCATGGTGTTTCCTATTGAATTATCGTGCAGGGAAAGAAGGAGTGCTTTGCTTCATGCTTGTTCGTTTGTTATGATTTGATCCGGGCAGATGTTGCTCTTGAGCTGGCTTGGATGAACAATATGATCGACTTCGCCTTCCCATATCTGTTGCAGGTTTCTCTCTCTCCGCTTCTCGGTTGTGTAGTTCTTACATCTTGATATAAATTTTAAGTTATTTTCTATTTTGCATTCTAATATTGTCAATTCCGGTTCCCTGTGCAGTTTATCCGGGAGTACACTGGCAAAGTTGATGAGCTTATCAAGGACAAAATTGAAGCTATGAATGAAGTAAAGGCTAAAGAGAATGAAGAAAAGGATATAATGAAGCAGCAGGTGATTTTTTAATGATTTTAATGCAGTTATCAATCTTCCAATTAGGTATGCAATATGGAAAAGAGTTCAACAGTTCTTTTTGTGCGATAATGAAATATTCAATCATTTCACATTGCAGAATATGTATGCCCAGTTGCTGCCTCTTGCTTTGCCTGCACCACCAATGCCAGGAATGGGAGGTGCCGGCATGGGTGGGGGTTTCGCACCACCGCCACCAATGGGTGGAATGGGTATGCCACCAATGCCACCATTTGGCATGCCACCCATGGGATCATACTGAGTGCAGGTTTAATGTATATGGCTGGGAATTTCTAATTGTATACTCTGATTGCTTCAGCAAGGATTGGGATCGACTGATGAGGCCCAAATTTCTAGGTGTTACAGTTTCATATTTCTATTTTTACCCTTTAAACTTTCTGAAATTTGATTCGTCCTTTGGAGTTTAAAAAATAATATTTCAGTTAAAGTTGGTGTTGGTGTTAGGGTGTGGATATGTTTCTTTGTAATATTCTTTGGGTAGCGGAGGCAATTTTTGCAGCTGGTAGGCGGCAAGCTGAGGATAATATGTATTCTATGAAATATTATTGTGGTTGATAAAGAGTTCACTACATTTTTGTACTTATCTATCGGTGGACTTTATTGTGATTTTTTTGGTTGAATCACTCTGAAACCAATTTCCCCGTTTGTCTCTCTTTATGATGGACATGTTCTCTAGGGCAGTTAACGGTTGTATGGAAATTCTTTGTTTTTCTTTTCCATTTTTTCAGTTTCTGTACCTGCCAGGCTGCCACTGTTCTCGATCTCAAACAAGAGTTTGCAAGCTGTACACTTGTATTTAATCTTTCTTTTGTGCGTTGTTTTTTTACACCAATTCCTGCTGTTTGTTTTGCAATTCGATTTCTGTCTTGTGGTGACCATAACCTCGAATTGAATCTCCAGCAACGCTTGTTTTTTTGTATTCATCAGTCTTAAATGTCTTCTTCTTCAACAAAATATTTACGAATTTATTAATTTTCTCGTAAATAATTGCAACGGAGATCAAAATTTCTCTCGGGACAGACTATTTCTTTGGTCAATTAATTTCCTAAAAAAAAGTAGAAAAGAACGCCATAATCCTTGAGAATTCAGTGATCCTAGTAAACTACACCCCGGTAAGGCACAAGAAAAAAATGTAGGAAAGGCTCTATTATTCTATATCCTCACTCTATCGTCCTAGGGTTAATCCATTATCAATTGGACAATTACGATCAGGAAGATTCAATGACTGTGGTTGAAGATGATGGAGTTTTGGAAGGGAAAAAATTGTTCATTGAATTGTGCCTGGAAAGTTTATGAAGGCGCCAAAGATGCAAAAGAGCGGGGTGGAAAATATCACGCTTCAGGTTAGGCGGAGGCCAAAAAGAGCTGAGTGTTCCTTTTTTTCTTTTTTTGTTTGGTTGTTTCTTTTCGGGAAAATTCTTAAAAAAAGCATGAGCAATTTTTTTTATTTTTGTAAATTTCTTAAATAAAATTAATGTTTTATGACAATGAGAAAGGCTATTTTATCCTTTTTATTACCTTTTCGTTTTACACCTTTTTCTTCCCCAAACAGTCACCGGCAATATTACATCTCAATTGAGAGAGGTTCAACCTAAATTCTTAATTCAACTATTACTATCTAAATCGTCCTCTGTTTTTTTTTTTCTTCCTTTTCGATTTTAGCTTTCATGGTTTCAGATTTTGAGTTTTAGTAGCGAAAATATGAACTCGATGAGATCCCTGATTTTCGTAACAAAGGGGATTGATAGCCGCCGAAAATTGGACGAGCTTCTGTTGAGAATGAAGTCAAACCAAGGTAATTCCAATTTCCATTTGAATTGTGTTGTTTCTTTTGTAGGGGTTCACTCTTGGTTCATGTTTGTTTGTTTGATTCGAATGATTCGTCATCTTGAAGTCTTCTTGAATATTATGATTGGTTCAATTAGTTTCAAATAGATTTTCTTGTTTGGTTTTTGAGTATGGTGTTATTGCTGGGAAATTAGAAAAGATGGGGTCAGATTTTTATTGACAGTGACCTCATTGATGGAATTAGTTCAGCTAATAGATAGAGAAGGGGCTTGTCACGAAATGGTCAATTTAGTTGATTGGGTATGGAGAATCTATTCGGAAGGGAAAATTACTGAAGCTGCAAATGTGAGATTGAATGGTGAATTCAAAGAAGAAGCTGCAAATGTGAGATTGAATGGTGAATTCAAAGAAGAAGAAATGAAGAAACTATTATTGATTGGGATGAGCTGTGCAAATTCAGATAATCTTTCAGATTCTCAATAATGAAGCACAACCTATGCCAGTGCCAAAGGTGAAACCTATTTTAACTTTCTGCAACAGTTTGCCATTGAGCATAGATGATATCATTTCAGATGATGATGATGGATGCAGGAGCCCTGATTCACAATTTGAGATAGTAGTTGGCTGATTGTTATTACTGGAACAATATGTTTTAGGATTGTTTCATTTTTTTCCCACAACTACTGATTGTGTATTGCTTAGTTCAATGTATCTTTTATACAATCTGAAAGCAAAATTTTTGAGTTCAAATTCATTCCATTGAACTCCAGACACATTCCTGATGTATCTTTTGATGACATTATATGAGTGCTGCGTTAAGGACATTTCCAGTTAGCTTTTATTGTAGGAGTTAACTGATAACATAAAAATATACACACTTTTAGCATTCATTTCTTACTCATTTTTATTTATAATTTAGTGTCAATTAGTTACGATTAGTTTACTTTTGGGGTGATTTTGTAGTTCACGTATCTTGGAGGGCCAATGTGGAAAATTAGCATAAAAGAGGGCCAAATTGCACAAAAGGGCATCAAAATGGACTGGAATGGAAGCTGCTGGAAATTAAACTGCCGGAGGATCGATCAGAGCTGAATCTAGTGGAAAAATCCTTGCTGTGGAAGGAAGATTGATAGCAGATGGATTCAAGTAGAAGACTCTGCAGTAGCTACCTCAATAGAGGAAGAAGAAATGGCAACTACTCTGCTGCTAAGTAGCTGTTGTCAATTAAGAAGAGTCAAGGCTGAATTCTTACTGCCAAAGGAAAGAATTGCTTCGTCATCACTGCAAGTTATAGCTACTGCTAGTTGAAGAAGAGAAAGGGGGAGAATATGCGGAAAATAGCAGTTACAACCTGCTACTTACCTGCTGTGATCGCTGTTACTGAATTGATAGATTGGCTGCTGCAGTCAGGTGAAAAATGATGTTGCAAGTGATCACAGGAAACAAGGGAGGAAAAGGCAGAAGGATTTAGGCTGAATTGGGGGCTGAAACACAATGATGGAAGGAAGCATGCTGCTGATGTTGTTGCTTGCTACTACTACTAGTTGAGCTGTTGCGGATTAAAGAATGAAGAAATAGAGATTTGTGGCTAGAAATTGGAGAAATTGCGCCGGAGAGGAAGACTAAAAGAAGAAGACAATGATGAGAGGAAGGTGGCTGATTGCGGCTGAAGAGAAAAAGCATCCAAAGAGAAGACTGCAACTTGTCAACTAGGCAAGTTATTGAATAAACAAACCTCTACTGCTGCAAGTTGCTGCCTCACCTTTCTGCTGCAGAGAAGAAGGCCATAGTCCGACCAATCCAAGTTTCTCCAAATCTCTATAAATAGTCAGCCAATAGCAGTTAGAAAAACAACAGATTGGGTAGTTAGATTTAGTCACAAAGACAGTATTTAGGTACTTAGTAAGTTAAAAACATGGTAGTAGTAGGAACAAGGAGGTAGACTGTCTTTGTAAAGTGGCGAACGCCACTTGCCATTGTGAGCAGACAGAAACTGTCCCTGCTACCATTTTTCTTTTCTTTCCTCTAACCTTTTGATCGAAATTCATATCTTATTTTTTGTACTTTGTTGCTCTCATGTTTAACTCAATAAACATGAGTAGTTAACTTAGTTAAGGGTTCAATCCCTACTATCTTTATGTGAAAATTTTGATTCAGTTTCCTTGATAAGGTGAGTGATTTAATTAACCTTTTAATTAACTTGACCACTTAATTAAATGTGCTTGCATGATTATGAAGATCTGGAATGAGGAACATAATCTTAGAACTACTTAATATAGTCTATGACAATGGAGAAAATCTACAATGCGGTTCCAAACATCAACGGAAGTTAGGTGAATGGCAGCGATCAAAGAGGGCTTAAGAACTTAATGATTGAGATTAATGAATTACTTTGACTGGAAGGTAGGTTATTTAGATAATCTAAGACTCTTTATTCTGTCTGGAAGGAATTATAAAGAATATAAGTGCCTGATCGAATAACTAATCATACACAACATGAATATTTGAATTAAAACTGGATCATAAAGGTAGGAAGGTGATTGACCCTTCTACCCTCTTCACTCTGTCAAGTGACTATTCTCACTCTCCCAAGAAATAATCTGTTCAAATCATTTTCTTTCCTTTCTATACTTTAATCAGATTTTGAGCGGTTGATTGTCGTGTCTGTAAAACGACCATGCTTACCATTAACTAATAGTTTTAAGTAGGTTTATAAATCTTTCTTTTTGGGAAGTGGATCAACGACAACACTCCATCATTAACATCAGCTACTGCTGTAATGATTCTTTTAATATCTTCCTTTGCCTTTTTTCATGTTTGCTATCATCAGTGCGTTTTCTCAGGTTTGTAACTTTCATTCTGCAGAGGCAACTAGTCTGATATTTGGACCTCTTTCTCATTTGGCAGCCTCGATGAATGCTTGATTAGTGCTAATGGGTTAAAGTGACTGATTTGTTTTCGACATATTGGCATCTAATCATTTCAGATTTTCATACAACCCTCGAATCATTTCACTGAAGAAGACATTTTGCATATATTTTCCAAGGTAAGCATCAGTTGGATAGATTGAAATCATTTTATTCAATCTGATTAATATCTGATACTACAAAAAGAGGGGAGTAATCCGTGGCGAAATACGACATTAGTGTACATAGATTCAAGAGGCCTCTCCCCATACATTTGGATGATCAGAAAGAAATCGTGTTAAGCCATGAGATGACAAAATATACCCGATGTACAACTGAAAAAGTAACTCATGCTATAAACACAAACAGATAGTTCATAGTTCATTCCTCTATTTTACTGGAAATGGTAGAAAGAATGGTTAAGTCATACCAATTGGTTTTTGGAATAAAGAGGAATAAAGAGTTATTATGGTTAATTTAAAAAAGGGTAAACAAGTCATTTTTTAATTTTAAAGATATAAAAGTTATTCTAATATTCATGTTAAAAATAAAAAAACACTAATGCACTTAAGATTAATTTTAATCTTTCCCACGCCCTTTTTAATAATTTTCTCTTTTTTTTTTTGACAGTAAAAAGAGATAGAGAGGCGAGAGAAATTTACATCTTTGTTGCATACTCTCATTTATTCGGCGAATGTTTATCAGATTTGGCCTACTTTTTCTCCAGTAAGTTACGGCTTGATTTTCCTTCATAAAAAGCAGTCACATGGTGTCAAAAAACATACGATCAATCATTCATCAAATCAATCAAAGACGATGCCTCTACATTTTTTCTTTCTTTTTTTATCTTTCCAGTTATGTCTTTTATCATATTTAGACATAATCTAGCATAGGTATTTTTGCCTATTTTCCTTCAAAAAAATAAATAGTTTTTTTTGGTCATGAATTTCTTTAGTAATTTGAGTTTTTTATAGGTGTCTCTAGCATTTTGGATTACCTTTGCACGCCTGTACTATCTTTGTCTTTTATGGAATAGCGTGTCATCAAGAAAATCTAATCGGTTCTTTTATTTTCTTTCATAAAAGTAAACAGTTGTTCTCGTTCATGGATTTTTTTAGTGAATTCGAGTCTTTTATAAGTGTCTCTAGCATTTTGGACTACCTCTACGCGCCCGTACCATCTCTGTCTTTTATGTAATAACGTGCCATCGAGAAAGTTTAATCGGTTTTTATATCTTTTACTTTCTTGTATAATATGTCATTTGCAACATCTATAACTTGCCAACGCTAAGGTTTTTTCCCACTTTTAAAAATTGAAGTTCCACTTCACTTTCTATTTTTTTTCTCTTTGTTTTTGAACTAAAGTTAATTAAGTCCTCGACTCATTCATAGTCGTTTGATTAATTTTGTGTTTGTGTATTTTATGTCATTTTTGTTCATGATACTGAGTGAACATTTTCTCTCGAAATTAAGCATCGAGAAAAATTATGTATTAGTGGATGATAAATTAGCATTTCAACAGAAAAAAAATGATAAATTATATATATATATATAAAAAATCTGGAACAAGAAATGGAAATTAAATTTAACCATTATATATAAAATTTATCGATTAATTACCTCGAAGCCCGTCTAGCTCAGTCGGTAGAGCGCAAGGCTCTTAACCTTGTGGTCGTGGGTTCGAGCCCCACGGTGGGCGTTATTTAATTTTTATCCTTTACCCAATAAAAATGTTATAGAATATGCTTAATCTGAGCCATTGTAAAGCGAGTGTCGATATGTCCGAGTGGTTAAGGAGACAGACTCGAAATCTGTTGGGCTTTGCCTGCGCAGGTTCGAATCCTGCTGTCGACGAAAATTTTGAATTGTGTATATCTTCTCACTTTTTTGCCCTTTGAAGAAAGTCCCAAAAACAGCATTCTTCTCTCTTTGGAAAGATCGTCGAAAGGCAAAAGAGAAATTCAATCAATTCAAAAAAGGTTTGTAGAGAAGCTCTCTTAAAAGTGTGATTTCTGAAAACAGAGGTGCTCATGAATGGGTCAGGGTGTTCGAAATAAATTTTGCCGGTGGATTATTCAGGACCGTTAATACTTATAGTGGTACGATACGACGCTCCTATATTATATAGTTACAAAGGCTTGGATGCTCTATGATTTTACTCGGAGTGAGTATCCGGTAACATTTTACTATGTACCATTAGTATGATAGCCATCATTAGTATGATTTTACTACAGCACTGCCTGTACAATAAAATCTCTTAGCAGTCAATTTGTTGGTAAATTGTCAATTTGTATACTCCTGATAGTTACTATAGTGTCAAATTGTCAATTTATTGTAACCAAAATAAAAAAACTTGTCAATTTATTATACACTTTAGTTTTGGCATTTGATTTTTTTTTTTTTTTTGAAAATTGTTTTGGCATTTGATAATCCAACGGGAAGGTGCAAAACAATAGAAGCAGGAATGCAGTTCCACAACGCCATAAGGCATAAACCATAAACCATGTACAGGACTGAAACTCTAAAATGACAACAAATTTCCAGGAAACACGTTGCCGGATCCTTCTTTTTTGAGTCAGTATCCCACTAATCCCACTCTTATTTCTAAATGGCGGTCAAAATACAGCAAGAAAAAGCGATTTAAAAAATTACTATTAAATTAAAATCATCATTATAACTCTCCTTTTAAAGTTTTTTTTTTTTACTGTACAAACATCTTTCCTTCTGCTTATATGAATAATTTTCAGCAAAAAAAAAAAGAAGAAACGAAATTGTTTCACTTGCAACACTAATAGAAAAACGAAAATGAACTCAAACAGGGGAAAGGGAATCATCATCCCGGAGAGAAGCTCGACAAAGCGGACAGCTGGACTGAGTTGTGAGCCACACATCCACGCACTCGGAATGATAACGATGCTGGCAATCTGGCAACACTTTGACCTTCTCCCCATCTTGAAATATCCCCAAACATATCGAGCATTCTACTGCTTCTTCACTTGCCCGGTGCAGAATGATGGGCAGATTGCTAATCGCATTGGGATCCAGACCCCGGGGCGGAGGCTGCGCGGACGACGGCGCGTGAGATATACGTGGGAGAGACGGAGGCCGCATTTGGCACACCCATCTCGCGTACAAGTAGATAATGGTAATGAATAGAATCACGCCGAAGAGAACCACCGCGAAGAAGAGCGTCCGGCCCCGGATTTGGAACGCGTTGTCGTCGAATTCCGCGTAGTGCCAATGGAATGTCTCTGATTCGTGGCTTGCCATAGTTGGTCGGAGATTAAAAAAACAGGGCTAGTGTTGGGCGGCGTCAGAGAGGAGACGGCGGCGGAGGCGGCTGCTGCTGATGAGCGGGAGGAAGAGAGGAATGAAACATAACTGGAATGGTGGTGGTTTGTGGAGGATCTGGCTTTAGGAGACAGAAGACAGAAGGAAAGTACAGAAGAGTAAGTAGAGTAATATAAAGATGTGAGCTGTTTGAAGTCTGTACTATATCTCTGAAGTGGGAGCAGATCTTTGGAAGGGCATACTTCGTCAGTTTCTATTATTGTATGGATGCTATCACAACTCCCAAACTCGCACAGGGGCGCGTCATATCAAATGGTCGTCCTTTGATTTTTTATTCTTTTATTTTTTAAATGACCAACACATTAGTGATTATAAGATACTTAGTCTATTACAACTAGAGAACAATTGACAGGATACGATGTGATAAAAATGAACTGTCAATCTCACTGTTAAACATATAATTCTATAATTACTAAGACAAGACTCGATTTTTAAGTTCTTCTCAAGATCAGTAATTTGAATAATGATAACTATAAACGTTTTTATTATTATTTTACGTTTTAAATTTTGATATTTTTTTAAAAAGTTAATTTATTCACGCCCCAAATTATAGCGGTGACATGTGAAATAGTATCGTGATTAAATGCTTTCATAAACGTTTTTTTTTTTTTTAAAGCGTCTTAAGAAAAAAAGAAGAAAAAAAAATAGCATATGAAAGTGGTGAATAACCCTATCACGTTGGGGCCTTACTTAGGAAGAAATGAGCTCACTAGTGTTATGATGCTTTTCTTATAAAGCAGAACAACTAGGAAAACACACTTGATTATAAATTGTGTTTATGTAAAGTTAGGGGCATTAAAATTTAAAGTGTAATTAGGAAGACTCTGTCTATTCTTTTCATGGTGAACTGCTAAAGTCGAGACAAGATGAGTTTATCCATATTCGTTCGTTTTGGGGATTTTCAGACCCAATCTTTATTTGGATGAGTCCACAATGAGAACATATAAGGAGAGCTCAACCTCAATAAAATCATTGGAAATATTGCGTGACACCAGTACGTCACTCACTTCTTCACCTACTACTACCAGTCCATCATCTTCTTATTTTAATAATTTAGTTTTCCTATTACTCCCCCGTCCCATAATTATTATCCAGTTTTACTAAAATAAAAGATTTTATTTTTGGTCAAAATTAACTATATTTTACCTTAAACAACCGGATATACTCCTACATAAGTAATTGTTTAACAACTAAGATATTATGGATAATGTTTTTTACTAAGGACAAATGTGTAACTTGATTCATAAAAAGTCAAATTGGACAATAATTTTTAAAAATTTTTTTTGGGCAAAGTGGACAATAATTATGGGACGGAGGGAGTATTTTAATTCAACAAAATTAAGTAAGTGATCTCAAAGTAATTATTATACTTGAATTTTTTACTTTGAGTATATACTACAAATCAAAATCTAAAACGGGTATCATTTTCAAACAATCAAAATATAATTTTATGGATTGGAGTACTATTTTTAGTACAATTTTTACAGTTTTCTTTAGACTAATCAAATTCTCAGCATTCGTTGACCATTTGGAAAGATCGACTGGCATTACCCAGACTCACCTTTGTTTCAAAACTCAAATAATGACTCCATTTTTAAAGATAGAGGGAGCGCTTTACATCTTGATTTGGGCCTCAGTATATTGAGTCCAATTCCAGAAGATAGCAAGCATAATAGTGTTGCGTTACAAACTGTTTGTACTGAGTGCGGCCTAGTTGAGTACAATCCAATACGGATATAACACTCTCCTACTTAGCACAAGTGGCTGTTGAGATCCAATTCAGGTTTTCCAGGTGTCTGGTTGAATGTAGCGGTTCGAAATAATGGTCAAACTTCGCAAGTGAAACCTAAATGGGAAATCAGAATGAGCGACCTCATGTTCCTTTTGGAAGGTTTACATAAACTTTTTTTATTTTTTATTTTTTTATGTCTGAAACGATAATCATATATTAATCAAACATCTAAAAGATGAGATAATTTACAGAGAAGTATTACAATCTGTTTTAAACGACTAATCTAACCACATTTGGGCTCTAAGATCCCAACTTTGTGTGTGATTGCTAGATGAGGCTAATTTAACTAGATTGTGATTACTGAAATTTCATTGCTTTCGAATAAACACAAATTTACAGCTTTCAAAAGATGTTTTTACCAAGATGTCTTCAACTGTGGCGTTCACATCTGAAACAAGATTAGTTTTGCCCTGTAACCAAGTTACCATAGTCTTCACATCTAGTTGGACTTCCACTTTTTGTACATTTCTCCTTCGAGTTTTCATCATTGCCATTCTGATGGCAATAGGGTCTGCTGCCAATGCACTCTGTACAAACTCCACAGGTTCAGCTACAGCCACCACCAAATCTCCTTTCTCATTTCTCATACAGTAACCAACGCCAGCCCTACTACCTCTTCTATCCATATCTACTCCAACATTTATTCTGAGATAGCCTTGGGGTAGATTTGTCCAGCATATATCATGACTCTGGTGCTGGGAATTTGCTGTTGGAGGCCGTTTCTGTTGCTAAATTGCTTCATATTCTTGCCATTCCCCCAGTGCTCTTTGTACTATGGCCCATTCATCTATCCTCTCCTGTCCAGAACACCATGCATTTTATGCCTTCCAAAGTTGTCATAGTATATGCACTGTTAGTTCCACTCTCTTCATGATCCCTTCATTAATTGCAGCTCCCATTAAACCCTCCCACCAGTCAAAAAAATTGTTTGTTTTCTGTTGCATGCCATCCCAACTGACAGGTGCCAAGTACCAAACCAATTTTGCCTGCGAACAATGAAACAGTATATGCTCCAAGTCCTACATTCCATCACCACAAAGTCCACATATTTTATCTACCTCCGTACCTCTTTTTCTGAGAATCGAGTTTGCTGGTAATCATCCCTTATGCAGCTTCCATATGAAGTGCTTTAACTTCGCTTTGATCTCCGGCTTCCAAGTTTTCACCCAAAGTTTTCTGTTACTCTCACCCTTTCTACTGGATTCTCCTATCCCTTCTACTACCACCTTCAATTCCTCTGCCAGCTTATAAGCTGATGCAACACTAAACTTTCCATTTTTCTCCCTTTCCCACACCATTCTATCCTCTCCCCTACAGCAGCTAAGAGGCATTTTTTGAATCAAGGTTACTTCTTCTGGTCTAAGGATGTTCCCAAAACTCCAGCATTCCATCTTTTTACTGATGGTTCTATTAGCTATTCCACTCCCTCCAGATTCCTCCGTGTGAAATCATTCCGGACTGGACCCACTACACAATCCTCTGGGATCCATTTATCATGCCGGATGCTAATCTTTCTACCGTCACCTACTTTCCATCTCATTCCCTCCGTCACTAACCATCTTGCACTTAGCCACCCCTTCCACAGCCACGAATCACCCCCTTTCTGTTGAATATGGAACAGAGAGCTATGAGGGTAATACTTGGCTTTCATCACCCTTGCCACTAAGGAATTTGTTGAATTTCAGAGAGCTATGAGGGTAATACTTAGCACCTTCTTCAAGCTCCTAATCTGTTGAATTTCCGCTTTACAAAATAACTAAGCGTCATCAGCAAAAAATAAATGAGTAATTTCTGGTCCCTGTCCACTAATCTTTAACCCATTCAATTCCCCTTTTTGAACTGACATTTTCAGAAAGTAAGAAAAGGCTTCAGAACATATCAAGAAAAGATAAGGAGACATTGGGTCTCCTTGTCAATGCCTCTAGAAGGTTTAAGATAGCCTTTAACCTCACCATTTATATTAAAAGAAAAGGTAGGAGTTTGAATACATAGCATTATCCACCCCACAAATTGCAAATCAAATCCCACCCTAATCATCATATTTGCTAGAAACCTTCGTTCAACCCTATCATAAGCTTTTGCCATATCTAATTTTATGGCCATGTACCCCTGTTTTTTTTCCTCAAATTATTTAGAAATGTATATATTCATGAGCTATTGTGATGCTATCTAGAATCTGTCTACCAGCTAAGAAAGCCAACTGATTTTCACTAAAACAAAAAGACAGGAGAGGTTTCATTCTTTCAGCAAGTATTTTAAAAATTATTTTATAGACAACAGAACATAAACTAATAGGCCTAAACTGAGACATTTTTGTGGGATTTTCCACCTTTGGAATAAAGGAAATAAGTGTATGATTAAAGCTTTTTAGAAAACAATATGATCTGAAAAAACTCTTGACAGCTTCACGAATTTCATCTTTAATGATAAACCAAAAAGATTGAAAGAAAAAAGGTGTCATACCATCCAATCCAGGGGCTTTGTTAGGATTCATGCTAAACACAACACCTTTGACCTCTGCTTCTTCAACTGGACATATCAAGGTGGAATTCATCCTTTCTGTGATAGTAGCAGCGAACCCTTCTAGTAATGCTTCCCATCCTGGCCTATCCTTTGATGTTAACAATTCCTTATAGAAATTCTCAGCCTCCTCCCCAACCTCATCCCCAGTATCACACCATCCTCCATATGACTTCTCAATCTTTTTTATTCTATTATACTTCCTTCGTTGTATTGTTCAAGATTGGAAAAACTTCGTATTTTTATCCCCCTCCTTCAACCGTTGATTTCTTTTTTTTTTATGCCAGTATACTTCTTCATCTTTGTATGCCTCATCTAATTTCAGTTTTAGCTCTTCCCATTTATTCCATCCCTATCACCCCCCTGTTGCTTCATCATATTCATCTCTTGAGTAATACTTCTAATGGCCTTTTCTGAATTCAGAGCTTGCCCTCTACTCCATTTCAACAATTCCATTCTGCACAATTTTATTTTAAAGGCCACTTTATACATGGGAGATCCTTCACATTGAGTTCCCCATGCTTTTGCTACTGTCTCCTTCACACCATTCGTTTTCAACCATCTTCTTTCAAAAAAGAACATGATTTTTCTTCTTTGCTGTTGAGGCTCTACTTCCAAAAACAATAAGCAATGATTTGAAGAGTGCCTTTCAACGTGAGCAACCAGAACCTGTGGATACTCTAATAACAAGTCTGTTGACCCAAAAATTTCGTCTAACATCTCCTCAATATATCCTTCCCCCACCATATTATTTGCTCACGTCCATTCCTTCCCTGTAAACTTTATTTCCTCCATACCATCCAGAAGATGAAATTTTGGAAACCCTCACAGCTTCTTTCTTTTCTTTTTCTGCCCCTCTTCTTCACTTTACCTCCCCTGATATCATTCGAACCCCCTATAAACCACCTATTGCCCCAAGACCTACTTTTCTCTATTAATTCCTCCCATTGGCACATTCTTTCCTCTGGCTCTATACTTATATAGACGAAAACAACCCACACAGGTCCTCTTGCTACAACAGACTCATAATGTAATTCAATACAAAAAGATGATGTTCTAACTTCATACACTACCACCCCTTCAGTCTATCCCAAAAATAAACCCCCACTACGACCTACTGGATCCACTGCCACATACCTATCCCTAAACTCCAT